TAAGGATTAATTATCCATTATATGCACACATCCTGATTGGCCCGCACCTGTCCTGTTTCCATTGCAATTCCCCAGTCAATAGCGAGTGCTGAATTCACTTAATTGCCGACACCTTTCAGTGCCGCTGGCCAACTCAGAGCTCGCTGTATCCTGCACTGCATTCGTCTTTCTCTGGCGACACAATTAATTCGTCCTGCCAGGAATTGCAGTTTAATTTTTATTTCATTAACGTAACAGCACCACCACCACCCACCACCCACTATCCACCACCCAACCAACCACATCAAGGGCGTCCGTGCATCGCTAAGCGGCTTTGTCTCATTATCTGCCAAGTGCACGTAGTACATATGCGTCGCATTCGAGTGATGTGGGTGGCAAATTGCGAGCAAATTAAGTGTTTCAATTCCGTGGAGATTTCCATTTCACAAAGTCGGGACTTTGGAGCCCATACCCAGAAGCCTTTTGCCTTCTGCCTTCCGCAAGCGGGTTTATAGTGCGTAACGCCATCAAAAATAGTTAACAGCATTGAAATGCTTTTAGCTAAAATGCGTTGCGAGTCCTGGCTGTGTGGCTATGCGTAAAAAGTTTTGTTCAACTGGCAGGACGAGGCTATGGGTGCTGGTGTCCTGCGTGTCTGCCGTAATGCGTGGCAAATAAAATTATTTTGGATTTTATGTCCCATCCTTATGGAGCCCACCAGGAAATAATAATACCCATCTTGAAAGCGCTTTAATTTTCCCATTGCCACCTCATTTATCTCGCAAAAGTTTCAACTTTTCTGTGTTTCCCTTGGTTTTGTTTGTTGCTACCGGCCCGCTTAACAAAAATACAAACTTTAATGAAAAATTGCAACGTGTACAATAAATATTTGTCTGTATATACAGAAAATATTTGTGTTTTTTAGCCATGAATTTTGAACAGCAAAAAATTTATAAAGCGGCTGTCGAATATATTTTTAGTCAGCCGCTGGCTTATTTAGGAAAAATTCGCATGAGAATTTAAACACAGTTTATTGCGACTGAGAAACTTCTGCGGAAGAGTTTAACGAAGTTTAAGGCGCAAACTTTGTTGAAATAACTAAATTATACGTGCAATACCTAACTGAACTTTATATATCGTGCCTTTAAGGAATTAATGACATTATTGGTTTTATTTAATAAATTTAGTCTCTTCTGAACAATCATTTAACATTTTAACTAGAAATTGCCTGATATTGGAAATGTAAAAATCAATAAATAAAAAACATAATTAAACCTTTGCTTTTCCTACAAAAGTGTATAAACAGAAAGTGGGCCCCTCTTTAAAGACAGAAATGAATTCTTGTTTATTTACGTACATTTTAATCAAAAGTATTTTCCAGCTTTTGGAAAACTTTTTTCCACTCGGTTAAACGTCAATATAAGTTTTACATGGTGACTTGTTTTCACTTTGACTTTGTTTTTAATTGCCAATACGAATGAATACTTTTTATTAATACTCATATCCAGCACATAAGTTCTATTTGCTGATAAAATACCATTTATATGTAACATTTGAAATTTATTTCTTAACAAGTGACAAAATGTAGCAAAACAATTTTAACAAGAGAGAACGCTATAGTCGGTTGCCCCGACTATCAGATACCCGTTACTCAGGTAAAGGGAGTGCGAGGGAGATGGAGATAGAAACTTTGATCACGCATAACTTTTTACCGAATGGTCAGATTTGAAAAATTTCTTCTACATTTCGATAGGTATTGATAAACACAATAAAACTGCATTTTTACTTTTCCGAAATATTAAAATTTTTAAAATCGTTTATAAGCAATTGTGGGCGTTAAAGGGGGCGTGGCACCTTTTTGAAACAAACTTGCGCTGCGTAGGAACTCCTAGAATCTGGATGCAAAATGCCAATCTTCTAGCTTTTATAGTTTCCGAGATCTCAGCGTTCATACGGACAGACAGACGGACAGACGGACAGACAGACGGACAGACAGACGGACAGACAGACGGACAGACAGACGGACAGACGGACATGGCTAGATCGACTCGGCTAGTGATCCTGAACAAGAATATATATACTTTATAGGGTCGGAAACGCATCCTTCTACCTGTTACATACTTTTGCACGAATACAATATACCCTTTTACTCTACGAGTAACGGGTATAAAAATAAATTTTGTTTTCCATTTTATAGATTTCAATGGTATTTATTAATTATTTTAGATAGGAAAATACTTCTATTGAAGGTATTAATTTATTTTTTTTGCTTAGGAACTACACTTTGTTCAATCGAAATATGCAAACCTAGTAAACACTCATATTAAAATCTTGTTAAATGCTAAACGATCTTATGTCAGATTCTCAAGGACTACAAATGCCCCTACTTAAACCAAAGAAACCCCCACATTTGCTTACCCTGGGGAGCGGTTTAGTGTCTTTAAAGATCTCGTACCGGGCTGCGGCTGGAAAACCCTGCTCGGCTTTGTTCACTGGTAATTGCTTTTCCTTTCAGCCATTGTGCTGTGGGATAAACGCATCGTCTGTTGGCGGCTGTCCCGCTTTCGCTGAGCGATTTCTTGTGGGCCGGCGAACACGCGAATGGGCGCAAGGTGGCCGCAGAGGGCAGGGGAAAATTTAGGAAAAACCGCAGCACATACGGGCAAACAAAGGTGTTTGCCGAAGGACCTCTTTTCTTTTCGACCAGCCAGCCAGTTGCAGGAGCAGCGCGTCGCGTTGCTGGCCAACTTCAAATCCAAACTGACCGCAAAGCATTTGCACTTTGGACTTTATGCCAAGGAGGCGGCGTTGTAACCAAACGAAGTCGTCGGCAGCGACGTTAAGTAATAACAATAAAAACCCAACCAAAGGCAGTAAAACCCAAAAACGCGAAACGAATCGCAATGATGTGGGGGGAAAATCCAAGCCCTAGCAAAAATCGCAGTGTTGCAGAAGAAATTATGGACGCGTTGCTGTTGTCGCCGCCGATGTTGCTGCTGTTGTGCTAATTTGTGTTGTTGCGGCTTTCGCACATCAAACAGCAACAACCGCCTGTTGTTGCTGTTGCCGTTGCCATTGTGGTTCTGTGGGTCAGCACGAAAAATGAAGTTGACCCGCTTTCCGACTCCGCGGCGGAAAATGTGGAGCAAAGGCAGCAAAGCAGCGCGCCACCACTTTTTCAAAGCAGAACACTTCCGAGCAAATTTACATAGGCTCGGCCAAGAAATTATGCATGCCTCTGTTGATATTGAAATGCCGAGCAGCAGGTTGAACTCGAACACTCACTTGCCACCCACCCACTCGTGGCAAAGCCAGGAAAATCAGGGAAAGCCAGGGAAAGCCCGAGGCGAGACTGGTTTCACTTTCGGCCAGAATCGCCATTTGCAGGCGATAAACACGTAAGGCACGAAAAGCAAACAGAATAAACAAGGCGTGGCTACGTCGGCGGTGGCGTTAGAGCCAAGTTAACGTCGACGTCGACGTCGACGGCGGCATGCAAATTGGACTAAGTACGAATGTGTGCAACGTCTCAGGAAGTCGTTAGAGCGGGAAAGGACATGACAAAGACCAAAGCGGCAACCTTTGTGGGTCAAAAGCAAAAAGAAAAAGGGAAAAGAAAAAAAAGGACGACAAGAAGTGTGCCACCACAAAGTCAAACGCAGCAAAGGCGAAGAAAAAAATAGTGTCCCGCTTTTGACCACGAATAAATCAGTGAGCCAACAATGTATGGCGAGAACTTGGCACAAATCCATTAACATTAACACTCACATTTTGAATCGCATGCAGGAGCCCATTTACGTAAACTTGGCCAACATGCCAAGTCGGGCCCGAGACAAACGTTTTGTTAGCTAAACAAAATGAAGTTTTAATAAATTCATTACCCTGCCACTTTATGGCTCCACCACCCCCACATCCTTGCCAGATTCGATGTCGATGACGATGCCGATGCCGATGCAGAGAGTCCTGCATTGCTTTGCTTTAGTGCACCGCCTGACATTACGTATACGCCCCGTACATTTATGAACAATCAACTTTATAGCCCACAAGCAACGGGTGTCTGTGTGTGTACTAGTTTAGCTTCCCTGGCCCCAAGCTGCTCTGTTTTATTGGCATTTGCACTTGTGTCTGACTTTTCCAAGATATTTTCAATTGGAAGTTATGTGTCGCAGGGAATTGTCCGCCCAAGTGGGTGGGTGGGTTTCCCATTGATGGGATGTGTGCAACACAACAATTTAATGGCTGGCAACTGACGGATGTTGAAGTCGCTCGATAAAAATGCTGAAATAGAGACATGCCACGAGTATTGAATTGTAGATAAGTTGGGGCAAGAACACAGGGATCAATCATTTAATTGGAAGACAATACGATGAGCTGTAAAGCTGAATAACTTTATGCATTTACTGGTTGCCTAAATAAAGTTTCGCCCACACTTATTTCTCCTTTTTGTTACATAATTTCCCGCAATCACAGCCCCAAGGTCAGCAGTGTCCAAGAGGGCATTTAAAAATGTGTTAGCCAGCGCAAAACAAACGGCACGACAAACTAAAATTTCCCGATTACATCTTGAAATGAAATAAATTATTGTGCACATCGCAACGAGCTGACCCAAATACACAAAGTGAAATGGGAATGGGATTGGGATTGGGGAATGGGAATGTGAATGTGAATGGGAAGGCAAAGGACCAACGACAAAATGCTGGCTGCCATTGCCAGCTGATTATCGCTAATTGTGCCCAAGGAAATAGAAATTAAACGAGTCGGGATCGAGGACGGCCTTTATTTCCTGTCCAGCGTGTGCACGAGTGTTTCGCTGGCAGCGTTTAATTTAATTTCGGGCAGGTCTTTAAATATTCACTGCAATTTATTTGATCGATAATTGAGCAGGGCAAGGTTGACGATTTGCCGACCAAAATTGGCCCGACCTTTGACAGGCAAGAAATTGAGATTAATTGAGGCACCAAATCAGGTGGCCCCGTTTTCAATGTCAGTTGGTTCGACTCTTGAGCCAAAGGCATTTCCCAGAAAAGCAGGCTGTCGGCAAATAAGGAACCTACTTGTTCCTCTAAAAAATAAAATAATGTTTCAGGTAGGCTGTGAAACTCAAATCTATAAACTTATATCCAAAACAGACGTTGACCGGCATTTTACTTTTGTCTACCCAACAGAAACATTCGCAGCCTGACAAGGTTAACAAAATTTCGGTGTTACGTAAAATGATAGGCCTTCAAAAAAAGCGACCAACCGCCGGAGACTACGTAGTGCCCAATAACTCTGCCCTGAATTTGCAGCACAAGCCAGGTGTCTATGATCCCACGCCCAACGCCATGGAGAAGTCCACCAAGTGTCGCTATTGCGAGAACATGGCCAAGAACTTCCTGTATCTGGAGAGTCTGATCCGGAACAACAAGGACAGCGACAAGAGCCCAAAGTGCAGTCTGTGCAACTCGTCGCTCAAGTATCTGGAATACGTGAACCGCAATATCCGTCAGGTTTTCGGCAACTTCGATGCAATCGTCCAGGCGGATCGCGCTCTGGCCGCCAAACCGGCCATGATGCCAAAGTACTCGGTGGCCCCGCCCCCTGAAAAGGTTGATCTGCGCTCCAAGGGCGGAGCCATCGTCTCGCTCCAGAGGTCGGCCAAAAGCCTACGGTCCAAGACAACCTCTCTGAAGCCCAAGACCAAAGCGAAGGCGAAGGGCGTCAAGGGCCAGAAGTCACTGAAGTCGCTCAAATCACACAAATCGGCAAAGTCACTGAAATCTACAAAATCCACAAAGTCGGGTAAATCCCTGAAGTCAGCTCTCAAGCACTCCAAGTCCCCAAAAGGTCTGGCCAAGTCGAAGAGCGTGGGTCCCAAGAGCCAGATCAGCCACGGCAAGATGATATTGAAGCGCAAGTTCCGGAACAAAGTGGCCGGCAAGTTGGCCGGCGCCAAAGTGGTGCGCAGTGTTAGCCAGTACCGCAGCCTGGGCTCCGCCCGCTCCAAACTCTCGAAGGGACCGAGCCACAAGAAGCTGGCCAAGCAGCGGTCCACCGGTCCGCCGACGAGCATCAACTGGCAGCTGCTCAAGCGGAATCTGCCCAGGCGACCCACTCCAGTGAAGTAGAGGCCACGACGGCCGGGGATCAACAGAATTGGTTTCACACATATTGCCCTGACTCAAAAATTATATCGTTTGTGAAAATTCTCCAAGTAATCTTTTGCATACATAAATTTAAACTTTTATAAAAGAAAAATTAGGTCGACATTGATCATTGTTTTCTAGAAGTAGTCGTCAATGGGAAGTTTTACTATGAGTCATACTACCGACAAAATGGAACTAACAAAAATACAATTCTACTTAATTTATGAAATCTTTTTATAAAGTAACCATTCCTAACAATATTATAAGAGTTCTCTGATTACTGTAAAATATACAACACAGTTACCGATCAAAGCGTCGTTAAATACCCATATACAAAATATGGTACATATATAAGAAGCCCGAGCAAATACGAATTTTGAATGTCATATCTCTTCCAATAAAAATTCGCTTCGCTTTATTATTAATTCGGTTATCTGCTAAACGTAATCGCTTGAGTCTTAGGTAAAGTCAAAAGTCTGCCTGACCTTAAAATTTCCTGGTATTCAAATACTTAATATTTTTATACCCTTGCAGAGGGTATTATAATTTCATTCAAAAGTTTGCAACGCAGTGATGGAGACATTTCCGACCCTATAAAGTATATATATTCTTGATCAGCATCACCAGGAGAGTCGATCTAGCCACGTCCCTCAGTTTTAAAGCTATCTATGTCAGCTATATGAAACAACAGCAAGGTTACTTGCCGAAGTTTGGTTCCTTTCTTGTTCTTTTTATTATCGACAGTGACATATCTGCTGACTTCGGCTCGTGTGCCGAAATACGATTCAATTTGATTTCACGACGAGCTTTAAACTGATAACACACTTCGAATAGCAACCTTGTTCGTTTCATTAACAAAGAATTCAGTTTTAGTCGTCCAGAAATATTCGATTTGAGTGGTAAACATAATTTAAAATGTACGAGCCGGCTACGTTTTTCTTATGGGTCTTAATTGTCGGTAGCACGCTCAGATCGTTGGAAGGTTTTGAGTCCAATTCCTACAACCGTGTTTATCAGGGAGATAACTACAACACTGCTTATCAGTCAAATCGCTACAACATTGAAAATTCAAGTCAATCTATAGATTCTAAATTAAACACTATTTCCGAAAAAATTAGTGAAACCAGTAAACAGCTAAATGGAATCGAAAACAACCAAAAGGACTTGACGGCCATGTTCTTGAAAGGTTATAACGGGCTAGAATCTAATTATGACAAACATTGAAGCCACTATGGACTCACATCTTTTGAAGTTACAGAATGACCTGGATAAGCAAACCTGCAAGAAGACAGTCACGCAAGAGGACTTCGAGACGAGACTTCAGGCGTTTCAGAGCAAAATGAAAGAGCAGCTGCGAAACCAGACATACAGTCAAAATAATTTGAATGAAAAGCTTTCTGAGGTGCAGCTCCAACTGGAAAAACAGCGTAAAACCATCGATAACTCTTTAAAGAAGATCATCAGCACACAAGACTACGAAACATCCAGAATGAAAACCATTACGAGAGATGACCTGAGTACGAGCTTCAAGGCGTTTCAAAGTAAAATGGAGACCACTCTGCAGACGCTTCTCAACAAAATCGAGCTCCAGTCAGCAAAGGTACCAGCCACCATTCAGGCAACCCCCCAGACTACCCTCCAGGCCACCCCCCAGACAACCCCTCAGACAACCCCTCAGATAACCCCACAGGCGAAACCTCAGGAAACCCCCAAGGCAAACCCTCAAACAACCCGTCAAATTCCTCCAAATTTCGAGCTGATAGGCGATAGATACTTCTACATAGAAAACCAAAATAAGCTAAATTGGACTGATGCTGCAGCCTTCTGTCGTAAGATGGGCGGGTACTTACCCTCCATCAAAGACAAATCGGAATTAAATGACATCCAATCAAAAGTAAAGAGCAAATTTTCCTTTTACTGGCTTGGCAGCGATCAGGTTAAAAACCACGAGTTCGTGTCTTTGGCCACCAGCAAACCAGCTATATTTACAAAATGGGACAGTAAATTTAGTTATATGCTTACTTTGCAATGTGAATCAGAACAATATTTCATTTGTCAGGCAGATAATAATTAAAATAATTAAAACCTAAAGAAATATATTTTACGTTTTTATTTATGTTCAATCAATAATTATCAAATGTAGTATATCTATTAATGATACATGTAAAACCTAACTAACTAATTACCAAACTAATCTTGGTGGCTTTTGTAATTAAACAATAAAGTGACTGTAAATTGCTTAAGAATTATTTGCAATTCTTAATTAAATGGAGGATGGGTATTCAAAATCTGAATTTGAACGGATTTCGGGACATTTTCAGTTCGCATAATTGGTTTCTGGTGCATAATGAATGGTACCTTTTATTAATTTGAATAATTTTAAAAATTATACAACAGGTGGCAGATCGGCAACCCATCGGAGCCCTTGGAGACGCTCAATATTTTTACTCTTTTGTTGGGGCTGGCGCTCTTTTAATTGTTGCAAATATTATTTTATTTGGAGTGTTGACAAGCACGCAATTAGCGACCCTTTACTGACCCTCCTCCCAAAAATCCGGGTTGACCTCGTTTGCTTAAAGATTTTCTGCGTGCAAATGGTCGAATGGGCGACCTAGCTTCCATTTTCATTTAACGACTGTCGACGGCGTCCAAATATTTTCACAATTTAAATGCAAGTGGATTGCGGCGATGGATGGGCTGGGCATGAGGTGGTGGGTGGCATTCAGGGCGGTGGGCCGGGCTAAGCAGATTGCCAACCTAACTGACTTTGGGGCCGCGGCCGGCAGTTTGACAATTTTTCGCCATGCCCGCTCAAATATGCCGCATACGCAGCTGGGTTCCCCCAAGCACGACCCTTCATTTGTTTATGGGCCACCCATCGTACCGACCATCAGGCCCTTTAACATCCATTGTGGTGCACTGCAAAAAAATACAGCTCAAATCATAAAAACGACCCTGAAATCGAGTAATGAAATAGTCTAAAATGAAAATTCCAAAAAAAAATGAATCAACAAAAATTGAATATAACAATGAGAGCCAATAAAAATGAATAATAAAAAAACTTTAAATTTTATTTTAATGTCATATGATTAATATTTATTTAGGTAATGCATTTTTTTTCAATTCCATTCTTTTGTAGACAATTTTTGAAAAAAAATTTTAAAAATTAAAAATAATTTTTATATTTATAAAAAAAAAAAAAAAAAAAAAAAAAAAAAAAAAAAAAAAAAAAAAAAAAAAAAAAAAAAAAAAAAAAAAAAAAAAAAAACATAACGCCTTAAAGTCTCTAATAAAAATATACAAAAAACAATACAAAAATTGTTTTTAAATTTAAAAATGCGCAAATGGTATTGGAATTTTTCGATCTTGACCTTTAATTAACCCAATAAATCAGATTATATTATATATACATTAGATTAGTAAAGCAGATTTTAAGTACATTTTTTCAGTGTATCGAAGGAGGGCGTTTGTGATTATGTGTGTGTGGGTGCACGCCTCGTTAACCGTTCGGATAAAACTTATTAGACACAAGTGTATTTAGCCCGTGTGTGCGGGTGGGTGTGTGTGTGGGGGGGTACTCCCCCGTGTGCGTTTGACTGTGTGAGTAACTAACTGCGGGCAGTTCAGCTCCATGGCCCAACCGAGATACACGGACTGCGAGTACGCATCTGCATATATCAATCGGATGCCCGCAGCCAGCCATCCCGGACACCCATGCACCCATGTTGTGCATTTGAACAGAAATAATATTTTCGATGGGCGATGGGAGATGGGTTGGCTATGGGGTTGTTGGGATGGATAGTGGCGGGATCGGTGGACCGGCAACTGTGTGACGTTGCCGCACAATTCCTTTGTAATTAGATAACGTAACAAAGCAACAACACGGCAAACCGCTGCACTTCCGCTCCCGCAGGCGTTTACGGCCCGCCCAGCTCTCCACTTTTGCCACGCCCCCTGCCCTGCACATTTCCCTTGCATTTTCATTTTACGTAAAATGTTGAGAGCCTTTTCTGATTATTTGGCAAAATCGCAACATTTACCGCTGCCACACAGCGCCCCCCACCTCTGCTCGTTGGCAGTATAATTAGCCGCAGTCATAGCCAATACCCCTACCCTACCCCCACCTCCCATATACTTCTTCACCGGCCAGCTGCGATTGCAAAAATCCTGCCTTCGATGTTCAATTTCCACAGCGTGCACACTCGACTGCCTTTTCAAGCGATGCGTTCGCAATGGCAGGACAGAGCAGGATGGGACAGGATCCGATAGTGCAGTTCCCTTCCATGATATTAACCATCGACCGAAGGCCCTACTTCGGTTTTTCGACCAGGACCACTTCATTCGCCATTCCATGCCGCATAATATGGAGGAGATTTTGGCTCGCATTTGGTGTTCCGCCGGAGGACACTCACTCCCGACCGCCATAATTGGCTACCTGCTGAGCTACCCTTTGTCGAAATCCTCAGTACTTCGAGACCAGGTATTCCTTTTGCCTTTTGATTGACAAGCACTTGCAGACAAAGGACATGAAGAGGATTGTCATCCACGCTGTCAATTTGCTTGGCTGATGTCATGAAAATATTCATAACATTACTCCTTGTTACTTCATTATTCTGGAGTAGACCCTGATAAGGCAGCTACCATTAATTCATGGTAAAATAAAGAAGTAATTAATAAGAATTAAATATAATATGCTGTTGCTGGAGGGTTTTTAAATAAATTCAACAGGAGCAGTAGAAAAAGCTCAAGTATTGAAGTTTCAAATATATTATTATAATATCTTATTAATTTCTCTGTTGGTGTGATTATCCGGATAGCGATGTTAACTGAGACCTTGCAAAAGACACGTCTGCTATAAATTTATGACCCTCCACTAGTTTAGCCCTCAGGTTAAAAACCCTAAACCGAATCCATTCCCCACCAGCTATAATTAGGTTCCACATTGGATGCCACTAAAATGCGACAGCCGACAAATGACCTACAATAAGATTTAGTGTGCTCTCAAGCAGCTAAACTTAATATTTCACGTACACTTAACCTACGGGTTTAAATGTCGTAATTTTCTCATTGGCACCCGCCGTCCCCGTACCCGTTCTCCTCCAGAGGACTACGCTCGAGGAGCTGCTCGAATGTTTTACTGTCTCAAAGTTTGTCTCAATTACGTGCGTGCCAGACTGAGTCAGCTCATCCCGACCATTCTATACTATATCGTACCATATACCATATCCCAGTGGCCGAGCCGAATATTTCTGAAGAGACTACGGCGCATTTCTCAGCAGGGTCGCAGGGAAAGGGCGACCCGCAACCCCGTCTCGTTTGTCATTGGCAACTTTTTAATTAAAAGTTTCATCCGAGTAATGGGATATTTGCACTGCGAAATGCCACGGCGGCCAGCGACGATACTTGATACTTGTGCAATATTTGTGGGCGTCCCCATCTCGCTCCTTCGACTTTCCTGTCCCCGGCTACAAGTATCTAATTGCCAAAAGGATTTGCAAAACTTCAGCCTTACATAACGTTGCGCTGACCTCCATCGCAATCTTTATCTGGCCGTTGTTGTTGTTGTTGTTGTTGCTGTTGCTGTAGCGCTGCAAACTTTTGGCCAGCAATTGCCAAACTATGCCCAACACGGGACTACGTGAGTCGAGCTAATGAGCTGCAAGAGTCACGCGCACAATTAGCCGGGCATGGATTTTAATTAAGACTCACTCAACGATCCAAGGCGGCCCGAGGATCGGCTAATTAATATTCCCAAGGACATTGCATTTCCCCTTTTTATGGGTCAAGCAGTCAGGTGAAATACTTTAAAAACACGTAGCTTTATGTTAGCCTTCAAAAGACCCTTTAGAGTGTATGCTTTGGTAAAAAATATCAAAGCAAGTCCATTCATACTCTAAAGACTTGTGGCTTGATCCTCTAAAAATCTGCATTCAAAATTGTAATTTTAACGTCATCAGTTTTTTTTTACCGATTTTCATCTTCGTTATTTCGAAGATTCCGATGACTTGTGGAAAGGGGACCAAAATTAGAAAATTTACTTCTAGAGCCCATAACTTTACTAAATTTAAAGTTGCATACCTGTTAGGACTTGTAGTTCGATTTTCAAAAAATCTGCATTCAAATTTCTCACTTTAACTTTGAGTTTTTTACTTACTCATAACCATACACTTCACTTAACGCTTTTCGAAACTAATACTAATTGGACTTTTGATCTTTTTGAACCTGTTAGGGAATCTTTGCTCAATCTGTTTGGAGGACTTATTTAAATCCCTAGGCAGAGCATGAAACACCACGTCCGGAAGAGGCCAAGACGTGACCAAATTTTGCAAGGACGAGCTCAGGTGTCCCAGACCTCAGCATATAATTCTGCCTACATCAAAGTCAGATTTTTAAACGAATCCCATGAGGACATAGAGAGCTAAGTCAACCGATTACCACTAACCATTGTTTAGAGTTCGTTGTTCACTTTTCACTGTTCACTACCCAGTGTCCACGTCTAATCGTCGCCGGATGTCCGCACAGAAATTTGCTTTCATTGTTTTTGTTCCAGCAGCCGGACTCTCGTTATATTTGCCTGTTTTTCGGACGGGGGATTCTGTCGCCTATTCTGCTCAATTTTAGCTTTTTTTTTTGCTGGTTTGGTGTGGGCCAACTTTGTTGTTGTCAGCATTCGCTTTCAATTTCCTCATCCACTCGAACTAACATCCTTCCGCCGACTTGTCGTGGTTGCTCATTCATGGCCGTTTTCACAGCACCTAGTGCTGCTGGTCACTCGTCAATCGACAGTCGTCAGCAGTGAATCCGAATAACACAGGACCGCCCGTCCGTTTGTCAATCAATTGTGAATTGTTTATTGAATGTTGTCGTTAGACTGCACACAATGCCGCTAACAGCCGAACAGGAGTTGTCGGTTTGGCTTCGTTTGCTTTTCCTTTCTGGCTATCTGGCGATTTTTTCGGATTCTTTACCCTGTACTTTTTTAACTGGCAAGGGTATATTGCATTTGTGTTAGTTATTGTGTAGAGAAAAGAGGTATTTCTGATCTTGTTTGTTATGTAAAACCAGCTTAAACTAAAACGATCTCTGCAAATATTAAAATTGAATACGTTCATTTACAAGATCGTTTTCTAAATAGGTGATTAATTTTATTCTCATTAGTCTTTTAAATAATAAGAAAATTACCAATAAAGTTTTGCAAGTACTTTGTATCCCATGGTTCGATTCTTCGATCACCGCTTTGTTTTATAGTTTTTTTCCTAGAGTTTCGTTTGTTTCAAGTTTGGACATTGGCGGATGGCTTAGGACTGTCATTGTTTGCACTGTCAAACGCTCCATTTTCTATTTATCTTTTTGTGCGCTGATCGATTTGTTGTTGGGCCGGCTTTCAGTGAGTGCCTGGGCCATTTTGCTAACGCATTTCCTTTTTAAGAGGTCCCGCTGCATGGCCGTGCTATCATAAATTTGCCCAAATGGAAATGGTCTTTGTCCGTAATGAAATAGTGTTGACTTTCCTCACACTGGCACTCGCACACATCGAATCGCGCGTCCTTAACAAATGCACGAAATTGCTTTTAAACGAGGACGACGCCGTGCAGTCTGCCGCCCAGCCTCTGAGGTCCATTCCTTTTCCCAATCCTCCTCCAGATTTTTCCACCGCCCAGTGGCATGTGATGATTTGTTCGCACATAATGAAACTCATCAGCAGCTGCAGAACGGGTAAAGTCGAATGAAAGTGGTGGGGGAAGGGGTTTGCTCATAACGAACAAGCCAACTTGTTCGGATCGAGGCTTGGCATAAATTCAAAAGGCACGACAACCCGACAGCACTCGCCGGGAAAATGTAGTAAAAGCATTTTACAGTTTCATTTTCCTCGACTCAGTGCCGGCCACTGTACATCGTCCATCGTCCATCGTCCATCGTCCATCGTCCGCCGTCCACAGCTCGGCTTTTGTGCGATTTACTTAATTTGAAGTGTGCCGGGGCCATCGAGGCATTCCTTTTAAAATCAATTCGAAGTTTATTTTTCTTGCGGCTTCCTCCCTGCTCTGCGGCACACCATCGCATATTTTCTTCGTTTGCTTTCAATGTTTGACTTGGACTGTCGCACTATTTATGCACGTCTTTGCTCCGCAGACAGCAAGGACCCACTTTGGCCAGGACATTATGGCCGCCGAGCAGGCAAATGGACTTGAGAGCCAGCCTCAGGTCCAGGTCCCCATCTGCCGGCTCTGTAAACTATGTAAAATAATCTCTTTTATTGCTGAAACGTTTGTTCAAATATATTTTTATATTAACAAGTTTATGGATCAAACGGGAGCAGATGGGATTTATCCACAGAAAAAAAAGGCTGAAATGGGATTTCAAATGTATCAAACTAAAAGTTATTCTAGTTTTAAATTGAAATCCCTAATAGCCTTACATGTTATTATACAAAATTAATCTTCTGGAGTTTGGTATTAAAATGAAGTAGTTACTTTGATATTTAAAATTAATAAATTTAAAACTATTAATAAGTAAAATAGACGATTCTCTTCCAACAAAACTTTAACCAAAAGCCTATATAAATTGTGTTGAATCAGATTTGTTAATCACTTGTAATGATAAATTGAAGACGTATAATAAATTATAATGAGGACTTCCCATTTTTCTTCTTGTGTGGTTCCGTCTCCTAGCTGCCAGCCTAAGGCAAGAGTGAATTTTAAGCTGAGCGCAAACAGCTTGAGCAAATTCATTAACAACAGAACCGCCGCTCTCAACCCAAATCCCGCCCAACCAAAGCGGAGCTCAGCCCTACAGTTGCGGTTGCCTTTTAAAAATGGGGGCAATGCATTTGCCCCGAGGGTGCCAGAGACCAATCCCAATCCCGTCCGGAACGGGAGCACAGCTGCGGGTTGCCAAGCACTTGTTTTTGATGTGACGCTGATATTTAAAAGTGGAGTTCACATCAAAGTTACACAGCAGTGTGGAATGACCGACATCATCGTGCCATCATCCCTGAAATCATCATCATCATCATTCGGTTGGGGTAGGTATGCCGTGGTACATTAGCAGCAGGACAAAGGATGGGAATGGTGGAAAAAAAAACCTTCTATACTTTAGTTGTCAATGCAACATAAGCTACTTATGACGGACAAAAATAAGCGGTACTCTCAAGTTAAAGTTATGGTAAAAAGTCTGGTAAAATATCTACAAATATGGTAGAGTATTATTTGGGTGGTGTACTATCCCGCAAAGGATTTCTTATGCACTTGCGGTAATTACACAGCGTTTTAACTATGCTGCACTGCCTTTGTTGCAACTGCAACTGCAACTACTTGCTGCTGTTACTTGACACATGTCTGTCACTCACTCACTCAGCGCTTGACTTTTCAGGGAGAGTGGAATGGATATCTAAAGGATGTGCTACCATAAATTCACTGTGTGTGTACTGTACTCTGGCTGCTGCTGATGATGACTTGGCACTTAAACTGCCAGACCATTCGATCAACTGCGCCCATTAAGCATACGCCGTGTTGGACGCTGGAAATCAGTAGCACATCATTTGCATGCACCGTGGTCTTAGCCACCACCATCTGATGTTGACTTATGAACAGCCAACTCAGCTCAGAACTTGCGGAAAAACGGAAATTACATTTCGCTCACTTTGTGTGCAATTAAAGTTGGATCGGTGAAGGGAAAGGTGGCAAACGGGCAAAAACTTTTCCCTCTTGCAGTTTGCATTTGAAATCGCTGCGCGAGCACACACTTTAAAGTGTTTCTGTTAATGCGAATTTGAAGTTTGATCGATATAAGGGGCGTGGCTGGCGCTGCGGCCGCCGCCCACTGGCCGCCCGGCATTAGAGGTCACACGAAGCGGGCCCATCATCACTTTAACGCCAGTTGCCGCGACGAGTTGTTTGATTTGCCGCATCGCAGCCGTTGTAGCGCGGCGCTGATTCGATCCCGAATTCAATCCAGTGACCAATGTCCGATGCGGCGGGAATGGCCAGCAGCGATGAGGAGGGCCTGCCCACCGGTGGCGGCAGTGGTCGGCAGCGCGTCCAGCGCGACTTTAGCGACGCCAGGTTGGAGCGGGTGGCCGCCTACACAACGACCACTATGCGCCTCAAACCAGATAAATGGACCAAAATGATGGCCAGCGATGAGTTGCGGGTGAGTTTGCCACTTTTACACGGTCGAAAAATCTCTGAAATGGGTGAAAATATCGCTAAATAGTTTGCGAAATGTAGTTTTAAAATTTAAAAAATTTAAAAATTTAAAAATAAAATACATATTAGAAACAAAAAAAAAATTTTTTTAAATTAATTAAAATTGCAAGTAACAATGTATACTCTTTCTGGATTCTCCTTCAAGAAATCTAGTTACAATTAACATTGTTAAATTTTCTAAAAATTACTATAATTTGTTAATGTCTTGCAAAAGACAAAAGATTTATACATTCAGCATTAAGAAAGAAGTCCAAATAACTTGGACACGACGATTTTTCAACAAATAAAATATATAAAGCGTAAATATAAAAATAAAAAAAGTTTTAATTGATTTAAAAAAAAAAAATTTAAATTAAATTAAGCCAGCCAGAATAATGCATTTATTAATGACTTAAATTTATTTATCACAATTATATTAAAATACCACATTATCATACATTATGTTCAAATTTACTCTACTGCGAAATAAAAATGAGAAGTGTTCCATTTAAAAAATAAATGCGAATGTAATTAGTGTGCCTTTTAGTATGTGCAATAATGTTACCATTGTCACGTGCTCATTGTGTTCAGCGCATTGTTTTGGAATGGCAGCATGGCCACATTCGCGTCCTGGTGATGACTCTCAGTCCTGGCGGAGATTTGGTGCCCAGGAGTTGTCTCAGTGACTTGTACCTGCCGTACTCGGTGCAGAGCATCCGTGGATCCGTCCAATCCGCCCTGTTGCCCCTCGAAGATGAAGCCATGGCCACTGTGGCATCGGCAGTGTCCGCCGTGGTGTCTGCCACGCCCGGCGCCCTGCTCATCCCACTGCCGCCCGCCTCCTCCAGCTTTACAACTTTGGACGGTGTGCCGCGCGGCAAGTGCGCCTACTTTGTGCGGCGCAATAGTTCCGACGGACCTTTGACGGCGTCCAATTTTTCCGGAGAGCATTCTGTACGGAGACTTTCCTGTGCACAGCAAAATCGAGACCATGTCGCTGCTGTTCGACGAAGTATTGCAGCCGCTGCTGGAACAGGCACAAAGTCAGTGGCCCGCCATTGTTCGCAAGGATCTGCAGGCGCGCATCAAGGAAGTGCGGAACACGCTGACCGAGGTGGGTGATTTGTTTTGCTGGATCTGACGCACTCAGGAAATAATCGACCTTATAGCCACGAAATGTCTTTAAAAATCTTAAAACTTTTCCATTTGACCAAAAATAAGTTTTAAAATGTTATATTTCCATATTTTGTTTGTTTCAGGTTTTAAAACGAAATAAAAATGCCAACTACCCTTAAATAATGTGTCTTAAGTTTTAATTATTAAATGTTCGAAGTTGTCTTTATCATTTTTAATGTACATTTAAAATCTCTTTACATTCACAATAACATACCATAATATTATAAATTTGTAAACATTTTTAACACTTGATGCCCTAATCTTGTGTAAAAAAAAGTATGTCTTCTATAGGTAAAAACTTTTTCTGGTGTTAACAGTGACTTTCATGCTTTTTTCCAAAAAATGATTTTTTTTGAAAATAAGGTTGATTTTTTCCAGAGTGCAGCTGCCAGCTGTGTTATCTCATCAAATTAATCTAATTGAGTGCAGTGGGGCGGGTGATTCGAGTGGGAAGGTGGGGTGTTCCCAACCAATCCCATTCGAAGCGACTCCGGTCATTGTCTTGGAAGTATTTCGCTTAATTGGCAAAACTTTTCATGTGTCTACGGGCGATACGTATACATTTTGTCTGTATATACTTTATTGTTATCCCCACAGATTAAGGGCAAAACCAACAATCGCACAATTTTATCGTTATTAGTTTCGCCAACAATCGTCGAGGAAGTGTTTGCCCACGTGAGCCAAGGGTAAGTTCCAGCCATTGGATGGCCATTGTCTTAGGATTCCGTCCTGCCCTCCAGCTCCTTCGTTTCGGAGATGTCGCCCCAACAGCTATCTGGCATTGTTTATGTGGACAGAAAGAGAAAGGCTTATTCATGATAGCAAATTGATTTTCATTGGCATAACTTTTCGCATGAATTGGTTCAAATTTATTTAGCTTGCAATTCCGGGCAAATTCAAGTTATTTACCCCTTGGCCACACAAAACTGGTGGCATACTTCGATTATTTTCCCATCGAGCAAATGCTTTTAATTAAATTACAAATATTAAAGAAAAAGCAATCGTGTGCTGGCCATCAGCATTCTTAAGAAAATTGTCCAGAATTGAACCAAATTTTGCTGTCGATAAACACGTCAAGAGCTTTTAAAATGTATAAAAAGATATTTGCTTCAGTAACTCACAATGCTCAAATCAATAAGGACAAAAAAAAAGCCAATCAATGGCAAAAATCAAAAACAATCCAGAAAGTCATTTTATTAGTATCAATTTTGTTAAAAACTAAAAAGGAAAATAGTTGAAAACAAAAAGCAGCATAGAAAGGGGGAAATTAAATGTCCATATTTTTGAAAATTAGGTCAATTAATGTTTCATTAAAAAGTTTGCCCCATAGGCCGATGTTAAGTTGGATAGAATTGCAAATTAAAGCCAATAATACAACTTTAACAAGCTTACATCTTTGCGGAAGAGGTTTTATAAAGTTCACAAAAATTTTAAGTTTAAAGTTATATCAACATTAAATTGGTTTAATAAATATACAGATTAGTACAGATTTAGAAAACTTAAGCTATTCAAGAAAAATAGTTCAATTTATTTTAAATGACAGCAGATAAAATCACTACCTCAAAAATATATTAATAATAATTAATCTGATTAGTATAAATTAAGTCACTCTTTTTATGAACTTTATTAGCCACTTACGACCAGCTCTGGATCCGAAATTCCGAAACCTGCTGGAAGAGATGTTTATAAACTGGACCACCCAGATGCACGACATTGTTTTGGAGCGTTCCGAGTGCCAGCCGTTGGGATCGGCCACCGTGTCATCCGGTCATCCCCCCAAGCACATAACCCACGTCTCTTTGCCGGCCCAGGAGATTGGCTTTTGGACGAACAGGAAACTAAATCTGCAGAACATCTACGAGCAGCTGCGCGAGTCCACCCACAAGACCCTCGCCCAGATTTTGGAGCGGATCGAGTCCGTTTATTATGTGCCCTATGCAACTGCTTTCCGAAAACTAGTGGCAGCCTGGCTGGAGGCGCAGGATGTTTCCCTCTGGCTGCAGCCACTTCTCCGCCAGACTTCCGCCTTCAATTCGGTGCAGTTCAGCAATGGACATGATTTGGTGCCACCACTCGTCCACGTGCTGCACCTGGTGTGGAGCAATGCCAGGTACTACCGCAGCACCCAAAGGATGAGTGTCCTGCTGCGCTGCATCTGCAACATGCTCGTCCACCGCGCCGCCGAGGATCTCGAGCTGCAGCTGCTTTTCCAAGGCGACGCCGATGAGGGTCTACTAAAGATCAATCGCACCACCGAGGTTTTGGAGCTTTTTAAGTGAGTAATTACTTAGAAGCATTCGCCAGTAAAGGACTATTTAAAAATAATATAAACTTTTCAGAATAGATCTTAGTTAAGTCTCATGATTTTAAAAATTAATAAAAGATTAATAAACTAAAATAAACGAACTTTGTATATCAAAATTTTAATTTGTTATTTGGTTTGATATGTTTATAGTATAATTTAGAGTTTGAGGATAAGCAAACAAAGCTGAGCCATTAAATGCGTTTGGAAACCACAGTCAAATCTCAATTAAATTAAACAATACCAAAGTAATTAAAGTATTTCCCAAAAGTGTGCATAGCTGTGTATTATATATTAACAATAATAATTTTAAAATCTCCTAACTAGGCTAATAAAATTCAATCCTTTCTCGCAAAATTTGGAAGTGCCATTACAAATTGAGAATTTAATTTCAACTCCAATTAGTATTTTGGTTGAGGTATTATTATACATATTTAACAGCAAGTTACAATAATGTGTCTTCTTCAGGCAACGCATGCTGGAGTACAAGGAGCGCTATGCCGGCAGCCAGGTCCTTTTGCCCGCCCTTCCACAAGGAGCTGCTGCCATGCCTACTTCTCCATCTCCCGACGACCAGCAGCAGTTGTGGCGCTTCTGCCACGAGGATGTGTTTGGCCAGACACTCGATGGCTTCTCGGCCCAGTTGATGGAGTTGCGTCAGGTTTTCGAGGCGGCGGTGCAGTTTCAGCAGCTGGAGAAGCTTGAAGTGGGCGGATTGCGGGGCAAAATACTCACGGAACGTGTCAGAGAGGTGATCCCAGAACTTGACTATAAGATTCACCTTTAATACGTTAATACATTTGTTCTCATCAGATTTTTGGCGAGTTTAAAGTGCTCTTTGAGCAGTGGAGTAACGTCGATATAGATCTCACGGCGCCACTGGCCAGCAAATGGAAATGTTTTCGCCGCGAGCAGACGCTCTTCTTTGGTCGCATGCAACTTCTAGAGCAGAAACTGGCCACCGTGCTGATCCAGGCATTCGAGCAGTGCCACAGCTGGATGCACTTGCTCCGTTTGACACTGATGTTTGGCAGCCTATTGCAACGTGCAGCTGTAAGACCGGAATTGGCACGTATCCTGCCACACATCCTGGCCATATACGATAGGGAACTCGAACAGCTGGAGGAGAGTGTGCGGGAAATCCTGCTCGGCTACGAGATCCGCGGCTTGGTTGCTCTACCCATGGCCAACAATTTTCCACCCATTGCCAATGCCATGATGTGGCTGGAGCAGCATATCAGTCGCTGTGATGAACTGGGAGCCAAGGAGTTGAACACCCTCATTGAGCAATTGTAAGTACTCTTAAATTATATACTGAAATATTACAAAATTAAATTCAATCTCAGACTTAAAGAGAAATCAGAGCTCCAGTCGTTGCCCCTTGAATGGGGTTATTTGCTCTCGCGTCGCAATATTTTGACCACCAAATTAAGTAATCTGCAGATGAAAATCTGGACCACTTGGCATGGGTGTATTGATAAGCTTATCGTTCGGGGACTAGATGAATCAGTTCTGTCCCGATCGGAGGACAATAGCCAGCTGCACCTCAACTTTTCCCCGGTGCTCTTCACCCTGCTGAAAGAGACTAAATATTTGCTGGCTCTTCAGGCTACTGGCAGCTTATCGGGCGATCTCTTCCAGCTGCCGGAACCGCTGCTCACACTTTACGGACATCGGGATGCCTATTGGGAGCGACGAATTCGGCTCATCAAGATTGGGGAGTTCTACAACGGAATTCGCTCGGGGGAATGTGCCGCAGCTGAGCTCCAATTGATAAGCAGTGACCTGGCGAACATCGATGAGCAGGTGGCAGTGGCCTGTCGGGAACTCACCTGGCGGAATTACGGTGAGTGGGAGACAGAGATTCTACACCAGTAGATACTGTAGAATTTATCAATTACTAATGATTATCAATCACTAATGAATTTAATGTAATGCAATCCAAAACTAATGCTATTAATATCATTTTTAACTTTAAGTCTAGGTATATTTTATTAATTAAATTAATGTAATGAAATTGAAATCCCATTTGGCGCAAAATCATACTCATTTTAAAAGCAAATAATTAGGCAAAACTACGAAAAATTTTACATTTTCACATACTATATGGAAAAACATGAATTTTAAACTAAAAAGGAAATATTATTGTTATCTGTGTATTGCATTCACTTATACATATATCATCTTCCAGATGATCCGCTTGTGGCGGACATTTTCCAGCACAGTCGCGACCTGTTTGCCCGCCTGCAGCAGTCGCACGGAAATCTGGACGCAATCCTGGCCAGCATGCGTCGCTGGAGCCGCGAGCCACTGCATCAGCGCAGCTTATACGGTCGCAATCTCCTGGATCTGCGCCACCAGCAGGACCGAGTGCGTCTGCGATTGCTGCAGTGCGATGAGACCAAGATGCTGCTGAATCGCCTGCTGATTGCCAACTTCTGCCTGTTCTTCAACTACGAGTCGCAGGAGTTTCAGCTGTACTCCAGAGATCTTAGTGTTCAGGAGGTAAGCTTAAGCATTGTTAATTATTAAAGGGACCAAAAGTTTGACCATCACTTCTTACCCCATAAAATTCTAAGTTCCAAATTAATTTATGTTTTAAATTACACTAGATTTAACAATTTACTCCAGAGATAAAAGTTTGGTTTTCCAGTGCAGATAAACTCTCTAAAAATGACAATTAAAAATTAACAAGAAAAGATATCATTCTAGTTTTTTAAGTGAAAATTACATATTAATTTGGGAGTTTCGAACCGTAAAACGTTGTAAATTAGTTATTTATTAATCTGCACGAAAATTTTAGTTACATGTATCGCTACTGAGATTGAGTATAAGTGCCTTGTTTTTAAATTTGTATATGCCACAGTTTGTTCGTGAATTTCCGAAGGAGCAGCGGCGGCAGTACAACAAGTATTTGGCCAGTGTGGATGACCTGATCTGCCGCGAAGTTCGCCAGGCGATGAGAATAAGGTTTCTAAGCAGCCCTTGAATTTTCATCATCATCATCATCATCATAATCTTCATTGTCAGTAGCACTCATCGCCAATCAATTGCACTTCTTCACCAGTCAGCTAACTATTATATTACATTTTGGCACGCTGGCAGCTCCTTTCATGTCTCATCAGAACTAATCAAGTAAATGAGCACGAAATCGCACACAGCAACCGCAAAAATGAAAGACACCTGCAGAATGGCAAGTGCAACAACTACATTTCACGACCGCAGCAATATGGGGCAACAATGGCAACAACAAATTGCCGCGGGCCGAGTATTCATGCGTCAATTGCATGTTTCACTTAGCGGCACTTTTCGTGATTGCATGCAGACAGTCAGACCAACACCGGTTTTGGCTGGGGGAGGGGGGAAGGGTTCAGACTGCAAACGAAATAAGCTACAAAACAAACTCAACACTAAATTTAATTTTCACATTACTCATACGCCGTGTAATTCAGTTTAGAGTATTTGTACAAAGAAATGACAGCAACGGCAACGGCAACGGCAACAGTAGATCCTGCTACGCCAGCCAGCATGGCAAGGTTAGTCCTACAGCAAATCACAACGCCACAGGCGACAGCAACAGGAGGAGTGGGAGCAGGAACAGGAGCAGCAGGAGCAGGAGCAGCAGGAGCAGGAGCAACAGGAGCAAAAGGAGGAGCCCCACCAGCCAGTGGAGCAGTGAACGATGCTCCACTCTTCGAAGTAAAATTGGAGCTGACGGAAACGGAAATACGCTTTTCGCCCGCCTTCGATGCAAGTGTGGAAAATAATTTTCAACAAATTGTGGAGCAGCTGTTGCTCGATATAAAACAGACATGCGACTGCATGCCAAGAATTGTGGCTGACAATGCCTTGTCAGAGGATGATGAAGACGACACGGCGGCGTCGGAGTACGAGCAGCAGGAACAGGGACAGAGGCAGGAGCAAGTGCAGGAACAGGATCTGGAGGAACAGGAGCAGGAGCAACAAAAGCCGCAGGCCGTGCAATTCAACCTGCTGGCAGCCGCCAAGGCGTATAGCCAAAAAATGGAAAGCACTGGTATGACTTTCGCCTCCCCGAAATGTGTCCGCATTTTTAAGCCCTTGTGAAGGGTTTATTTATTTTCTAACCTATAAATATATCGGTGGTGCCACAAAAATCAATAGGATTCTAAAATCATTTAATATTAATATTAATATTTTTCGAAATTGACCAATCTGTCAACTTAACTTTTTTATGCATTATGGACATAAATCGAGTGATAAGTTCGTATTGCAATTGTACCTTATATTTTCTGGAATACCTAGTTTTTTATTCTTTCTCATAATTGTAGTAACCATTTGAAGTCTTTAAAAGGAGCGCAATTTTTCTGAGATGAGTTTATTCTAATTGCGAGTTCTGAAATAAAATGTCTGTGAATTTAGAAACAATTTTTAAATGGCGTAAAATTGGTTAATTTTAGAATCTTCACCCAAAAACCTTCGTCCCCATTATTAATATTCCTTTATCTAGAAAAATTGAAGATTTTAATTTGTAGGTAAAAAATAATCTACAAGTTTTATGCAAGGATATTAAATGTTTCGGATACCGAATCGAATCGATTTACCATGTTTGCCATCACACACCCATGCTTATCCACATCTCTCTCTACGCATCCAGTCGATGGTCTAGAAATTCTGGAGAAGGCGATACGCGATGCCTTGGCGGAAACGGTGGAGGCGGCATCTGCCTACGCCGGAAAATTCCACGCCTATGCATTCCTGTGGACGCAGCAAAGTGGCGACGTGCTGGCCGCCTGCATGCAAACGGCCAGGGAGCAGACGCACCACGTCAGCGCCGGCGGCTATGCCATCATGGAGACGTTCAAAAAGGAGGTGAGATGGAAAAGAAGACCCCTTGGGCACCGAATGCCAACAGCTTTCGGTGGCTGCGACACTCACACTAAGTCGGAAAGCAGATGAGGATGGAGGGACGGACGCAGACTGGGTGGCTCAATTGGCAACCACACAATTTACGCCATGTAGCCCCTGAGACCAATAACGCTTGATAAATGCCAACCATTTAGGGTCAAATGTGTGGCAACTGACCAGGGCAAAGAAAAAGAAAAAAAACCGAACAGAACAAAGCAAAACACTAAACAACTGCTTAACCACCACATGGCGTCGTTGACTTATGTTCGGGGGCAATTGGGAGCCACTTCCTGCAGCACAGCAGGCAAATCGCCGACGTATGCGTAATATTTTCTTTAAACAATTATCAAACGCCCCGAAAAGTAAGACATAAATTACCCAAAAGGAACACACACACACAAACACACGCAGAACAAAAGGCTACAACAAATCATGGTCGAAGTGCACGGACATGGCGTTAAATTGGGTGTTGCCCAATAAAATAAGGGAAATTCGCCAGCAAGAAAAACCAAACTGAAACGCAACGAAGTCTAAATGGTCTGATCTTGAACTTTTTTTTTATTTAGAGGTGGTGTATGTTATTTTGGATATCGAAAGACGTTTCAACTTGGCATTCTGAGAGATAGCAAGGGTTAGATTAAAAGGGATATGAAATTTGCTAGTTATCTTATCTTGCGATTGCTTTTGTATTTATATTTATTTGACTATGCAAAAGGCTGGCCATAAATAGATTCAATAGATTTTTAACCCAATTGTGATCACACGATTTTTTTGTAATATTTTAATGGGATGTTTTGTTTTGATATTTACTTTCTTAAATATTTGGAGTTTCTTGTGTAAAACTAGTTAAATGCACATATTTTTTTTCTATTCTTTCTTAAAATAAATGTTTTGTCTATAAAACTGTGTAAGTATATTTAATTTCACAAATAGATTTAAGAATTATCAGTTTCAAACTTCAATTCAGTGATACCCAACGCCTGGAATAGAGCACGAAAAATCACTGGCCGGCGTTTTATTTATGACTAGCCATTGAGTTGCCTCTGCCGCAGCTGGTGCGCTTAATAAACCGACGGCAGCGGTAGGAATACAATAATATATACACAGTATATAGGGGATTAGCCTGTCCACACACATATAGACACACATGTGTGGCAAATTAGTAAATAAATTAAAGAAGGGCCAATCAAAGGAAGGGCCAACCATAACTTGCCGAATCTTCCCCAGATCGAAAACTACAACGAGGTGCACGACGCCATTGACCAGTGCGAAAACCGGGAGTGCATCAACGGATGGCTGGCCCTCGACCTCAAGCCCCTCAAATATGGCCTTCTTAATCTGGCCTGCAAATGGTCTCACCTGTGTAAAAAATGGCTTCTCCGCTACGTCCAGGGCACTCTTAAGGTAAGACATTCCTTACATGTTTGCTAGATTCCATAAGACCATATGCAAATATAATGTTTAAAATAAACTATTTCATCTTTACTTGAATGATATAAATCTTTATTGTATATTCGGCATTTTTTTATATTTTATTGTCTGCCTGACAAATGAACAACAAAGTAGTAGCACTAAATCCCCTTCTCATTTTTCCGTCCAATAGAAAAACATAGTTTAAAAGCCCTATAGATCTATGGGGATCACCGATAGGCCATTTCAAAAATTTTGCTGGGCCGCCGGAGGCTAAAGACACGTAGTCGCCTGTTTTTTCCTTATCGTTAATGCCTATCCAGTAACTTCTATGATCTATTAATTTAGCTGATATGGCCTTAAACTCAATTTCGTCTTTGATGGATGCTAAATACCCGCCCATCTCTCGACAGGTGGCGTCAGCATCAGTCCAAGTTTTGTTACTTTTACTTTCAATGTAGAAATATCTCTCACCGATCAGCTCAAAATTCGGCGGAATTTCCAAATTGGTACCAGAGAGCGGTTTCAGAAGGGTAGTTTGAGGGGTTGCCTGAGTGATGGCCGGAACGGTTGCTGTCTGGCCCTCAATTTGGGTCAAAAGCGTCTGTAAGCCGGTTTCTACCAAACGAAGGCTAGTCTCCGTTTTGCTCTGAAGCTTCAACCAACCCGTCTCTAAATCTTCTCTCGTAATGGTTTTCGTGCAGTATTTCTCAATGTCTTGTTGCGTGATTATCTTCTCTACTAAGTTCTCTAATAAGTTCTGCTGCTCTTCCAGTTGGGCCTGCACCTTCGAAAATTTGCCCACCAGATTGCTTTGACGGTCTATCTGCTTCTTCAACTGGCCTTCCATTTCGACCTGAAAAGCCTGAAGTCTCGTCTCGAATTCCGCTTGCGTGATCGGCTTCTGACAGCCGTGGTTTTCCAGCTCGGTCCTTACATTGTCAAGGTGGGCGTCCATTTTGAGTTTTAGATCTGACATCTGAGATTTCAGCTTCGAATCGTTTTCCTGGAACTGGACCATGAAGTTCAATTGTTTTTCTTTGATCCAATTTAGGTGGCTTGTACTTTGCAAAAGTTTATCGTTTATTGGATTTAGTTCAGTATCGATCAATTGCATACATTGACCTTCAGTGTTGTAATAATTGTACTGATAACCTGCCGACGAACCAAGCAAACTCCCGGCAATTGAGGCCCACAAGAAAAACATAGCCTGCTTATACATTTTAAATTATTTTGTCCACTCAAATCGAACGTTTCTGGACTACTAAAAGCGAGCTTTTTGTTGAATTAACGAAGAAGTACGTATGTGAAGTTTGTTATCAGTTATAAATTTGAGATCGCCGCGAAAACAATATTAATCGTCTTTCAGCTCATGAGTATTATGATTAGAGCGCTCTGATCTTTTTGGGGGCGCATCCGCCGGTAACGATAATATTAATTTATATTAAAAAAATATTTTGGCTTAGTATTAAACATATTTACATACAAAAGGAAAAGTCCAAAATTATAAATACAAATAAAGTCTTAGGTTAAGGTCACTCATATTTTTGATAAGGTGGAATGTATGACTCAAGTGACTATTATTAACCTCATCAAAAGTAATTTTTTAATGATACTTTTTTCTTCTTAGAGACTAGACCTGGCAATCTTAACAACTAACATATTAACAGGTTTTGGTTTATAATTATTTATTTATTTATTTTTATAATTGTTCAATATTTAATTATCTAAAAAAATTTAGAAATAAACAATTGACTTAATTTGGTCTTACAACATAAGGTTAAAAAAAAACTAAGACTGTCACTCCTTGGTTAGTAGTTGAAACTAGTTAGTGCAATACACAATTTTTTGAGTCTAAATTTATTTTAGACAAAAGATAATCTCCGTTTTGTTTTGAAGCGTTTTCCAGTTGGGCCTGCACCTCCAAAAATTTGCGAATCAGAAAGCTTTGACGGTATATCTGCCTTTGCAACTGTTCTTCCATTTCGACCTGAAAAGCCTAAAGTCTCGTCTCGAATTCCGCTTGCGTGATCGGCTTCTAACAGACGTGGTTTTCCAGCCTAGTCCTTACATTGTTAAGGTGTGCATTCATTTTTCGTTTTAGGTCTGACATTTGAGATGTCATCTCCGAATTTTTTTCCTGGAACTGGGCCTTCCTGTCCACTTGTTTTTCTTCGATCCAATTTACCTGGTTTGTTCTTTACAAAATTTTATTGTTCATTGGATTTAGTGCAGTATCGATAAATTGACTACATTGACCTTCAATCTTGTTATTATTGAATTGATAACCTGCCGACGAACCAAGCTAACTCCCGGCAATTGAGGCCCACAAGAAAAAACGAAGAAGTACGTATGTGAAGTGTGTTATCAGTTTTAAGTTTAAAGACTTCAAATTCTCTGAAATATCATAAAGCCCTAGTTTAGGGTCAGAAATAATGTTGATAAGGATGAACGGATGACTCAGTTTACTAAGACTAGCGATCAGCCACAATAATAGAATTTATATCGCTAAAAAAATAATACAGTGGAATTACGAGAGAACTCAGATATAGTATAAATGCATTCTGTACTTCTTTAATTTTGGTGTGATTAAATTTAAACGAAAACCAACTAATAAACATCAATGTGTTTAAAAAAAGCCACATTTTTACTTAAAATATCTTGAAATAAAATACCAAGCTTTTAACTATTTTAGACCAGAATTAAGTTCGATTACACCTTATGCCGATGAAAAACTTATTTTTGCAGGAGCTGAACGCATTCATTGCCCGCGGTCATGAGACGCTGCAGCTGCACATTGCTCGACAGGACTTCTCCGCCCTGCTCCGCGTGTTGGCCATCATGTCGGAGATCCGGCAAAGGGAGCCGTACGCGGACAACGTGTTCAAGCCGCTGAAGGATATCATGGGCCTGCTGAAGACCTACAATGTGGAGTTCGAGCCGCAGCTGTTGCGCGGTATAGAACAGCTACCGCAACAATGGCAGCAGCTGAAGCAGACAAGTACCGTTAAACAGGAGGCTCTGCAGGACACCCGCTTCCACCAACAACAACGTGTGGCCGCACTCATCGGTCTGCACACCTGTCACCTGCAACACTACGCCCGCCAATTCCAGCGAATGTCGGTGAGTGACGCACAACGATAGAAATCTCCTTTTGTGGACTGCGATATGCACTCCCCTTGGCTTTCAGTTCTTCCGGGTGCCCTGTCCGCAGGTCTACGATGCCTGCGATCGGGTCTACGACCGTCTTTACCGCTTCCGTCGGCAGCAACGCCTCTACACACGCTGGGCCCGGCTGCTCGACATTACCGCCCCCGATTCCGCCACCCTGCTGCTGTGCGAGGTCGAGCTGAGGAGGGTCAAGGTAAGCGCTGATAGGCGGTACTTTAAATACATTCTATGAACCACAAAATTGATTACTTTTTGGTAATCTCATAACACTGTGTCACTCCAACAATGTATTTTTATAAAAGTTTACTTTTTCAATTAATTCAAATTTGGCAAAAATAAAGAAACCATTTTTAGAATTTTTTGGAGGAAATAAATTTAAAAATTTGTATGACCAGGTTCGTAATATGCTCATTGAAATCTATTAAAAAGTATTTTTTTGTTAATGTAAAAAACCAAAAATTAAATTTTGTATCTCAGTGTAATATGTTAGCAAACACAATTCAATTTTTTTCCACAAAATAATAATAAATTGGTTATAAAAACAACTTTGTATATAAGCCGAATACATACTATCCCTATTAATAAAGACAAAATCGACTGATTGTTGTAGAGCAGTTAATGCTTTTTTGCTCTTAAAAAGTTTCATTTTATTAGATTTTCTTTATCTTTATTTACCTAATACCGTATGATAACGTTTTAGTTAAAGCAACAAAACGCTTAATGAAAAATATAATTACTGGCATATTAACAAGGTTTTCCAAAATAAAATAAAAATTAATTTTCAATAACAGTTTTCTGTCTGCTGTGCTGTAAATGCATTGAATTTGTAGTGGGTGACACACCTATAGCTTTATGTATTCAAGCTTATTTAGTTGTAATAGAGAAGGGGATGTCTTAAACAGGTCCTTGCTATCTCACGAAATCTAATAATTGACACATCGCCCGCAGCAATTGTGGGACTTTGTGCGCGTCATCGAGTCGTGCATCGTGGACTGGCACGCCACGCCCTGGCTGCTCATCGACACCGACGACATGGAGCACGAGTGCAAGAAGTTCACCCGCGACCTCCGCACCCTGGACAAGTGCATCCGCGAGTGGGCGCCCTACGTCCACATTGTGGGAGTGCTGCGCGAACTGGTCGCCTCGCTGAGGGCCATCACCGAGCTACAGAATCCAGCAATTACGGAGCGCCACTGGATGGAGCTGATGCAGTTGACAAAGGTGAGTGGGGTGGCAGTGGGTGGGGTTCAGTATTGTGTGTGTGTGTGGGTATTTCCAAATGATTGAGCGGGCCAACAATGGAATGGAGCCGGCAATCTGCCTGCTGGCCGATGTCCCTTTGTGCCAAGCGTACATGGCGATCAGAATGGCACACATTGGGCAAACACATTAGCGAAGGTGCAACCTCAGAAGCTGCAGGACCTGTCACAGGATATAACCACATTGGAAATGGAAGGACATTAGAACCTGTGATTTGTTCAACAATTTGCTCAAACAAAGGGAGGAACTCATACAAAACTATCTTCGCCACTAGTTTAAATCACTTATCTGTCGCATTAATTACTAAAATCTAATCAAATTTGCCGCTTATCTTCATGCTCAGCTCAGTGGACTGCATTCCATGGACGAGTTGGTAAGTGAAAATGTTAATCAGAATGTAATGCGAAACCGAACTAGGTTCCCTAACCTAAATCATGAATTAAAATGTAGTTATCGCATTTGCTCGTCTTAGCCCAATCAACGGTCATTCATGGGTTCCGGATTATGTGCATTGTTGAACGACATGCCTCCAGTTTCTGGGGCGTTGGCTCCATTACAAAATGCTCCTAACAATGGACTTAGCAGAGATTTTGCTCCGCAAAGCCGAAGGCGACAATGGAATGCATTGCTCAATACTGTTAATTAAATTTGCCAGAATTCGCTCAAAATGTAGGATTATTAATGTGTGTACAGGCCACCGGAGAAAATTTAAACTTGCATTCTAAGCAATCAATTACACTGCCCTCCAAATACTAAGTATATAACGTAGTTTCAAGCAAGTCTAAGTAATAGTACTTTAAAAGTTAGTCACCAATATCTAAAAAAAAAAGTTTAGGTATATACAAAATATACCATTTTTTAGAATGAAATTTTTAGATTTTTTTTTAAAATGTAAGCCTTTTTAAGTAAATAAGTAGTAGTAAAAATTCCAAACCTGCAGCACAGTGCTTTGGATGTGAGTTTCTATTGATTCGCATGTCACCGGCCAAAATTCCCTAGAAGCCTTTGAAATGTATTCACATTTTGAGTTTTAGAGTAATTAGAGTCACGCTGCGTATGATTAATATGTAATTTCCACAAAACAGCTCTCCTACAAATGCAACAAATCCACCAGTTTGGCCCAGCTATTGACCCTGCAGCTGCAGCATCACGAGGAGGATATCAAAAACACTGTGGACCGCGCCATCAAGGAGATGACGGTAACCAAAGTGCTCGACGAGATCAGGGCTACCTGGGCCCACCTGGAATTCGAGCTGGAACAGCACCACACCCGGCCCAGCATCCAGCTGCTAAAGGTATCTGAGGAGCTGATCGAGACGCTGGACGACAATCAGATGCAACTGCAGAACATCTCCACTTCGAAACACATTGAGTACCTCCTGGACAAGCTCACCCACTGGCAGAAGGTCCTCGGAGGCATCGATACCCTGATTATCAACTGGTTTGAGGTGCAGCGCAAGTGGATCTATCTGGAGTGCATCTTCATCGGATCCGCGGACATTCGCGCCCAGTTGCCAGAGGATGCGGCCAACTTTGAGAAGATTGACGAGGACTTCACGGAACTTCTAGCTAAGGTTGGGTTATTATTTTAATGGAGTTTTTCCTGGTAAGTCATTTTCCTCTACAGGTTAGTGAGGTACGTGTTGTCATGCAGGTGGTTCTTCGCCACGAGGATGTCCTTGCTCAATTACTGCAGCTGCAGCAGCGCTTGGCGATTTGCGAGAAGGCCTTAAATGATTATTTGGAAACTAAAAGACTGGCCTTTCCGCGCTTCTACTTCATCTCGGCCGCCGACTTGCTGGACATCCTTTCCAATGGCAACAATCCGCAGGTGATCGATCGTCATCTAATCAAATTGTTCGACTCAATACTGCGTCTGCAGTATGAGACGAATACCCCCAATGCATTAGGCATGCACTCCAAGGAGAATGATGAGTATGTGCCCTTCGTTTCCTCCGATCCGGATCAGCCCGCCTTTATAGTTTGCGGCGGGAGAGTGGAACTCTGGCTGCGTGCCATAATCCAGCAGATGAGGAGCACCCTGCACGAACTGTTCCGACGTGCCCTGCGGGTTTTCGGGGAGAAGCCTCGGGAGCTGTGGCTCTACGACTGGCCAGCCCAGGTGGCACTCTGCTGCAGCCAGATCAGCTGGACGGCGGACGTGAACCGATCCTTCGGCTGCATGGAGGAGGGCTACGAGGGCGTAATGAAGGAGCTGCACAAGCGCCAGATTGCCCAGCTGAATGCCTTGATCAATCTCCTGCTGGGCGAACTATCGCCCGGGGATCGCCAGAAGATCATGACCATTTGCACGATCGACGTACACTCGCGGGATGTGGTGGGCAAGATCATTGCCTCCAAGGTGGACAATTCGCTGGCGTTTCAGTGGCAGAGCCAGCTGCGTCACAGGTGGGACGATGACCAGGCGGGAAGCTCCAGCGGCAGAGCGAGCACGGCAATAAGTGGCGGCGGAGGAGATGAGGACTGCTTCGCCAACATTTGCGATGCGGAGTTCCGCTATGCCTACGAATATCTGGGAAATACCTCACGACTAGTCATTACCCCGCTAACAGATCGCTGCTATATCACTCTAACACAGGTGAGTGAAAACGGGGCGTATACATAACGGCTTGGGAAAACATCTTGTATACGCAATATCGATTGAATGAATTAAAATCACTTTCACTTTGTAGTCGAGCAAATCCTTTCTAACAAGTCCTGAATTAAATATAAACCTTTTCAACGCCTACCAGGGGGCGTTAATGGATTTAGCAGCGGAAATCCGCTACAAATGTAATGTCCATAGCCGGGGCTTTGAATAATTGAATGCCAATGCCCCGTGGCTTGAATATATTAAAACCAGCAGCTAGTTAAAGTCAATCGAGACAAAAACGCAATGATAGCTGCAAGTGACAGGGAGCGTGTGTATGAGATAGGGCGGAAATTCAATAAATTAAATGTATTCGCGTGTGCAATTAGCGCAGATTTTTGCTCTGACAGTCGCATATTTCATGCACAACTGCCATATCGAACGTTATCTCTTTGACACCTACACATCATATTGTTAAAAATGTGTCGAATTATTTCACAGTATTAAAGTGTGAAACACTCATATCAGAGAAAATCAGTTATGCATGTCATAACCTATTATTTCAACATTTTATAATGTGTATTTTATATTCAAAAAGTCATTAACTGCAAGAATGACTTGTAATTGTATAGGATTTTTTTTAATTCTCTTAGTATGATAAAATTTCAAGGATATACTTATATTGATAATCGTACCCCGAATTGCATAAATTAACTTTTCACAGGACAACTACAAATACAACACTTTCTCTTGAATCATAAGCAGCTTCACAAGACATTAACTCTTATTAAGTTGCATTCCAAACCAATTAACCATGATTTATGAATAAATAAATTCACTCACTTGACAAGTAATCGTTCAAAGCATTATTACAAAATAGTAAATTAATATTTTATTAGTAGCAAGAGCTCTTTTTAACCAAAATGGAATGCAGATATCTGCTTAGCCAATTTTAACTTTAAGTATTTGCAATAAACACACTATAGAAATAAGAATTTCTAGAGTCAACAACAAACTTCAGGCAGGAAACCTACACAATTGAGAAATTAATTTAAATTGAGTGGAGTAGCGCAACCAAGAGATTGCATAAAACCGCAGCAAAAGCAGCCATTAACAAGGCGATCATCAGTTATTGGTGGTACCACCACCACTACTCCTTACCGCCCGCGGCAAATTAAACAACTCGTTAGTGGAAAATAAATGTTCCTTGCAATTTACATATGCCACCTCCACTGGAAACACCTGAATTTTCCCCACGCCAGTCACTGCGATTGCGGCTTGCCGGTGCAACCGCCGGACCCGCTGGAACGGGAAAAACGGAGACCACCAAGGACCTGGGACGCGCCCTCGGCGTAATGGTTTATGTCTTCAACTGCTCGGAGCAAATGGACTACAAATCTTGTGGCAACATTTACAAAGGACTTGCGCAGACGGGAGCCTGGGGCTGCTTTGACGAGTTCAATCGCATCTGCGTGGAGGTCCTCTCCGTGGTCGCCGTCCAGGTGAAGACCATACAGGAGGCGATAAAGGTACGCTGGCCGCTTGCAAATTGATTCCATCCTCCTATCCCTTCCCGTTCTCCATTCTCCATTCTCCATTCTCTTGCCCTGCTGCATTGATTACTTTTCCCGGACCTCGTCCTGTCCGGACGCGTCCTGTCCTTCGTTCCTTCTGCCTGCTCTGTTTACAGATGCATAAAACCCAATTTATCTTTATGGGCGAGCGCATTTCGCTGGAGCCGTCGGTTGGAATTTTTATCACCATGAATCCGGGCTACGCCGGCCGCACGGAGCTGCCGGAGAACCTGAAGACCCTGTTCCGGCCCTGCGCCATGATTGTGCCGGACTTTGCCTTGATTTGTGAGATTATGCTAATGGCCGAGGGCTTCCAGGATGCCCGTCTGCTGGCCCGCAAATTTATCACCCTGTACACGCTGTGCAAGGAGCTGTTGTCCAAGCAGGATCACTACGATTGGGGCTTGCGGGCCATCAAGTCGGTCCTGGTGGTGGCCGGCACCCTCAAGCGGGACGACCACAGTCGGCCGGAGGATCAGGTGCTGATGCGGGCGCTACGCGACTTCAATATCCCCAAGATTGTCACGGAAGATGTGCCCATATTTATGGGTCTTATTGGGGACCTTTTCCCAGCTCTGGATGTGCCACGCAAACGGGTCTTCGAGTTCGAGAAGACAATTCGGCGGGCGGTGAATGAAATTAAACTGCAGCCTGAGGAGGGATTCCTCATGAAAGTGGTGCAGCTCCAGGAACTGCTCGATGTGCGGCACTCGGTATTTATAGTGGGCAATGCCGGCACGGGCAAGACCAAGATCTGGCAAACCCTTCGAGAGACCTATCGCATCCAGAAGCTTAAGCCTGTGTGCCATGTCCTCAACCCGAAGGCTCTGTCCAATGATGAGCTCTTCGGCATCGTTAATCCCACTACAAGGGAGTGGAAGGATGGCTTGTTCTCCTCCATTATGAGGGAGCAGGCCAACATGCCGCCTGGCAATCCCAAGTGGATTGTCCTGGATGGCGATATCGATCCCATGTGGATCGAGAGTCTGAACACCCTGATGGATGATAATAAAATTCTCACCCTGGCCAGCAATGAGAGGATATCCTTGAAGCGCGAGATGCGTTTGCTGTTCGAGGTGGGACACTTAAAGGCTGCGACTCCGGCCACAGTTTCCAGAGCGGGAATTTTGTACATCAACCCACAGGATTTGGGCTGGTCGCCGTAAGTAGTCTTAATGTTTTATTTTTTATATAGTTTTTAATATATACTCCCTTAAATTGATTTATAATTTGTCCAGAATAATGCACCTCGCAAACAGTCTAAATTAAACTGCCAATGTTACCTTTTAAACTCGTGATGAAAATCCCAATATATTTTAAGTTAAGATTTTTGTATTACTTTGGAAATTGTTTAGGAATCTATTGATATTTGTTTTCTTAAGAAATATTGCATTACAGCTTTTCATGATACCAATTTGTATTCTCTTAGCTACGTTTCTTCCTGGTTGGAGACGAGGGTGGACATGATTGAGCGGGGCATCCTGACCAGCCTGTTTGAGAAGTATTTTCCCTGCCTGATGCAGCGGCAACGCGATTTCCGGCGCATTACGCCTATTACGGACATGGCCATGATCCAGATGACCTGCCATCTGCTCGAGTGCCTCCTGGAAAGCGACGACGGAAACGGGGATGGCAGAGGTCGAGGAAGTGGAACCGGCGGGGCAGCAAACCCCCACAGCCTGCACCACGGGGAACTTTCCCACGAGGCGAAGGTGCTGGCCCTGGAAACCATCTTTGTTTACGCCACCGTTTGGAGTTTTGGATCCGCCCTAAGTCAGGATGTAATTATCGACTGGCATCGCGAATTCCACAAGTGGTGGACAGGGGAGTTCAAGGACGTTAAGCTGCCCAGCCAGGGCACCGTGTTTGACCACCAGTTAAATGTGCAGACCCTGAAGTTTCAGCCTTGGTCCGAGTTGGCCGCCCAGGAGTCACTAGAGGGTCAAATTGACGCAGAGACTCCTTTGCAGGTGAGCCAATAAAAAGATAAAGATTATAAAATCTATGGGTAATGTAAAATTGTACAATTTTCAACCTTAGACTGTGCTAATTTCCACCGCGGAGACCACTCGACTGGTCTACTTCCTCAAACTGCTCATCGACCGCAACCTGGCCTGCATGTTGGTGGGCGGTTCTGGCTGTGGTAAGGGTGCCATCTTCCGGGAGCTGTTTAGTCAGTACGCCAGCGACCAGGAACTGCTCGAGGTGGCCGTGTCGACGGTGCCTGCAGGTGACAGCCATCAGCCGCAGTCCGTGAATCCCGGAGGAGCAGGAGTGGTGCGGCGCAAGGCTTCCTCCTCGGCCACTCCACTTTTAACCACCGTGCAGGCCACGCACTTCAACTTCTACACCAGTTCGGAGATATTTCAGAAGATGCTCGATGGTCCCCTGGAGAAGAAGTCGGGGCGATGCTATGCACCCAGTGGACCAAAGCGCCGGCTCATCTACTTTGTCAACGATTTGAATATGCCGGAGGTGGATGCCTATGGCACGGTTCAGCCACACACGATTATGCGACAGTTCATGGACTACAGGCAATGGTGAGTAGTGTGTGGAGTGTCAACTGCATTGACTGGTGCTTCAGAGTCATCTCCTGACTAGGTACGACCGCCAGCGGCTGCAGCTCAAGGACATTCGACACTGCCAGTTCGCCGCCTGCATGAATCCTACTGCCGGCTCCTTCACCATCGATCCAAGACTTCAGCGACATTTCTGCGTGTTCTCGGTGGCATCTCCAAGCGAGGACACTCTGCTCCACATCTACGGCAGCATCCTGACCAGTCATTTGGAGAGTCCCGGTCAAGGCTTCAGCAAGGAGATTCGCTCCATTGGAAGCCTGCTAGTGCGGGTGGGTATCGCCCTGCACCGACGTGTGGAATATGCCTTCCTGCCCACCGCTCTGAAGTTCCACTACCTTTTCAACCTGCGGGATCTCACGAGCATCTATCAGGGTCTGATGAACAGCGTGGGTGCTCCGGCCTCGGCGGGCGGAGGAGGTGCATCGGGCTATGGAGGAACCATCTGCGGCAGGCCCTCTGAACTTATTAGGCTCTACGTGCACGAGGCCTTTCGGGTCTACCACGATCGCTTGGTGGATCCCTATGACATCAAATCGTTTAAGTCATCCATTAGGGATATATTTAAGAAGGACTTTGAGGACTTCGATGAGGACTTCGTCTTTGCAGAGCCACTGATATATAGCCACTTTGCCCAGTCACTGGTGGACCAGAAGTATATGCCCCTTAAAAGCTGGGATTCACTTTACCAGCTTTTAATAGAGGCCCAAGCTAGTTACAACGAGGTGGTGGGCTATATGAATCTAGTCCTTTTCGAGGATGCCATGATACACGTGTGCCGGTAAATTGAATCGGAATGGTATTTCATAATGCATTATATTTATTTTGAATTTCCCAGTATCAATCGCATTCTGGAGAGCCCTCGGGGTAATGCCCTCCTTATCGGAGTTGGAGGATCCGGCAAGCAAACCTTGGCCCGTCTGGCGGCCTTTATCTCCTCGCTCAGTGTTTCGCAGATCCAAATCAAGAGAGGATTTGGTTTGCTAGATATGCGAGAGGAAATCGGCAGCCTTTACATGAAGGTGGGCCTCAAAAATCTGGCCTCCGTGTTTCTCATCTCGGATGCACAGATACCAGATGAATCCATATTGATGCTTATCAATGATCTGCTGGCCTCTGGCGAGATTCCTGAGCTCTTCAACGACGATCAGCTGGACACAATTACCAATGGGATCCGCAACGAGGTAAAGCAAAACGGAACGCTGGACACCAAGGAGAACTGCTGGCGATACTTCGTGGATAAGGTGAGGAGGCTGCTCAAAGTGGTGCTCTGCTTCTCGCCGGTGGGTCAAACACTACGGGTTCGGGCTCGGAAATTCCCAGCCATCATCAGCCGGACGGCCATCGACTGGTTCCACGAGTGGCCCAAAACGGCCCTGGAGTCCGTTTCCCAGAAGTTCCTCAACGAAATCTCCGGCATTCTGGAGGTAAATACACTTGAATAGCATAGGGGGACAAAAGATTAATCTCTTTTAATTCCAAAAATATTTTTTTGGGATTACTTATCTAAAATTATTGCTGATAACCACGTACATTTTGAAAAACCTTCTATGGTTATCTCAAAAATCAGTATATTTAAGATTTGCATAGCAGATTTGAAATTGGCTTTTGTATTGAAAAAATCGTTTTAAACTACTTAAGAATTTGTTTAAACATTACAGTTTTTCTTAAAGTAAAAAAACTGAACCGTACATTTTAAATAGTTTGCATAAATCCGACTAAAATCTAGCTACATTTAAGAATCGAGTTAATCTCTCAATGAGTTTTTCAAAATTAAACCTCTGGTGACCCTTTTTGAGTGTACTGGGTCTCCGTCCCCTTAATTTATGCGTCTGTCGGGCACAATTTACAACTACGAACCGTCATGCCGGACACTTTAAGTCCCCGGCACAAGAACGACAGCTGACTGACCTGACCCCCATATCCTCTTTCGCCCACCGAATATTTCCATGCAGCCCGAACTGGTGCCGCCCATCGGCTGCTTTATGGCTTACGTCCATGGTACCGTGAATCAGATATCGAGAATTTATCTGCAGAATGAAAAACGCTACAACTACACGACCCCGAAAACTTTTCTGGAATACATTTTCCTCTACCGCAAACTGTTGGTGGACAAAAACGGCGAGTTTGCTGAGCGCATCGCGCGTCTGCAGAGCGGAATGGCCAAGCTGGCGGAGTGCGCCCGTCAGGTGGACACGCTGAAGGTGAGTAAATGATGGAGTGGAAGAGGACGACTGCCGAATGCCACACGGTGACCATATGGCATATGGGAATGAAATGTGCATGTGGTGAATCCGGTTCGCGGGTGTCAGCACACTGGGAAAATAGTCTGGTCAATGGATTATTCTATTTGTAAATTTATTTAAATACTACTGCAAACACGAAAAAGGAAAATTTATCAAATTAATTAAAAAACATTACCAATGAGTAAGACCAACAAAACTTTTTTATTGTCCATCTAAGAAATATATTTATAATATAAATAATAGTATAAAATACGGCTGCCTATTGGAAAAATATTAGTTAACCCAAAGCTGATTAATTTCTTTATACAATCAAAGCTATTTAAAAGACTCTAAGTACTAGCGTAACGAGCTTATAATTTCCCTTTTGATTGGTTCCTTCTCTTTTAAATTCCTAGACAATTACAATTTTTAAATAATTTTAACCTTTTCATGTAAAAATAGATTGTACTGTAGGGCTCCAAAAAAAAAGGTGAAATTTCGGTAGAGTTAAAAATGTTGTCTGTCTGCTATCAAATATTAATTAAACAAGAACGCTGCATGCTCTCAAAATTGATCATCATTGAGCATCAACTTTCAATGGGACACTGCCATTCGATCTGTCGCCTCGACCATTCAATTAGTGCGCTTAATTGAATTGCTGTTGCAGCAAATCTGCTGTCCACTTTCCCCGGAGCCGGGCAACATCAATGGTGGAAGCCGGAGAAGCGGATGGCCGTTGCTATTCTTTGAGTTTTTAACGCAGTTTCCGGTTACGTCGCGTATACGCAGTGGAGGCCCAAAGGCATCGCGTTTGTTTCGCAGCATACTCCGCGGCGCTAAACAACGACCGTTCAACTGTGAAAGGGACGAAATGGGGGAAAGAGGGCCAAATGTTATTTAAACTAATTGAATTAAAATTAATTGAATTCGTTGCTATCGAACAAAAGGTGTGTTCAGTTTTCCTTTACCTAATGTTTATCCCTGATGTTTATTGATGGGGCTTAATATAAAAGGCTTGACTTAAGAAATTCTGATTAGAAAGAATTAAAACAACTTGCATTGATAGATGTTCATGTTTTGTCCATTTATAGTCATAGGGCATTCCATTATCGTTGTGTCAAAGCTTTTTCGTTAAATTTAAATTATCTCAGATGACGGCATGGCTTAAATAATTATTTAATAATTATTCTATAATTATATATTTCTATCACTTTTTTATTTGGTTGTGCTTAGTTCAAGTAGTTTATTGGCTGTTCCAAAAAAAAGTAAGAAAAATAAATAAAATATATATATAGGTATCAACTTTCGGATAATAATGGATAGTCTTCCCCATCTCTACCGCTTTCCCCCACATGAACTCACTTGTATTTGTATTGATGTGCCCGCAAATTGTGCACGAAAGTTGCTCTGCGTAAATATTGAGCTATCGTGTCGGAGCCTTAATTATTTTCATTATTTATTTGTCAGCCGCAAAAGTTTTCAGATCACTTTGATTTTGGCTTTGAGTTTCAAACGTCGCAATTGGACGGTTTTTCAGCACCAACTGGCCATCCAAGAAGTTCAGCTGGCGGCCAAAAACGCGGCGGCCGACAAACTGATTGTGATTGTGAGTGCGGAGAGCGAGAAGGTGAAGCGGGAGCGGTACACGGCCTCCGAGGAGGAGAAACGGGTGCGGATCATCGAGGAGGATGTCTCACTGAAGACCAAGGTGTGCGAAGAGGATCTGCGGCAGGCGGAACCCGCTCTGGTGGCCGCCCAAGCGGCCCTGAACACTCTGAACAAGAACAACCTGACTGAACTGAAGTCCTTTGGTTCGCCGCCCAAGGCGGTGGTCAATGTCTGTGCCGCCGTCATGGTTTTGCTGGCCAGTAACGGGAAGATTCCCAAGGGATCGCAGCTGGAAGGCCTCCAAGTTGATGATGGTGCGAGTGGACCAGTTCCTCAACGATCTGCTCAACTACAACAAGGATAACATACACCCCAACATCATTGAGACGCTGCAGGAGTACCTGAAGGTGATGTATTCGATTATTTTGTATAAAAAGATACTTATTCCGATTGCAGGACCCCGAGTTCAATCCCGACAAGGTGGTGCAAAAGTCAGTGGCCGCCGCCGGACTCTGTGCCTGGGTGATCAACCTGCATCGCTACCACCAGGTCTTCCTGATCGTGGGACCCAAACAGCAGGCGCTGCAGGACTCGCACCAGGAGTTGCTGGAAGCCAGGGAACGGCTGCAGTACCTCAAGGCGAAGATCAACAATCTGGAGGCCAAGCTGGCCGAGATTCAGGCGGAGTTCGAGAACGCGGTGGCCGAGAAGCAGAGGTGCCAGCGGGAGGCGGACAAGACCTCCTTCACCATCGACCTGGCCCATCGGCTGGTCAATGGGCTGGCCAACGAGAATGTCCGCTGGAAGGAGTCCGTCCAGAGGTGAGTCCTTCGGCGGTGTGATTGCGGGTGGTGAACCACTGCATTTATGCGTAATCAATTATTAAATTTAATTTACATTCTGTGTGCGTCCGCCATTGCTGTAATTGCTTCGCCTGGCACCTGTCCTGCCCTCCACTGAAGTGGTGAATGCGGGGCACTGCACTCAGAAAAAATATTGAAACTAAAGCGGACCTAAAAATCACTAGCCAATAATTCAAGGTGCCTTTGCAATTTTGTTTGAAATAGATAGTCAAATATTATAAAAATATTAATCTTAAAATAATTTTATTAGGTTAATCCCTTAGGTGAAACCTACTGGCAAATTTTTCTTAAAATGGTTATATTAAATTATTTTAAAATGTATCTAGTCAAAATTATAGTTCCTACCAGAGTGTTTGAGTTCTTAGAAACCAGTCTGTTACTTCAATACCATTCTTTTCGTATTCGGAGGATACAATTAAGTTGTCACCAGCAATAAACACCTGTCACTTCTTTCTAAAAAAAAATTCACTTATTCAATTATATTATTTTAAAAATATTATTATTGCTTGGTAAGTTAAAGCCATAAAAATGGAAAAACTTCATAAAATCCGAACTTATTTCTCTCAAGTGCATGGGAATTCCGCTTACTTGCGGGCCACCGCGGCAACAAAAGGCCGTAAATTTTATTTACTTGCTCCCATTCGGAGCACTGCGAGGTCCCCGAACCCGGCTCATACACTCGATTGCGCCCTCGTCGGAAGGCAATGAACCGCCAGGAGTGGCGGCAATTTGCAAAAATCATTGCCAGTTAACCGAAATGCATTTAAGCAGCTTCAAACCGGAGGCACGTACTCCAATACGGTATGCAAACTTGTCATAGCCTTTGTGAGTGGGTGGCTCGGTTTCCATGGAGCTAATCCCATCTGTTGCTGCTCTGAAGCCTGGTGACGTGAGCCACGAAAATGTCGAGCCAAGGTGTAGGGCACCTGCCTAACAAGCCAACAATTGCAGTTGACAAGTGTGAAAGTTGGCACAATGGGTGGTGGCGGGGTGAAAAGGACGAATCTCGAAGAAAGCAGACAAGCAGCGTATGAAGGAGGCAGAGCCTATTAGGATTTCCAAGGACGTGGCTGATGGATCCGGGGGCAATGCATCTCCCATTTGATTACGTATGGTTTGGATTGATGCAACCGGTAAAGACTAGAAAATTTGCATGATATATTTCAACGCCCCGAGGTATGCAACATGTTTTTATGAATGACAAATGAAGAGTATGCTCATATAACCGAAATGTGATTTTTAGTAGTGAGTTTCGTTGTGAATGGCAATCAGCTTGGTAGAAATCCACGTGTAGCTCCTAAATTATATTTTGTGTTTTTTAAACATCTTTTGGTCGTGGGCTTTTCTTGACACGAAGTTTATCTGCAGTCACTGCTGAGCGGTGACGGTATTTTATCGCGATTCTTATAACAATAAGCAAGTTTTAAGCTGTTTTGTGTTTGCCCTCGCCCTGCGCGGTCTGGGGCGGGGTTGTCTCGCCTGTTCTGCTTCTCGTCGTTATGGGTTTACCTGCTATTGCGCCCCGTAATGGATGTGTAGTTTGGGAGATGGGAAGTGTGATGCGCCCTGAAGAAATACGCGCCGCTCGCGCTAGCGCGTGTACTGCTTTACTCGCGGTTGCCACACAGACGACCTCCTCGTGGTGGCATCGCGCACGCCACTAGTGTACCTGCACCTCTCCACGTCGGCAGCTTGGTCTGTCCACTCACTGGGTCTGCATCGTGGCCCTGCTTTCCCACTATGTCTGACATATTTAACAAATGCATTTTGGACAGGTATTATAGGAACGCAAGGGTGCTACCCCTTTCGTCCTGTCTCCTCCGTTCGAAACTAAACGGCGGCCACGCGACTCCCAGGGCGGCCTCCCCGCGCCACATTGGAACATCGCTTTGCGATTTGGCGCGAGCGGAAGTTGGGCAGACATGTTGGATGCTGATGGTCTGATGCCCCATGGGATGACGCCTCAAATCTAGATCCCTGCTTTGTGTCCGACGTAGCGATCCGGTCTTTTGGACATTCTTGACCTTGCTTGGCTCCAAAACTACACATCCGCACTTCAATTTGGTGTATCCAGAATATATGCCAACTCGGCTTTTCGGCTAGCTGTAAAACACTGACAACTCTTGTGTAATTTTGGCCCTCGTTAAGAAGACAGGCCTCGGTGTTCTGAAGGACTCCTCAACGTTCGAATCTATAACACGGGTTTTGATTCGGCTTTGGGTACTAACATATACTGCCCCAAAGACTGATTGGAGAACATCCAGGTGACGAAGATGTATGAGCTACAGTATTATAAACTAGGCAGAATATGTTTTATGTACCTTAAGCGGGTGCAACGTCGGAGTCCCTAAATTACGCAACTCGGGGAACGAGTCACTGTCGGCGTGCCCCGTAGAAAGATTACTTCTGTAGTGCCATTTTGGACTTCTAAACTACTGTGTTCGGACCCTGTTTGTGGTAATGTGTGGTTCTCTGTTTGGTTCACTCGTGTAGCTTGCTTGTGCGTAACTGTGGCGGTACCCGTTCGACGAAGATGCCCGGTCGATTAGAAAAATAAAAACAAGCCGGGCCTGACTCCCGGTACAATGATCCGGACGCGTATCGCGTGGTTCTCGCTCGGCTTAGACGTATCGTGTGTTAGCTCGCCCGGTTGGCGGCTGGCCCCTGGGTGGGCTCTCCTGCCCTGGCTCCTTATTCGCGTTGTGCCATCCGCGACATTATAGCATGGCTTTTTTAAGTGTGCGGTGCTGGCCGGCTTTGGGCTGGTTCGTCTGGCGTTGGAATGATTCATCGATTAATATCGGATTGTGGACGCTGTGGTGTGGTTCTGAGGCTGATTTCGGTCTGTGTGTGCTTGCCGAACTCCTGGCGATGGTGGCTCTTTGGGTATCTTTATACCTGCTTTCCTGTGGACGAAGGTGGCTCTGCGTCTTTAAGGTTCCTAGCCTACCTGCCCGCCGCCTTGTGCGGCGATGCGGCATATTCGACTGCGCGGATGTACTTGGCTTTTCTCCCCGCGGATGGATCTCGATTTGAGTCCTTGTGGCCGGACTGGAGCAATTTTTGTGGCGGTGACTTATGCAACATGCTGGTGGGGAATCGGCCTGTGGGGGTACGTTGGATGTCTTGCAATGGGCTCGTTGGGTGACCCTTTTTACACCCTGTACACCGACAGCGCTTGTTTTTATAATCACGGCGCTTAAACAGGCTGAAGTAAAATCCAGACCCGGCACCCACTGGCCGTTGCTGCCACACCGTGAAACCGCGCCGCACCCTCCCGGGTGCTATGCTAGCCTACCTAGGGCTGGCGGGTTACATGGCCCGGACCTTCTGCATTGACATGCCTGCCTTTTTGGCTGTAACCGGCTGCTGGATGCTGCCCTGGGATGCCGGACCTCGCCCCGCTCCACGTGGGCCTAAGCGAGGTGAGGATATGGCGGGGGTGTGCTCGTTAACGGCTTGTACTGTCTGAGGCGCTCGCCCGGAACAGATCTTTGAGTTTTGGGATCTGGGCGTGCTGTTCACTGTTGTGGCGTATCAAACGGGCCCCCCAAGTGATTGAATCCCTGGTGGTGTGGTCGGCTGAGGTTCGCACTCGGCACGTTTGTTCGTTCCGGCGTGCAGTTGTGGTTTTGATCCCTTATGGCCTGCCTGCTGCCCTGTCTGACAGGGTTAAGACCGACCCGAACCCCGGTGAGCCTGCCGCACGACGTTGCTTTTACCGGTGTTGCACCTGGTGTTTTACGGCTACCTTGGACTCGAAGTTTGGATGGGTGTCCCAACGGTAGCGCGGGGGGCCCGGGCTGGGGGAGGTTCCTGTGGCTTGGTGTGGCCGGTGGGTTTGTTTTGGACCCTGGCGCGGTGTTTGTTGAGCCTGAGGGATGGTTGCGCCCCTGCCCGCGGCTTTGCGGTGTGGCCCTGGGCTCTGAGCAAGTTTTTAGCGCTGTCGTCGGGTCTGGGCCGGCTGTGGGCGGCCGCGGGCCGGGGCCTCGGCCTGTTTTGTGTTGTCCACCGGCTGAAACGGCTGCCTCGCGTGCGCTGTCCTGCAGAGTTTGGGCTTTGTGACTCTGGCGCCCGGGCGACTGGACTTGGTAAGCGATGGTAAGTCCCTGTGTGCGCCCTGGGTGCCAGCGCCCCGTGTCCTTGGTGTTGGAAACTATGGGGCTCTGTACACTTCAGGAGTTTGGGGCTTGGCTTGCCGCGCTGGGGATTAATTTGGCCACTCTTTTTGGCGGTTGGTGCTGAACCACCGGGGCGGATTGGGCCCGTGGTTTTGGCCGTGCGCGTGGTGTTGGTGGGCGAACGGGGCTTAGCGCCTCGGCCCCCCGTGAGTGTTGTGCTTAAACTGGGTGATTTTTAGTAAGCTTGAGCGTATTTGTTTAACCTGTTCTAAAAATGTTGTATTTTTATCGAAAACTATTAATTTACAAATTTACGGCCAAAGACTGCAAATATTCGTTATTACATACATTTATTTATTAAAGACTACTGGGATATTTATTTATTTTGTTTTCAATCTGCCTTATTTTTATGAACTTTGTGGGTAACTGTGAAAAGAGTTTTATTTGCATTTTAAGTTGACTGAACATTTGCCTTGTAGGAAAAAATAAAAACCGTTTTATTTGAAATTAAAAACCCTAGAATGCGACCAATTTCATTTTATATTTTACCAAAAAACAATATATTTTTTTTTAAATTTATTTGCCATTAATTTGGCAAAGTAAAGCATTTTAAATTCGCTATTGGTGGCATATTAAATTATACAAACAACTTTTTATTTTTGCCTTTCATTATAAATGTTGAGTAATTATTCATTACTTAAAAAATTCATGTTTATTTTGTATTCCTTTTATTTTAATAGTAAATTAGGAGCGTTTTATATTGATTGTTAATTTACAAATTTTAACAATACGCTAAATTTTAGATAATTGGAACACAATCATTAAAAATTATGCCTATTTGATATCAGATATGTGTAGGAAAAATTATGGGATTGCAGTTTTTAGACATTTTATAACCCTGTGTTCTTTCTCGCCCTATGACAACACTTTATTTGAATACAAAACGGATTAAATATCAAATAAAACGTAATTGAGCGGAAAAACTTTTAAAGTTAAATCCAAATTAAAATCAAAACTTCATAAATAAAAGCTCTTTACAGGTGACATCATAATTTTACAAATTTAGTTATCTTTACCATTCAAAGAGTAAATTTAGCAATAATCACCCAACTTGTGCCCAAAGTTTTTATTTAAATGTCATTTGAATAAGAGACCTAATGAAAATGCAACCTTTTGAGGTCATGAATTTCCATTGGAACGAGGCCGAAAGCAATGGGGTGCCCACCCATCAATTATATAAACCATCAGGCCACATGCAATAAGCAGTGGCAAAAAACTTAATCAAATTCATATAGATGTCAATAGCATTTCGGGTCCGAGTACATGTATGTAGTGCAACACACGCAGAGCACTCCGACACCTTTGGCTGCCCATTGAATGGTTGCATTCATTGAAATTCAATTGAGTGCGCGTGCAAGCCAAAAGAAAATCCGAAAAGGGCGTCGATGATGATGTGGGGGATTGGGGGGATTGAGGGGTTGGTTCTGGGTCGGAAAAGTACGAAAACTACTGAATTTTTCGCACCTAAACAACTGCAGAATCCACACACAACCACGAACCTGTAGAAATCGCCACAAATGGGCAGCGTCAGCAGTTAAATTGCCGGGGAGCCGAAGCCGGAATATAAATGCATATAAAATACGTATTGAATTACGAAAAATGAAAAATTTCCCAACATTGCTGGTCTGTGAATTTATGCTTTGTTCAGGGGTGTGAATCTAGGCGGTCCTTGGACGTTTGAATGCACTGGGAAAGGAGCAACAGCCTCCGTTCTGGGCCGCTCCATGTTCGACTTTGCAAGCGAGAATTGTTCAAATATTTATGAAAATATAATTTGACCCACAACAGCAAATTGTTTGTACCTTTGTGGGTGGTTCTGGGCCGGCTATTCGGACAGGTGTGTGTAAGCTGCTCTGACTTGCATATAAATTTCTGCATATTTGACAATGACATTACACACACACGCACACATAAGGATCCTGCAGGATACTCGCATTTGTTTGCCAACTTATTGTTGTTATTGTTGGAGCTGTTGGCATGGTCGGGCTGCCTTCGAAAAATACTATCTGTTTTAAATGAGAATGCTCTTATGTCACCTGACAGGTATTTCACCAAAATTCAACACAATATTTCTGCAAAAACAATTATGCCAGAAAACAGGCAGGCAGGAGCGCCTGTTTGAATTCCTTGCCAGGGGGCTATTCCAATATCGATTTGTGGATATATACAATACATGTTTTTTATGTCATCCCAGGTTTATTTTCATTTCTTTGTGGTTAAATCCCCTTTTATTTCTATTGCCAGGTCTCTGAACCTTGAGCAATTATTAGATTATTCAATTACAAAGAGCCATTTGTAAGACTCTTTTAAACATATGAATGCGCATATAAATGAGCATAAATCATTGTCGTTTTTGCTGCAGTGCGTCTGGCTGGGAGGGGGGCATAACAGCAGATAACTAATTGAAAATAGTTTATGCTAGCAACGCAAAAAGTTGCCGTTCTTGGCATTATCCCCGTTCCAGGGCTTTGACATAATAAGCTCAAATATTTCAATAAGAGTTGGCATGCAGCAATTTCCGATAATTTATGCAACCACTTGAGGCGGGATGCCGCCTTTAAGCCCACCCCCATCATCAGGAATGTCAGCAGCAAAGGGGCAGCAACAAGCTGCTACTTCCTCCTCCGACATCATTATTTTTTCAATTTCCCCTCATTTAAATTTAAATGCAGCACGACGGGCTCAAAAAGTGGGCTGTAGCGGATGTCGGGTGAGCTGCAGCCTTTAGCTTCCTGGTGCTGTAATTTATACGATTTGTTAGCATCAAACGTTGGGTGGGAGGTAGGGAGGATTTCCACCTGCAGCCACTAACTCGTCTTCTTATTTCTGGCTTTTCCTCCTAGCCTGCAAGCCAAGATTGGAACCCTGCCCGGAGATATACTGCTAATTTCCTCGTTCCTGTCGTACGTGGGCTGCTTCACGCGCCGCTACCGCGAGGAGTTGCAGCATAAGATGTGGCTGCCCAACTTTCGCAAAATCGATGTAAGTTAAGGTCACTTTCACTGGCCAAGTCTGTAACTAAGACTCCGTGTCCTTCCGTTCCACAGCCTCATATTCCGCATACCGAGGGTGTGGATACTCTGGCCCTTTTCTCGGACGATGCCCAGATAGCCGCCTGGAACAACGAAGGTCTGCCCATGGATCGGATGTCCACTGAGAATGCCACCATTCTGCAGTATTCCACAAGGTGGCCTTTGATGATAGACCCCCAACTGTAAGTGTGTACATTTAATCTTAAGCTTCTGAACGCTAAATGGAATTTTCAGCCAGGGCATCAAGTGGATCAAGATACGATTTGGTTCCTCCTTGGTGGTCTTGCGGCTGAGACAAAAGGGATTTCTCGAGGCTTTAGAGAAGAGTATCTCCCAGGGAGAAACCGTGCTTATCGAACAAATCGAGGAGACTGTGGATACCGTTTTGGAGCCACTGCTCAGTCGAGCGTTGATTAAAAAAGGTCGCTATCTGCGCATCGGCGATAAGGAAATCGAGTTCCATCACAACTTCCGGCTGATCCTGCACACCAAGATGGCAAATCCGCACTACAAACCGGAAATGCAGGCGCAGACCACTTTAATCAACTTTACGGTCACGCCAGATGGACTCGAGGAGCAGCTACTGGCGGAGGTGGTCAAGATCGAAAGGCCAGATCTGGAGCAGATGAAAACGGAGGTCACCGTGCAGCAAAACAAGTTCAAGATATCGTTAAAAGCACTCGAAGATGAGCTTCTAGCCAGACTGGCATCGGCGGGTGAAAATGTGCTGGATGATCATGCTCTGGTGATCAATTTGGAGAACACCAAGCGAACTGTGGACGAGATCGAGGCGAAGGTGAGGGAGGCAAGGGTCACCACTCTGCAGATCGACGATACCCGGAATATATACCGATCGGCCGCGAAAAGGGCTGCTATTTTGTACTTTGTTCTCACCGATCTGAGCCGCATAAATCCCATCTATAAGTTCTCGCTGAAGTCCTTTATGCATGTTTTCCGGCAGGCCATTGCGCAGGCCTCCGAATCCAAGAATTATGAACGCAGGGTGCTCCACTTGGTGGACTCCATTACCCTGCAGACCTACCGATACACTTTGCGGGGTCTTTTCGAGGCGGACAAGCTGACCTTTACCTCGCACATGACCTTGCGCATTCTGATTGCCGCCGATCAGGTGGCCAAGGACGAAACGGACTTCCTCCTCCGGTTTCCCCACGATCCCAGTACTTTGTCCCCCTTGGATTTCGTGAGTCGCAGTGCATGGGGAGGAATCAAATCCTTGACTCTGATCGAGCATTTCTATGGGATTGACAAGGACATGGAGAACTATACGAAGCGGTGGCGGAAGTTTATGGCCAGTGATACTCCCGAGCGGGAACAGTTTCCCGGCGAGTGGAAGCACCGCACTCCCCTCCAGAAATTGTGTATTATTCGGTCATTGCGACCCGATCGCATGACCTATGCCATGCGACAGTTTGTGGAGCAGACGATGGGTCGCTCCTATGCCGAGATCCAGACTCCGCCCTTTGGAGCCATCTTCCAGGAACTGAATGCTGCCACGCCCGCCTTCTTTATCCTTTCACCCGGTGTGGATCCCATTCGGGATGTGGAGCGTTATGGGCAGCGACAGGGATTCCATTCGGAGTCCGATACCCTAGTGAATATCTCACTGGGCCAGGGACAAGAGCTACTGGCCGAGCAGGCTATTATACAAGCTCTGGAGTCTGGTCAACAATGGGTGATCCTGCAAAATATCCATCTGGTGGTCAACTGGCTACCCACGCTGGAGAAGCTCATTGAACGGATCGTGCTGCAGAGCGAGACGCAGGGCGAATCAAGTTTCCGACTCTTCATCAGCGCCGAGCCGGCTCCAGATCCACAATATCATGTCATTCCGCAGGGCATCCTGGAGTCTTCGCTTAAGGTATTTTATTCTTCCTTCACGCACTCAAAATAATTCTCAAGATACAATCAATAGGTGGACTCCTAAAAATTAACAATTTCGAGAAAGAAAACAGAATATTTTCTTTTAAAATATTTATTAATTTAATCTTAATTGTTTTAAAGTCCTACCAGCACTTAGTATTTTAAGAGTACCCAAGGGTAATTAAAGTTCACCCAACAGGTGGTCAATGAACCGCCATCCGGAATGGCGGCCAATCTGCACAAGGCGTGGGACAACTTCTCGCAGGACGCGTTGGAAACATGCACCCAGGAGGCGGAGTTCAAGTCCATCCTATTCGCTCTCTGCTATTTCCATGCGGTGGCCGGCGAAAGGCGAAAGTTTGGACCGCAGGGCTGGAACAAGGTGTACCCGTTTAACATTGGTGACCTCACTATCTCGTCCAATGTCCTTCATAACTATTTGGAGGGCAGCAATCGGATTCCCTGGGAGGATCTACGCTACCTCTTCGGTGAGATTATGTACGGTGGCCACATCACGGACGACTGGGACCGCCGGCTATGCCAGACTTATCTGGAGGAGCTCCTGCAGCAGGACCTTATTGATGGGGACTTTGAACTGTGTCCGGGTTTTCCAGCTCCTCCCAATCTTGACTTTGATGGCTATCATTCGTATATCACGGAAATGCTGCCGGAGGAGAGCCCGTTGCTCTATGGTCTGCATCCCAATGCGGAGATTGGCTTCCTGACCACCGCCTCCGAGCAATTGCTGCGCACTATTTTCGAACTGCAGCCAAGGGAATCGGAGCTGAGCTCCCATTGTGGAGCACCGCGGGAGGAGCTGGTGAAGATCATGATTGACGACTTCCTTGACAAACTGCAGGACGAGTTCAATCTGAAGGCACTGCTTAATCGCTTGGAGCGCAAGACACCTTTTGTGGTGGTTGCCCTGCAGGAATGCGAGCGTATGAACGCTCTGATCCGGGAGATAAAGCGATCCCTGCGAGAACTGATGCTGGGGCTGAGGGGGAGAACTCACCATTACCCAGGAAATGGAGCGGCTGGATCATGCCATCTTCTATGATCATGTGCCGGGTGCTTGGGCTCGATTGGCCTATCCCAGCATGCTGGGCCTGCAGTCCTGGTTCGCGGACCTGCTGCACCGCATCAAGGAGCTGGCCGGTTGGCTCAATGACTTCAAGCTGCCCTGTGCCATCTGGCTGGGCGGACTCTTCAATCCGCAGAGCTTCCTCACCGCCATCATGCAGGAGAGTGCCCGGAAACACGATCTTCCGCTGGACAGGATGCTGATCAGCTGCGATGTCACCAAGAAGCAAAAAGACGACGTCACGTAAGTCGTTAAAAGTTGAGTGTGCGAACACTTGCAACAGCATTTCTGGCCTAGAAGATTAAAAGATCTTAAATTGGTATTCGATATAAATTTGTAAAAAACCTCTTTATTTGATAATATTATTTCTATTTCATCGATTTTTTTTAATTGCTAAACCGATTCTTTATTATATTAAATTATTATATTAACATAACAAATTTAACATTTTTATATACCAAATTGTATGACCTAGAAAAGTTTGCATGGCATTAATAAATTTATAATTTTTGTTGAAAGAATTTCATAATTCATAGGAAATTGAATTTAAGTGGAGCAATTGATAATATGGGTAAAACCGAGATTATGAAACTTTTTTAATATTTATATTCAAAAGATTAGAAGCTTTGACATTAAAAAGCACAATTTTAAATTAAGAGATTAAGAGATTCGCGTTATAAGAATGCTTGTTCTTGCTCTCCGTTGCTGGTATGCCCCCTGACCTGACCCTTTGACCTTCCACTTTTGAACAGCCTTCCACCCATGGAGGGCGCCTTTGTCCACGACCTGTACATGGACGGCGCCAGCTGGGACTGCCAACTGAACTCCATTGTGGCGCTGCGTCCCAAGGAGATGCTGTGCGCAATGCCCGTCATCTACATCAAGTCCATTGTCCAGGAGAAGCAGGAACTGCAGCGTGTCTACGAGTGTCCTTTGTACAAGACCAGGTGGGTGACATTTACCAATATGATGCACTCGCCCACTCCTTTGTCTGCTATTTCTAATTGACTGACGGCTCCTTTTAATCCGCTTTAGGTCGCGTGGCAATACTTATGTGTGGACCTTTAACCTGAAGACCCGCGAACGCCCCTCAAAATGGATACTGGGGGGAGTGGCACTACTACTGCAGCCATAAATAATTCAAAACTGTAAGCAATAGAGCTTAAACATGAGGAATAGCCAACAATTCAATCTCAGACCTGATTCAGCATATTCTTTTGTACTCTCACCGCATATAAACTCATACAAATCGACGTCATTCCACAAACTACTCAACGTTGGAGAGGCGAGAAAGCCCCGATTCCACGATATACCACATGTATGACTAATCAATTAGTAGATATTTATAACTTTCAGCACATCGGCTGACGCGACACTCGCGCAACTCACGTGCTCCTGGCGTAATGGTGACGAAACGGAAAAAGTATAGCTTATCTCATGTTTCCGAAATCATGTGCTGAAATACTTGCCTGTTGCCATGTGAAGTAAATCACGCACGATATAGAGAAACTTGTTTGGGAAATTCTTCAAGCTTTATAGAGAAGACAAAAAATGGTGGGCGTATATGTTAATTCACCAAATAGCACTTTTAACTGGTTACAGCCAGTTTTAAAAAATGTATGAAAAGTATTTCTATGAAAATTATTATATAACACCTAAAATATATAATTAATAAATATATTCCGGCAGAATTATTTATAACCCTATCACAATAAAGATCACTACAACTGAATGAAACAATTCGTTTCTATTTAATGGTGTCAGAAAATATTCGCAGTCTCACTGTGACGTCCCATTTAAAGGTCATTTGGAAATATATTTTGGATGAGACTTTATAGATAGCCTTTGCCATCTCATTTCTACAAAGTGTAGACAGCGTCTAGCCAAAATTTGGTATGGAATAATTTTTTCGGACTTCAGTGACGCAAATGTTATAATGTTTATTTATTGAGACTTTCTAAATACTCCTCAGTACGAACTGGAATAATTCCAGTTGAAAATAATATTTTAATTATCAGCTCGTCTTAATTTCTTGAAATTTTTAACGCCAATTGTGAAATATATTTTTTAGAATTCCGTGACCAACTTACCAAAGTCCAAAGAACGGTTGACAAATAAATAGAGATTGTGGATCGATAGCTTACCCTCTCAAATAATTATATATTCTGAATCAAAATCTATGTATATTATTACCATAGTGCCTATTAAGTTTTATTGGATCCCAGTGCCGAACTATGTAGTAAAGGTCTAATAATACGTTTGATAAGGCTTTATTAAGAACATTTTGCAAATTTCTTAATAATTTGATAACAATTATGAAATATTCCCCGGCTCAAACATCCGAGATAGCACGTCGGTAATTTCATGCAATGTCATACTCATGTATGGAGTATTTTCCCTGAAGTTTAGCGACTGTTTAGAGAACCCCCACTCGATCGTGATTTTTTTATAGAAATACCACACATCGAGCACGTCTCGATCGCCAGACCGGCATGGAAACTCGTGCTCTGGAGGCCCCGAATACTTTGACCACCAGCTGTTCACGTGCGCACATAATCGCCAGACTGCCGATCGACTTATTCCGGTTTATTTCTCGATTTCACGGCGATGGTCAAAGCCATTTGGGGTTGCAAAAAATTCATATGGCACCAACCACTAGGCTATCACGTGAATAAACTTCGCCCAATTAATTATTGGTCTTACACACCTACGAAACTCGAGTCTTTTTACCGTCTGGGTTTTAGCTGATTGCCTCGTTAGGTGATAAAGTGTTGTTGGCATATGCCTTCATATTTCACAGAAAGGTGACACACGGACGTGTGCCTCCAACCGAGGGGAAAGTTACTGACTAGGGTATAAAATAGAGGGGCTCGTCATAGGGGCCACATGGCGGATGCGTGATCTACGTGATTCTAGAAGCTGATTACGCACTTAACCCCCAATTACTGGATTCCAGAGGTTTATTGACTGATTCTAGTGTATGCAAACTATATGCATTTGTTGACATTTTCCGCTAGCGTCATTACTCGTAAAACTCTTTCGAGCCTCTGACCCTAGCCCTTGGATAATTAAATGAGAAACTGTAAGCAAAAACAATTTAGCTCTACACACCGAGACAAAAAACGAGAACAATTAATTATTAATATATTTTTATAGATTAAATTATAATTGTAAACTTGAAAAATATTTTAAAAATATTATTGAATAAAAAAAAAATTATTTAATTTTTCAAAAGTGTCATTTAATAATCTCTACGAAATGTCAACTTTTTCGCAATTTAAAATATTTGAATTTAACTTGTTTAACAATTAATGACATATTAAAAATATTTTACAAATATTTCGCAATCATTTTTTTTTTTAAACGAATATTGTAATATTTTTAAATAGTTTTTTAACCATATCGAAATAATCGTTTCAAGATATATTAATGCTTAAAAAAAATAAAATGCTCTAAAATCTAGATGATTTTTTTCAAATTAAGATATGAAAAATTTTTGATATATAAGTACATTTTTTTTCTTTACCTAAGAGGTTTCAACCTGAGAGCTTGTTACCTAATTTTTTCTCCAAATGTTTGCGCTCGTTTTTTGTGCGAAATTTATGGCTGTCTGCGTTGGTGTGTATAACTCTCGCCGGGAGTATTCCCCAGACCACGAAGGCTACACGTGACACATGGCCAGCCAGCGAATGGACGGACGGTCTTAAACACACCTACCACCCGCCACACCCACCCACCCGTGGGGCGCCTCAAGATCAAGGCGATTCAGTTTTCCGCGCACAGTGCAAATTTGTGGGCCTCATACATAGATAAAACCTGCTCGTTGCCCGACATCGGCCCTCGAACCAGACATTTCTAACGCTATCGGAGCAGCGGACGTCGACGTCGACGTCGACGGACGGAATGGTATTTAAGTGGGAAATGATTCGGTATGACAAATCAGAAGTGAAATAACTCAGCAACAGCAAGCAACAGGCTGCTAGCCGTTAAAAAAAGACATACAAGAAATAGCACAAGGTAAGGGAAAAGGGAAATTCAATTCACTAAAATATGTGGGACAGATGTGTTTGCCAAGAATTTTAGTAAATTTATGCGCTGATCACGCTCAGTCATCGTGGACTAACACTTACTTCCGGTCTTGTTTTTAGAACCCTAATACCCATTTGAAGAAATGGCCACCGCATCAGCTCATCTGCCCATCCAGAAGCGCCAGTCGCACGAACACAATGGCGAGCCCGGTTGCCAAGGTCTGGAGGAGATGAACCGCATGTTCCGGAATTTCTGGGATCCCACGGCATACTGGGTGTGCGATAAGCAAGGCACGCGGGCGCGTCTCCAGCGCTGTCCGCAGGCGCAGCTGTACTCCGAGGAACTGGGCCGCTGCGTCCACTATGCCGATTGGGCCTGGACGGATCCCAAGGAGCCGCCAAGCCGACCCAAGATTAGCCAATCGGTGTCCACCAAGTGATAGCTATCAGTTAATCTTAGTTTAGTGCTACTCTAAGACAACCAACCTCATTACGCTTAGATCTATGTTTACAAAATACCTTTATTTTTAATGAAAATAAGAAAATATCAGTACAAAATCAAAACTTGCTCGCTTTCAACAATTTAGGGGCATTGTTTACTTTAAACTTAACTAGATGGAATGCACTTTCGGTTGGGAAAGAGAATGGAATGTATAGAGTGTTTAAGCAAAACAGAATTATATGCAAAACCAAGACATATAAAGCGCTGCCCTACGAGAATAATCTGAGCTAGGCATCCCGGCAAGTCAGTACTTAGCTACATTTCGACTAAAATTAACTGGCCTTTCAGCCTGAGTTTGGGGCATGATAAATAAAAGTGACCTTGTTGGATATTCCCCAAAAATAGTTGAGATGTTGGAGGGAAAAGATAATAAACAGAATGGGCTTTGACTACGTGAACAAACTAATCTCGCGTCTGGGAATATCCCCGATAAACTCAGGAGGCGGCTGATGCTGCGATCTTAGAGCTCTACGTTGGCGCCCTGCTTGTTGATAACCTTGAGTGGCTCCTTCTTGGGTGGCTTAGTATCCGCGGGAATCTCCTCCTCCACGGGCGCAGGTTTCTCAGGAACGGTTCGCTTGGGGGTCGGTTTGGCCGGCTTGGGAGTTGTAGTCGTAGCTGGCTTGGGAGTTGTCGTGGTTGTCGTGGTAGTCGGTGGCTTAGTTGTCGGAGGCTTCGTGGTGGTTGGCTTCGGGGTAGTGGTTGTAGTAGTGGTGGTGGTGGTGGTTGTCGTTGGCTTTTTGGTAGTCGTCGTTGTAGTGGGTTTCGGCGTGGTTGTTGTAGTAGTTGTAGTGGGTTTTGGAGTGGTTGTGGTGGGCGCCGCCTTGGGCTGCGGCTTGGGCGTGGTTGTACTGGGTGGCACACCGATGGACGCCTCCAGACCATCGCCCTCGACGCGCACATTGCGCACCTTGAGCGTGGGCTGCTTGGCCTTTGGCGACTTCACACGCGCCAAGAACTGATTGGTGGGCGATCCCAGGAACAGGAAGTCCTGGAACTCGAGCACGTGCGAAACCGATGATGCCGACTTGTCAAAGCCATGCAGGGAGCCCACAATGTTGCCGTTCCAATCCACGCGCACCACCGTAGAGCGTTTGGGCGCCAGCACACTAATGCTTTCCATGTGACCCACGAAGTGGACAAAACGCTGCGAAAACTTGTTCGGATAGACGCTGTTCAGGTAGCGGAAGGGCAGTTCGAACAATGCCAACATGCGGGCCAAGAACAGGCGCACGCTGGGGAAGCGGGTGAACAGAGTGAAACCATTGGGATGCTCGCTGTCCGAACTCAGGACTAGTGGCACCCAGATGCCCTCGGCGTCGGGCGTTAGGTTGTCGGGCAAACCGGGCAGTCCATCAACGAATACCTCGCTCTGGCCGGCCTTTACTCCCTTAAGGTAATACTTGGTCAGACGCAGCGCACCCGTCTCGGCCACGACGATGAAGTCCTCGTTGGGGCTGAGGGCCAAGCCATTGGCAAAGACCAGTTCGTCCAGCAGCACCTCGCTTACATTCTTCGAACGGTCATATTTGAAGAGACTGGAAGGGAAAAGAAAGCAGAGACCGTTAGAAATCTTAGAGCCAATAGAAAAACCGGTTTGCGCTCGTCTTACAGTCTGTATTTCAAACCATGAATAGACTACTCAAATTCATGTTTTGAATATGAGATATACCTATGCGCTTCTAATTCTGGATTCATCTTAATGTACCTTGGTCGAAACATAAAATTTTAAGTTTTTGGTAAATCATATAAATTTAAATCATTAATCATATGTTATTATAATTAATGCAAGGTGATTTAAATTAAAGAATAACCTAAATTAAATAGGATGATTAAAAAAAAAACAAAGTTGTTTACAGAAATACCAAGGTAACTTAATATTCTTTTTTTAACACAAAATGGATTTATCAAAAATATCTGCTTTTAAAATGGTACCGGCTTGACCCATAAAAATAAATAAGTTTAAAAGACTACTGCAGCCCTATACCTAACCACAAAAGCTTTTGAAGCCGGCACTACAAGACAATTAAAGAGTTAACGTTATAATATGCGATGAACTCACCGGCCCGACGGGTTTGCAAAGCTGGCGAAGACGAGGTCTTCAATAGTGAAATCGGACGAGGAGTCCGTCCAGTAGATGTCCCCCTGTTTGCCGACGGTCAGGCCGTTGAAAATCTTGGCAGGGCGGTTGATTGACTTGCCGGCGAGCTCCTGGGCGGGAGAAACCAGTAGGGTCTTCTTGTTGGATTCCAGATCCACCTGCCACAGGCCGTAGTAGGCGTCGGCGATGATGAGGTTATTGCCCTGCGTATCGAAGGCTAGTCCCAGAGGACGGCCGCACCTGGACTCCTCATAGATGTCCTCTGTAAAGGGAATTAGCATTATAAACTACTCTATTTTAAAGCACTCAAATACCCACCGCAGGGCTGGCCGATCTTGGTGACATGTGTGACATGGTTGGAGGTTAGCTTGATGACCTCACCGCCATGGATGCCGGTGTAGATCTCGTTGTTGCGGGCTATCAGGCACTCGGGGCCATAGACCCGCCCCTCCAGCAAGCGCTCGGCGCCCTCCAGGTGAAAGTTTGGCTCCAGGGCGCCCTTCAGGTCCTTGGGCGGGGTCACACTATGTTGGCCAAAGATATCTCCAAGGGTTAGACCGGAAATTACGTCAATTGGACGGGGCACTTACACATATTCCTTGAAGGGAAAGGTGGTGCGCGGCGGCAGACCGGGGATTAGGATGACGATGAGGAAGAAAATCATGAAGTTCATGATCCTCACACGAAGCGCGTACAGAAGGCCCATGATTGCTTCCTTGTGCGTCCTCCAATCACAAATTATAGCCCAAAAAACAGCTTAGTTTAAGCAATATCCCCAAAGAAAGCGACACGACGGCAAAGTTCAACAAGAAAAAAACGCAAAAGTCATCCGGGCCGGTAGAGCTGGCAATAATATCGATATTTCTATCGGTCATGCTTCCACTTTGCCACCCGTAACACTCTGCTACAAGAACTTGAAGACAAGTCTTATTGAAATTAATAAATTTATGTAAAAGGATATATTTTTTTTTAACGTAGTCTTGAAAGCTATTTATATTCAATTTTGCCGACATCATTTGTTACAATGCCTTAAATTTTACAAATATTTATTAAAAATATCGCAGCACGTTTGAAGTATGACCAAGCCATACAACAGGCAAGTTGCGGTAATGCAGAACGGTCACCTAGCCGCTGGTGTTTTTGTTTTGGGAATTCCACAACGTCGCAGTTGACAATGAGCGATAATAACAGCTCGTCGGGAGTCAAAGAGGACGTCTTTAGCATGGAGCACGACCAGGATCTCAGCAGCAAGCACTACTCGCGGTGCAGCAGTGCGGGCAGCACCCACACGCCGAACTCCTCGGCCCACAATTCAGGTAATAAAGTGCTGGGCGAGATGTCACGCTGACCAGGAGTGGAGTGGGAGCAGCTGATAAAGCACTGGCATTGAATTACTCGCTATCAGCAGCGTTTTATTACATTGTATTGTGTATGCGTCTCATGTTCCGCAGACGACGACGACGATAGCGGCGATGCTCGGCATTCGACGGCGGCCAATTCCACGCTAAGCTATAAGGAGCGCAGGAGGGAGGCGCACACCCAGGCGGAACAAAAGCGGCGGGACGCGATCAAGAAGGGATACGACAGTCTTCAGGAGCTGGTGCCACGATGCCAGCCTAATGACTCATCAGGCTACAAGCTCAGCAAGGCCCTAATTCTACAAAAATCCATTGAGTACATTGGCTACCTCAACCAGCAAAAGCTCAAGCAGGAGGACGAGGGATCGGCGCTGCAAAAGGAGGTCACGGCCCTGCGGATAATCAAGAACGGCTACGAGAACATGCTGCAGCATCAGCAGGCGAATCCGGGTCCGGAGGAGGCACGCCTAACAGATGAGGCCAAGTTCCAAGTGGTTAGTAAAGGGATTCCCCAAGTTCCCGATATCCAAAACTCGTGTTTAACCTTCTCCACAGTTTCAGGCCATCATGGAGGAAATGTTCGAGACATTTAAGCACATACCAATGGACAATTTTAAGCAGCTAACCACCGGGATCATACCTTGGCTGGAAGAGCACTGCAAGCCGCATATTCTGCGGAACATCCTAAGTCGCACCATGCAGCAGATGGCGCAGGAGGCTTTGGAAAAACAGCAGCTGCAGGCCATGGAGCAAGAGACCGGCGAGGGCTTTAGTTGATCGCGCGGTTAGTGCATCCCTTCATTCGTTATTTTATAAACCTCTGTTTGGTAGATACTTTCGTTTCGTTTACTGCGTACAAACATTAAATGCGTCATTTGAATAGTTGTAAAAGCGTTGACAAGGAAAGATTACTTTTTGGCTTAATGTTAGATTAGATAAAACTAAATTAGCTAATGTTAGCCGAGGGACTCGACTAGAGCAGCTTTATCCGAGCTGCCCAACAGCTTTAGCAGTTCCAAAAGCACGTTCAATGTGTACGGTTTGAAGCGACGCACTCGCTCCGTTATGTCAAGCGAAGTGAGAAGCTCGTCAAAAAACCTATCCAGACGCGTCGCGCTCCACACGTGTCGCGCTTCGTGTTGGAGTTTTAACACCCCCGATGTCAAGGTGTAGATCAGTCCCTCGTAGAAGTTCTCTTCTTCGAGATTTGCTGCCAGTTTGGCGCTGACCAGCAGCGCTGCTGGCAGATCGCAGCGGAACTCGTGCGACCTCACAAAACAGGTGGCTGCCAATTGACGCACCTGATCGCATTTGTGCCGCAACAAACTCCAGCTCAATCGGCGGAAGCGGAGTAGCAGGGGATTTGTCTCCTTGCCACCCGAGGTTCGCAAGTGCTCCACCTTCGAGAGGAAAGCCAAAAAGAGTATAATAGAGGAGGTAACCTCCTGGCGATCGCAGCATTCCAACATATGTTCGCAGGCCTTGGGCAGCAGACAGCCCAGCTCGTCGTAGTCAAGTTCACTAGGTTCCCAAGCGGGACGTGTTTCGAACTCCGTAGCCTGGCGCTGGCCAACCAGCTTTCCCAGATTGGCGCCAAACAGCTGCAGTGCCGCATTCGAGATGGTCCACTCAGGATTGTCGATGTGCTCAACGGCAACCAGTAAAATCTCATTGTAATATTTGCTCATAGCTGGCCTCAGTTCCGTGTCGCGAACCAGAACGCAGAGATAATGTAGTACCAGCGCCTCCCAGCGATCGTGATTGCTATCCAGGGAAACATTTTCCGCGGAACCACCTTCGTTTAGCCTCTGAAGAATTTGCAGTACAGCGCGATGCAGAAGCAGCCGCTGTCGTGGATTGTCGTTCTTCAGCACGTGCAGAAACATTATGGCGAAGCCGGCACCACGACGTGTGGTGCTCACCTGGCGACTCTCAGTCAGCAACTCCCGTTTCAGGCATTCGTGCAGCATCTGGAAACCCGCATCGTCGCTGTCCAAGCTGCTGGTGATCCCACGGGTGAGTCTGCCTATGCTCAAACCGGCAGCCTCGATGGCTCCCTTGTGACGGCAAAGCGTCAAAACGGACACATTAATGTCGAGGCAACGACGCAACGCCTCAGAGTTCACTTTGTTAGCAGTGGTCTGTAGCAGAGAACACCCAATGCTGGTGGCTAGATCGCAACAGCCCTACAAAAGATTCAAAAATTGATAAATATCTTAAGGATTAGGATTTCTCGTTACACACCTTCAATGTCAGCCAGAAACTCATCAGCAAATACTTTCGGCAGGCCTCCTCATCGTTTCCGGACTTGGAGGAGCTCTCGTTGACCAGCAGCTGGAGACTCTCGTCCATGTCTTGAAAACTAGCTGCTGTCGTAGCCTCTTCTTGTCGTCGGGCGTTGGCCAAATTGAGAAATTTCAAGATGCCGATGAGGATGCGCTCTAGTAGAGGCAGTAAGTCTTCTAGTGGCGACTCCACTGGAACTCCTGCCTTGATCACTTCCTCCAATCCGCGAAGACAGCCGAAGAGATGGCCTCGGTCCTTGGCCGTTTTCAAAGGATCTTCCAAGAATGAATCCAATGTGTCTGTTAGCCGTTTCAGGCATTCATTAAATATTATTCTTCCGCACTGTTCATTTGTAACCGCCAATTGGGCGTAGAGTGAAACCAGCGAACATTCATCTACATCTGAAGTTGGACACAGCTCCAGAACACGCTCCACGCACATTTCATTGTTCACTTGGCCCATTTGAATGAGCAGCGATACCGTTAGCTCCAAAGCATCATCAAAACCTTGAGGATTATTGAGGGTTTCGAAAAGTTGGTGCGCCATTTCTTTTGGCCGAAAAACACCTTGATCCAACAGAAATATCCCCATCCGCTGATTCTGCTGGGGGCTACACATTTTGGCATTCTTTGCCACTTGTTTGGCATATAAGGACTTGTTCAGAATCTCGAGCAGCTTGAGAGCAAATATCTTGGGTTGGTAAATCTCGCTGCGAATATCTCGCTCAATAAGTTTCTGCAGGTGCGAAAAGAATCGCTTGATGTTCTGCGCTAAGGCATCGCCTCCCACGCCGCTGCCCGCTTTGAGTACCTTATGGAAATGCTTGGCCGTGTGGTTGATAATTGTGGGCATCTTCCCCAGCATCGTGTTTCGGAATTCTGAACTCTCCAGGCTGCGATGTCGTTCGACAAAGCTGTGGAAAAACTCCAAGCAGTCCTCGACGGCAAAGTTTCCCAGATTGTCAACCAGAAATCGAAAGACCAAAAGCTGCGCCTCCGTCTCCATTCGGCTGCAGTTGGTCAAAAGCTCTGTGCTGATTTTAAAGAAGTGCAGCTTTGAGGCAGCATATATCTCCTTTGCGAACATACTGAAGATCAGGATCAGGCGGAGCTGATCGCCCGGGGACCGCAACTCATCGGAACAGGCCAGAAACTCAACGATTTGAGGATTCGCTTGCAGCAGCTCGAACAGAACATCACGCTGCTGAATACGCAGGAACCACTGCGAGTGGAAGTTCTGAATTTCCGCAACACTGCCGGTAAGGAGCAGGTCCACACTTGCGGCCAGTAATTCGGGTGAACGCTGGTTGCTCAAGCTCTTCACCGGGTACTGACTGGCAGCCCTGAGACCCTTGTAGCTTAGGCTGAGCCGAAGTCCCTTGAAGAACTCCTCTTCGCTCTGATTAGTTGCCGCCAGGAGCTCCGGCAGTGGGTGCGAGTTGAGTGCTCCACTCAGCAGATAATATTTGTTGCGATTCGTCCAGGGCCAGAACTCGACGATCAAGCGGAAGTAGGAGAAGGCCCGTTCTTTCTGCTTGCAGCAGTGGTTGTACAGCGTCAGGGTTTCCTCACGAGATCCAGTTTGGGTCTGGCGCTGCAGGCAATGGTAGAAGTGCTCCAATCGCAGGGCCAGGAGATCCAGTTTAGGGAACTTCTTCACTAGCAAGTTGGTGGCCTTAAGCACGGCCATCAGACTGGGACTATTCCGCCGCAAAGCCTCAATAATGGCAGCGGTGCACTTCTCCTCCAGCAGCGAGGCATCCAGGAGCTTCCAGTGGTCGGTGAGGAGAACGGATTGTAGCATCAGAAAGGCAGTGGGCTGCTCACAGTTTAAACGCAGGGGGAGATCTTCGAAATGGAAGTCCTGCAGCTCATACTTGTGAATTATGTGGTAGTACACGCGAAAACTAATATTTAGGGCGGCTTGGTTGGCGCCGCCGCACGTGTCTGCCTGTGCCGCCTCATCTTCCTCCGCCCGGATTCGCTGGGACAGCTGCAGGGCGGCGTCCTCAGGACGGACATCTCCCAAGCTCTGGAAGAAAATTAATATGTTAGATCTGGGCTTCTTGGGTGAGCCAACTCACCTGAAGGTAGGACAGACAGTCGCTGTTTCCAATTTTCGGTCGTTTTACGGGAGACACCGACATGCCCAATAGTTTTCGCGAGGGATGCACAACTTTCGAGTAACTTAAACCAGGGCTGGACAACGCGGCTCTTTCGATGATTGTTCGATAATCGATATGACCCGTTATTAAGTTCTTGAAATATCCAACGGTCATTTACTAAACTTTTTAAAATGCATTTGCCATACTTATATTTCAAGTACACGAAAAAAGGTTATCTTTACAGTGCAATGTAAAGATTTTTCAATAGCTTGAATGGTCCCAAAAATGTAAAATCCTTAAATCTCCTAACTGTTTAAAATCCTGAAATACTTCAACTCGTTGAGTGTGTAAATTATCAAACCAGTAAAAATTAAGCAAGTGCCGAAAGCAGGACTTTTCAAAATAAACACTACCTACCTGCTTTCCTTAGGAAAATAAATATCTAATTCGATGTGAATTGATGAAAAGGCGTCTGGGGACAAGGACTGTCGAGATATGGCTTACTTCCTAATCCCGAAGTGGAAATTTAAAATATATATGTATATAAATATAAAATTTAATGGGTCCGATAAGTCTGTTGGACTGTTGGACCCTCCCGCTGAAACTTTGTGAAACAGATGAATTGAATTGTTGAATTAAGTAAATAAATAAATTGCTTTAAAGAAAAAAATATGCACTAAGTAAAAACCAAAGTCTGTTTGAAATTTGTAAATTATTGCATTACTTAAAAATTGCATTTATTTACCAGATCTTCTCTATTTGTTAAAAAAAAACTCAACAGCCCAAAAAGAAACGTTGAAAGAAAAGCTTTAAGGCAGCTGCTCTGCAATTTTGCAGTTTAAACAGAACTACTTAGACAAAGTTCAATATTATGCATCCAAATTGCCTGTGCTTGTGTTTTACATTGCATTACTTGCAAGTGTTTGCCTAACGTTTCATTCATTTATTTACTTTATAATGCAGATAAATCGGGTGTTTTTTTCTCTCGGAACTCGTGCGATGCGTAATTTATGCAGTTGCGAAAAAAGTTTTTCCGCATTTTCCCAGCTCCTCTGCTGCTCATCCATGGAGTAGAGTTCAAGTTTCCTGTTCTGGCAGCGCTTCGAGTTCGAAACTCGAATTCCCCCGCAGCCGCAGAACAATTTTAAGTCCGCTCAATACTTGTAAATCTAGTTTCGACTTTCAGCCCATGGCTTTCAGATTCGATACGAGATACTTATTCTCAGCTTCTGCCACCCCGAAAACTTCAAGGAAACTCGTCTGAATTTTCGGAACAGGTATTCAGCAGGTCAAATATATACATTAACATTTGTCGAAAAAGGGTAGTTTCTCACCTGTAACAAGGATATCCGAACACATTATGTATTTACCCACAATGCTAAGCAGAAATCTTGTTTGCCTTTGCGTATCGGTTTTACAGTGTGCACTCGATGATTAAACCCTTAAATGGGCTTTCTTTACGCACAAGGAAATTTGATATCTCGGCTCAATACACAAAAAGCATATTGTTATGGTGAAGCACTATTGTTTATGTTAATTTTGCTAGGGGTTTTATACTGGGTGACAAAAGTTTTCTTGCAAGTAAGCTTAAGTAAGACAAACTTCTGAAAAATTATAAAATATCAATGTTCAATAGTCTTCAACAAGTAAAGTTATTGAAGTCCTTGAATACAACAATTTAAGACTCTTAACTTAAAATTCATAAGCGACTTCCTTTTTTAAAAACTGTGAAGATAAAAAGGTTCGGAATACAGCCAATCTACCTCTAAAGTTGTCAAACTGGTTTAAAACAGTATTAAAATTCGCTCAATCAGCTTTTGGATTTATTAAGTCCAAAGTTTCGAACCTTCAAATCGGATTACTTAACAAACTGTGCCTTCTTCATTGAGATGAAGATAATCGTTATCATTAAATTTAATTAAAGATAACCTGAAACTTTCTGTTTTCCTGCTCTTCATTTCACATAGAATGACAATGAACAATCAAAAAAACAGAACTTGAAAAATCATTATACTCGATTTCAACATGTGTATACCACATTAAACTGTAGCTTTTTTGTTGTGTGTGTGCGCGAACCCATAAATTTATATATTCCCCGAAATAACCCCGTTCTTAAAAAAAGAGCGAAATAAAAACGTAAATGGCAGCGAAAGAAGAAAAAGCAAAATAAAAAAATAATAGGCAACTGTCTCTCCGGCAATCTCTCGCAATCTCAAAAACAACTAGCGACCATAACCATTATTTGTACCTTCCGAATAACGAATATATAACGCCGAACCGAAGCGCACACGCACACAGCCCCAGGTAGACCGTATATATGCATGTGTATATAGTTGAGTTTTTGTAGGCCCGTTCGTCGCTTTTTCGAGTTTTGAAATTAGTATTGAAATCGTCGTTAACGGCGACGGTTTGGTTTGTTTCGACGCTTAAACACACTTGCACGTTCTTCTCTCTCACGACTTCCTCTCTTGCCGCTCTCTTTGCGCTGCTGCTGGTAAGTGTGTGCCTGCGAGTGTGCGTTTGGTGTGCAAGGTGTTGCTCTGCTTTGGAAATAGTTTAAGTCGAAATATTTAAAACTTATTGGCTGGCATGTGCATTAATATTTCAATACTGATTAGCGCAAATGCTTCAAAGTCGTTTGTCAATAGACATAGTTAAATATATTGAAAGAAACTCGGGAGTTATGTTCTGTTCTTTTTCTTGAAAAATTCTCAACTGCACATAATAAGCGTAAATTCGTGAGTTTCTATGTGTGGGTGAGCCGAGCTGAGACGAGAGAGACCCAACACCGAAAAGAATTAGTTTGCTCTCTCTGGCTCTCTACGTCACCCTACCTCCCAAAACCCCTCCCCCTAACAGCTTATTATCGTATCTTTTCACATTACAGTGCCCGCAAGCGATTTAAATTAAGTTGGCAATTACATTTCCGCTTTGGAATACTGTGTACAGAGTGCCTGTCCAGAAGGTAGTAGTTAATAAAATATTATTTGTAAAATATCATCGCTTCACACAGTGTTTTAAATAGTCTGTTCAAGAATTTACTTTCAAACAACCCCCGACCACTGTGCCAATCTTGAGTCTCTGGAAAACTACTCAAAATTTGAGATTCAATTCTAGCTTCAACCCGCCACTTTCGTATTTCCCCTATTCATTCATTATATGTACTTCATGCGTATCTTCCGAATTCGTACGCTGCGTAATCACTACATTAAATTCGTATTTCTACGTTATATTTAACGCTATCTTGTTTACTTGCATTTGAAAATCACTATCTCGAAAATGTTCTGTTATTGAGTGTGTCCCACTTGCCTCGCTTCACTTTACGAGGGTATCTGTGTATGCGGGAGAGTGTTTTTTACGTTTTCTTTGCTGCCATTATTCGTTTTGAAATAATCAAAATCGATAAAAAATATATATATTTCGTCGGTTTAGATTTGTAAGCTCTTTTCGTGTATTGTTGCTTACTAGTGAGCGTGTCGGCGGTGAGCTGCCACTTTTGATGGGTTTTGGAATGTGTTAAACAGTTGGAAACACGTCAACTTCACACAAACATATGTGTATATGGAGGTAAATATCAGGTTGATGGTGGATTCTGAAGACGAAAACCGAAAGATAACCAAATCCACGAATGCCACTTTTAACATAAAAACTGGATTTTTTTTGTTGGCACAAAGCCATAAGGTTTTTTTACAAACTGCAATGTTAATATACACAGGAAGTGGATGCTGATTTTGAAAATAAAAGTGATGTATCGTGTTTCAGTTTTAGATTATAAACGTTTCTTAATAGGGACTTATATTTCTGTGCATGCATTATAAGTCAAAATTACAAATTATTTATTAAACTTCGAGTTCTGTAAGCTAAGGATTTCAGAAGTATTATTTAAAAATCCTAATATAATTTAAATCAACTTCAAAATAATTGATTGATCGGTGTTACATTTCCCATTATTTTTTGAATGTGCAAACAGGCGTGGTCAAAATGTAAGATATTGTAATAGGAGGTCTTAAGGGCCTTTATATCTAAGAGCGCATACTTTAAACTGGGCTTACTTAAATTGTTATTGTTTTATTTTTTTTACTATTTGTTGTCTACTTAAATGAAAAGCCCAACAACATTGGAAACCTGAAGCAATTCGGAAGTTTTCCAAAACTGGTTTTTACTTCTGATGTCAAAACCGTTCCTCAATATTTTATTGACTGTCAAAAACTGTTTTCTAAACTAATTTTGTAATATTTTCTTGCTTTTTCAGTAGTTGCAGTGACTTGAAGCTCCGAAGAGTAAACCACCAACGGACACATCCATGTTAATGCCACGTTATCTGGGCCTGAACGATAGCTCCTCGTCGTCTGGCAGTCACGGAAATGCAGGAGCCCCTGGCAGCTCCTCCTCTCCGCCGACGACAGTGGCCGCCCTCACGAAGATGCGACTGCTGAGCAAAGTGGAGCACAACATGCGTCAGAGCCAAGGTCATATACCGAGCCATCAGAGCGGCCAGGACGTCAACCACCTCCTGCAAACGGCATCCACTGGCAACGGAGTGGTAGGCGATGTCGACGGACTGCTGACGCCCATGCGCATTAAAGCGCATTTGTCGCCACCCTACTCCGCCAGCAGTTCCGTCAAGTCCGAGTCCGCGAGCTCGAGCTCTCGGCCGGAGCGCAACCTGTGGAGCCGGGCCGAGATGCTGGAGATGCTGAGCATTATGCAGAATCTAAATGCCCTGGAGCAGCTAAATGACCGGAACATGAAAAGCGAATACGTCTTCCGGCAGATCGAGGATGTGATGCGCAGCAAGGGCTATGTGAAGAAGTCCAGCATTCAGATCTGGACCAAATGGAAGTTCCTTAAGTCCACTTACAATACCACAACGCGACATGGTACCGGGGTGCCCAAGGTGGTCCCGGAGGAGGTGTACCGCGTGCTCTGCCGAATGCTGAGGGACACTAATTACAACGGCAGCAGCAGCAATGTCAACGGCAGCCTCAGTGAATGCGGCAACTCGATGGACAGCTCGAAGACGGCTTGTGAAGATACCAAGGAGGACATCCTGGGCGTGGAGCATCCCATATTCGGCTTTCGGCTGGGACCCATTAAACCAGAGCCAATCGATACAGGTGAGTGGAATTATCAATTTAAATTTTGTTGTCGAAGTAGCCAGTTGAATTACTCTGATATCTTTAAAATAAATGTTTGTAAAATGGGTTTAGAAGAAAGTTATAAACTAAGTTACTTTATTTCTTCTTATAAAATTTGAATGTAAATTAAGAGGCATTTAAGATATACCAAAAGGAGTTTTTTTTTTTAATGGGTTTAGTGCTCTGCGCTTAAGATTCAAAGTGAACTTTTTTCTTTGATCAAAAAATATATTTAAATTGATTCGTAATTCGAATGCCTAATATAATTTCAAATATAATTTTTGGACACCAAAAGCAAATTTATAAAATGGAACACGACCCAATCCAGATTACATCAAAACAGAAGATAAACAATTACATCAAAACAGAAGATAAATAATTACATCAAAGCAGAAGATAAGCAATATGCATACATATAAACAATTTAATGTCAGAAAGCTATATGACAACAGTAATAAATTAATATATTCATCTATTTTTTTTTGATTTGATTACTCATTTTGATTTTCTAGAACTGAAAAACCATTACTATTTCATAAAAATGATGACAGCGGATTTCGTACTTATTCATTCCAGGCTACGAGACTTCTCAGAAGCCAGACATGGTGTCCGAACCAGATATGGAAGCCTTTGACTACGAAGCTGAGAACTCCCAGGCTGACAACCATGATCAGGATGAGGCCCCCCATTTGCCATTCATAGTGTCCGTGAAACATGAACCAGACATGGACCTGGGGATGGACACGACCAACACTCCGCCGCCCACGGCGCCAGCTTCGCCCTCGCCCCCTCCTGTGGCGCTGGATGAGACCGATGAGGAAACAGTATACTCATCCACCCCTATCGCTCTTCCTCCACTGCGCGTGGCCTCCTTTGCCAAGGACGAGCTGCGGCGGCCCACCCACGGCATCCTGCAGATCGATCGGCCGCCGCCGACGCTCACCAAGATGAACCAGCAGCTACCCAGTCCGGGCCAGGCGAGCAAATCCCTACCCCTCCAAAGCACTAGCAGCATAAACTTTGTGCACCCGCACAGCAAACTGATGTTACCCCGCAAGCCAAATCCGAATAGCAGCCAACCCGGCTTGCGTCTGCCCAGGGATATCAGTGTCCAGCCGGCGGGCATGCGAATGAAGACGGTGCCTATGCGGGATACGGGCTACTCGTTGCGGCCGGAACGGATGATCCCCGACCTGAATCAGGTCACATCCAGTCCCCCACAGTCGCCGATGGCCGCTCTTTTGAGCCGTGGACCGCCGCCCAAGTATCCAATAGCCGGGCAACAGGGTGGCGCCTCCACTAGCAGGCAGGCTCACATTATGTCTTCCCACCAGTTGACCCCGTTGCAGCACCAACAGCTCCAGCCGCGGAAGCGTCGTCTGGTTCAAAGTCCGGTTATGGGCATGCCTGTGCCTGTAAAGCTGCAGCGCAGCTCCAATATGTACGAAACGACTATAAAAGGTACTCGATCTCACCCTGGAATGGGCGAAGAGAGCAAAAAGAAGACCAGCGAAGAACAGACGAAGCAGCGCAAGAAACGGCAGGAAGAGGTGTTCGCCAAAGAGCTCGCCCAATTGGCCACTGCGATGCACTCAGCTCAGAAGGAGATGCTGCAGGATTTCTTCATGCAACAGAAGGAGATCGCGAGGCGAGAGCATGAGTTCCAGATGAAACAGGACACGATGGTGATGCGGGCACTGCGCAAGCAAACGTATGTGTTGCTCAAAAGCGCAAACGAGCTGGTAAATGGACCTTCTGAGGCAACTAAAAATGAGCCGGAACCCAAAGACGGTGTCATTCCCGAAACTCAGATGTCGTTTCAACAAGAAACGGAAATAAAACCTCCAGAAAGCGAAGAGGAAAATATTGATGGAGATGGGGAAGATGACGATATGGAAGAAACTTTGGAAGAGCCAGAAGATGAAGACAATGAAGTGGATTATGAGGATGAAAACGAAGAGGAGGATGACGAAGAAGTCGATGATGAACACCTGGGCAATGACAGCGACCTGGAAATGTCCACCTTAGCCATGTCCGAGGGCTCCAACCATGTTGAAGTCATCAGCGAGGAGCAGTAGTTGACTTTTCCCCAACATTCCAACCCATCTCCAAGTATTAGCCCAAAAAGACAAACACCATTGTTAATACCGATTCATTCCAATCGCATTCCTTAAGCTATATATACTATATATATTCCTAAAGCCGGACCCGCGCATTGTTAAAAGACTTGATTATATTTAAGCATTATTACATAAATGAAACCTAAAGTAAATTAAAATGTATTTATTGTTCATCGACCGTCTATGCCCCAAAGTGCTGTAAAGTTATTGAAACCACAAAATACTTAGGTAATCATATGATATATATCAAAATATATATGTACCTTGTACAATAAAAGAAGAGATTTCAATTTGAAATGGGATTGCAAGTGGGATCTGAACTTTTAAACAAAATCAATTTTAATTTCCTATCAAGAAATGTATTTAATAATATTGCATTAGTTTGAAAAACAAATTAGAATTTACAACAAAATCAAATCAGGGAAAGTAGAGCGCCCTAAAGTTACGAGAAATCAATCTTACTGGCTAGGATTTTTGCAAAAAATTAAATAGTTCTAGCTTAAAACGACAAACTGCGAGTGCACTAAATTAGGTAATGCCCATTATGTGCTGTGCCTGCCTGTCCTATGGATTAGTGTACTCCTCCTACTCTCCGCGAATTAGCACGATCCGTAAACGCCTAAAGCAAAGTGTTAGCAGCTAGTGTTTATTTTACAATTACCATTACGACCCCGCGATACCGTGCCCACGCCCCTTTTCCTAACCGGAATTTAGTCAGGCCGGTAGATGGGCGTTTTGGGTATAAATTCAATTAAAATAACATACTCCATCATGGAATTGGAATCACATTGTTGCTTATGCAGTCGCCAGTGCAGGCCCAGCTTATGATATAGATGATTATTTTCCCACTCGAAGAGCTTATCTAGAGTGAGTTGTGTCTAAAAAGGGATAAGGTTTTCGGTAAGGATTACATGATCTTGCTGGAGATGTATCTCAATCTTACGCGTTTGCTGAGACAGATGACGGGCCAAAGGGAACAGCCGAGCGTGCAGCAACAGCATACGCATCCGCAGAAAAGCCACTTGACGTTAACAGGCAGGGATTTCTTCAGCACTCCGTTGATTCGGCCCACCGTCGCCTTGAACTCCTCGGGGGCGACTCGGGACAGCAGACCGCAGGGGAACTCCACGTTAAAGCGATTGCTCAGGCCAAACCTGTGAATGCGCATGGGAAAAAAGTGGTATTAGAATGGGTAATTGGCGTGCAATGCAATTATTCTGCCCTGACTCGTCTCTTATGCAACTGTTTATAATTGACAGTTGGGCAACCCCACCTTTCCAAAAATGGTGTCAAACTGTATCAATACCGAAGCCAATGTGGAAATTAGGTGGCGATGACATTGAACTACATTTTAGCTATGTATAGACAACATACATCACAAGCATTACTACGCTGACAGCTATGGTCGGAATAATTTGACTGTCTTTTGTGACTCTTTTATAGTATTTAAATTTCTTTAGACCCCAAATATCTCCAAATATCTTTTATCAATTGCATTAAACTTTTTTTAAATTTGAAAATTTCTGGACAACTAAAATTGTGTAATCAAATACCAAAAAAAGAATAATACCTATGTATATTTGTCCCCACATTTTCAATTCAAACTATTATATTAAAAGTTTTTGCAAAATATATTCTTTTTCGAATAATGGTGATAGAAAATATTATTATTTGGGCTGCACTGTATTCATCATTGACTCATGTAAAGTGCAGATAATGCTATTGTCATTCTGGATGGGGTTACAATCCGAACTACTCTATCTATCTGGTTTCCCGCCTGTTGGTCTTATCGCTTGTTTACATTGCCCAAACAAGGCCCCACTTACACAGTCATGTTGCCCGCGCCACGAATGATAATGGGCTCCTGGACGGGCGCCACCGTCTGGTCCTGGAAGTGCTCCAGCTCGTCCAGCTGTTCGTCTTCGTAGATGGCGTCGAAGTCGGAGAAGGACATGGTTTATGTGTGATTTGTGCTTGTTACAGAGGGCTGATGCGCTGAAACGGATGACGAGGTGACCAGGGGGAACAGAGAAGAGCAGCGGCCGCTCCAGCTGTGCCGAGTGGGAGGTCAAAACATGTTGCAGGATGTTCCTGGCGGGGATTGGGTGTTTTCTTAAATGTGTTCAGTTGACGGCTGATGCTTCCGTCATAAAATGTTGAAGTCGGCCGCGCTTCCCAGTGGATACGATTATGACGTCTGGCTTCCTTTTGTTGACGCAAACGCGTGGGTGGCCTGTGGTTTTGGTTCGAAGGGCGGGGGGTGGCATTCAAAATAAAGTGCATATTAAAAAATAATAAATGCAGCGTATGTGTGTGAGACGGTTTACAACACTGTACGTTGGGTGCACTGTTGTTGCTTTTCCATACGAGAGGACGGGAGGGCAAGAGGCTCCAAGTACAAAGAAAGAAAGACTAAAAGTTTGCATTTCTCATACCGCCACAAAAATTAGAATTTCGCACTCAAATAAATATATCGAACAACAACAACTACAACGCAAATGTTTTGTTTTTCCCCACACACACACACAAACCACTAGACAGACACACACACCTCTTGCAGCGTATTTCGCAATCACTTTTCTTCCAGGTTAAGTTGTTTTTTGACGCCCTACGTGCAGTTTTTTTCTTTTTCCAGTGTTTTCGGACAGTTTTCGAATTTCCCAGCGCAGGGCCTACGACTTTGACTCGCTTTCTACGTTTTCCGAAAACGAAAATAGATTAACCAGCTCGCTGCTAAATTTGTTGTTGCACGACCACGACGAACAGCTGGCTGACCAGGGCTGCCAGGCTGCCGCACAGTTGACAGCCTTACTATTTAAAATTAAATATATTGTATATATATATATATATTTATTATGTATAAATATTGATTTCTTAAATGTAAGAATAATAGAAAATAGCTTTAAATAACCTATTTTAAACGTCTTTCTTATAAATCAAAAACTAACAGCTGCCAGTGTTGCCAGCCCGTAACTTTTTTAAATCCTTCAATTGCTTTGGAATATTATTGATTTATTAATTATCTATATAAATAAATTACTTTTATGTATAAAATACATAGCGTGCCATAAGCTTAGGCCTAAACAAATACAAATTCGACGATTGGGCAACTCAAACAACATTGCATTAGCTTAATTACGAGTGTTATAGATTAAAATATAGCTCTAGCGTGAACGAGAAGGCATATTTGAGATGGTTTTTGGTTTCGAGTTCCGGTGGGTGGAGGACTACTTCTTCTTGGCCGCACTCGGACTGGTGGACTGAAACACCGAGGAGGCCGACATTAGATTCTCGATGTACTGGCCCAGTACTTGGTTCTCGGAGCGGAGCTTAAGATTCTCCTCCTTGACAGAGTCAACGCGTTGCGACAGGTCATCCAGGGTATTTTGGAGCTCCAGAACCTGAGTAATCAGACGAGCCTTCTCCTCCCGATCGTCTTGGGCCATTTCCATGGCCTCCAGCGAATTGTGCGAAGAATCCGGCGTGGAACTCCGGTTGGTGAAGGAAGAACGCAGCGAGTCCATGGATCTGCCACTGGGCATATGGCCTGCCGTCGAAGGTTCGTCATCCGGAATGACCACTGTTTTTTGGGGGCAATAACAATTGATAACATCATCATTTGGGACTCGCCCACTTCCATTAAATTTTGCTTACCCTGTGGATCCTCGTCCATGTTGGGAATACTATCGTCGTTGTTTAACAGGGACATGGCTGGCAGTGTGTAAGGGTCCCTTCTGTTGTTTATAAGTTTTATTTAATTAACACTCGCCAAATTTTCGCTTAGAAATTGACACGAAAAAAGAAAACTACCACTTTGGTTTGGTCCCCTCGAAGTTAGGCAACACTGACTGCGGGCGCTGCCGTTGTTTAGTAGGACCGGTATTTTCCAACACTAGCAGAAGTTTAAAAGGAAGAAGCAGCACCAGTATTTTATGGTCTTAATTTAAAACTCTTAAAACAAATATTTAAAAGAAAACTATATAGAAAGTGGATTCACTTAAAGGTTATCAACAATTTTAAAAGGACCCCTCTTCCTTGAAAGTATTTTTAAAAACAAAGCCCATTCTTAGATTTTAAGCTAGTTTTTCGCACTAGTTTGTTTTGTAGTTTTAATCGCCTAGAGAACTTGCTTATGCCAATTATTTGAGCAGGTAAAGCTGTCCTTTTCACCAAATTCATATAAAATTTCAGAAACAAACAAAAAAAGCGTTTATTACCGTTTTACTTCCGTCTTTTTAAAATAACCGACAACAGGCGGGGACCAGAGTTGCCACCTGAGCCGTTCGATCATAGAAATTAAAATACACACATGCTTTTGCAGTTTTAATATCGCTGGACAGAACGCTTCCGTTTCAAAAGGAGTGCAGACTGGAATTCCATTAAGCCATTAGTTTATGAATTTCGTGAAAAGTGTGCTGGAATTGTGCTGTATTTTCCGCAGTTTTCAGTGAGTATTTGTTTTCGCACCAAGTACGCCACAATTGTATTGTACGAGGTCGAACGCATTTAACACCCTCGCAACAACCATCCGCCGTTCAATCAAAAGGGATAAAACAGGTAAGCGTTTTCCTAACCGTAAGGTGACATTCACGACCTGATGTCCTGAAGGTCTGTAATTTCAGCCGTGTCTTCTCGAAAAACAGCATCCCAATATCCTGGTTTCCGCCTCCTCAAGAGGTTGTACATTTCATTTCGCTCCGCGGGCAAAACGGAATTGTGTGAGGTAAGTCAACAGCTGGATTCTGGGTATCGGAGGTCTAGGCTTTTTAGAAATGTAAAAACTAGAGGCAATGGCCATCTAGTTTTGGCAAAAATTCCTACCTAAATCACACGAAGCTAGATAAGACGGTTTATGTTCTTGTGACATTGGGAACTACGTAACGTTGGGATACAGGGAGATCGAGCTTGGGTTTACAGTTATGGGCCAGTCATAATCCGATTAGTGGGGATAAAATGTCTTAGAGGGCTATAAATAGGGGCGAGTCATTTTTAAGATAACACAAATCTTAAGGCAGCATAACTAAAAATGGTATCAAAATTCAATATGTATTTAGTGTGACCGTAGGCGGGTTACTGGATTTATGTCAAATGTCCGCGGGTAATTTGTCTGAAGTGGATAAATAAAAACAATAACATAAATCAAATTCCAATTACAAATGTATATTAATTTCGATAAATTGTAACTTTTGGAAAACAGTTAAAAACTAATCTTAAATTAGTTGTTGAAAGTTACATCGACAGGTAAGCAGCCACTTTTGAGAAACTTTAATTTTAACTATGAGACAACACAAAATATTATAAACCAACAAAATATCATAAAGTTAAACAATCTTTAACACTTTTCAGCTGAATGCAACACACAAAGTAACCGTAAATATTTTTAAATAAACTCGCCAACTTACGCATTAAATAATACCAAGAATAATATACCGAATCAAGAAATACACATAATGAGTGCAAATAAACGCGCGAAACTAATAACTTTAATTCAAAAAACTAAAGAAAAGTGTTATTTCTAAAAATGTAAAAACTGACTAGCAAAAAGGAAAGTTAACTATTTAAAACGGACGATAGAAAATAGTGAATTCGACAAAGACTTGAGTGAAAAGGGGCAATACAAAAAAAAAATACTAACCCCAGTGCAGAGTGTAAAATGCCAAAAACTTTTGTGCGCCTCAACGTACAAAAATTGTAAAGACGCGAAACGGGGAAGAAATTTTGTAGATTTTTTTGTGCCGATTTCCGTTGGGAAAATAAAAATATAAAAGGGATTAAGACAGAAAATTATAAATGATACCCTTTTCGATGGCCACCGCAGAGGCCAAGCAGCTCCAGCGCGAGTTGTCCATCACGGTGTCGCCTGGGAATGGAGGAGCTACAACCAATGGCGTCCCCGTCTCCGGCGGAAACTCAAATAGTCTTCTGACCCTGGCGCCGCGCAAGGAGGAGCTGCGCTTCCTGCCCCTCGCATCCATGGGAGCGAACAAAACCTGCAACATCACCATCAGCAATGTGCAACCTTTGAAATCCAAATTGACGGCAGTGAACATAGTGCCCAATTCCTTAAAGACCACGGCAGGATCTACAACGGGTGGAGGATCTGCTCCCCTGTTCCAGCTAATGCCGTCATCTAGTAATCCCAATCAGCCACTTGTGGCCATTTTGGCTAACAACCGCAAAGCCACGCTGCTAGGAGGTGGTGCATCCAATCCCCAGCCAGTGGTGATACGTTCCGGGACACCTTTGAACAAGAACAGCCTGACAACCCACAGCAATGGGATGGCCACCATGACGCCAGTTGGAGGAGGAATAGTAGCGGGAGGAGCAGGTGGCACAGGAGGAGCTGCTGGCCTAACACTCCTGAACAAAACAGAGCTTCCACAGAAATTACAAGCGGGTGAGTAGTAAAGTTTTTCCCTCTCCCAAGTTATATAAGGTACAAGCCAAACATCCCTGATCAAATAAGGTTCTCATCCGAACGGATTTCGATTTAAAGAAATCCGGAAAATGGAAAATGGGGAATACTAGTGTTCGAGTGTGTGTGTGTGTGTGTTGTGAGCGGGGCAATCTTTATAGTTTACTTTCGTTGTTCGCATAGCTGCGGGTTTAGTTTTTAGTTGCTGGTCGACCGCTGCACATTTCATAACACCAAAACTGTTTGGAACCAGCCGAATTTAATAGGTTTTGTGTGCGTGTGCCATTTTCGGATATAAATTAAACCATTAAATAAAGTTTCATTCCAAAACGGGGGCATCAATGATTGAAAAAAAAAACAAAAATACACTAAAAATGTATTACTCTTCTATATATGCTGGTTTTATCAATAGCAATATGCAAAAGGCGGGGTAGCCGCAACAACAACAACAACAACAGAGAAAAAAGCGACAATGATGATGACGATCAGGTTTTCGCAGCTGCAATAAGAGGAGAAGATTTTTGGAGCAGCGGGGGCGGCGTTAAGTGGAGGATCGGATCGCCTTCGGGTGACTAATTAAAGAAAAGTCAAACGCTAATTTTGTATCTTTCTGTTGTTCACCTTTGCAGCACCTGTCCAGATTCCAAGTACGGGTCCGGCGCAAATCTCCTTACTGGCTAATCCCCTCAAGCCACGTGCTCCACTCATACTCAGCAAGGTGGCGGTGGACAAGTTGCGTCTGAAGTTCAATCAGGTCAAGGCCAATCCCAATTCCTTAGTCCTACACAAGGCCAATCATGTGAAGAAGCTGCTGCCCCTGCCCAACAGCAGTGGCGAGGATAAGGCCAGGACATCCCAGAATAACAACAACAACAATAATAATAACATTATTAAAAGCCAACTAAAGGCAGTCATTCCGGTTAAGACCATGCCTGTCGTCGCTGAAGAGCTACCCACCAATAACGCCAAGAGCCTGATAAAGGCCAAACCACCAATCACGAAGGCAGTGCCACTGCCCAGCCAGGATATACCCACTGTAACGGCAGAAACAAAAGCCGCAGATGAGGAGATGGCTAAGCCCACGCCAAAACCCACTCCCAAACCGATAGAGATTATCCTAAATGGCCCGGCTACGGAGCTAAAGGAGCCTGTGGAGCTGCAGAAACCAGCGCCAAAGGAAACAGCTAAACGTCAACCAACTAAGGCAAAGGAATCACCAAAGCTGCAGCGCTCCAAATCCTTTGTGGCCACTCAACCGTCTTCTCCAATATTAAATAACGAGCGACGGCACTCGGTGGCCATTATGGCCAAGGAGGTTGATGTGATCGTGCAGCCCAGTGCTCCCATCGAAACCATCACCATAGAAGATGATGACGACAGCGAGGAGGAGGTGCAGGAAGAGAAAAAGCCCAAGAGGAAGGAGATTGTGATGCCCATTCTGCCTGCAGGAATAACCATTTCCACCACCAGCAGATCAGCAGCCAAATCGAAACCAGTCAGAAAGGACTCCTGCGTAACGACCATTTCCTCGTCTGCCAGCGCCAGCTCTTCCAACAGCGATGTGGAGGAGATCTGTGTGCCTCCCAAGAATGTCGAGCAAGAACTGAGTCTACTGCCTGGCATTAGCATTATCAAGGCGGAATCCCTGCAGCTGTCCAAGGAGGACTTTGAGCGCTCGCTGCGCTGCGAGGAACGGGTGCCGAATACTCCGCCCAAGTCGTCTTCCTGCTCCGGGGGCTCTGGTGCTTCGGACACGGCATCGCCGTGCAAATTAAGCGATCATATGCCATCGAGTTCATCCCTAAAAAATGGAAAGAAATCTTATGAACATGATGTAGTGCCACCACCCGGCAGCAAGACTACAGGCTTAAAAAAGAGCATGATGCATAACCTGTCCATGTTGAAATGGCGTGGCCAGCAGCCAGCCAACCTCCAGAACTCCACGATGCGTTTCGAACTGAATCGCTTTAATCTCCTCCAACTAAACGAGCGCTGTGAACCGCGCCAAGGTCCTGCGGGCTACTTCGATCGGGCACTGTTTGATCGTCCAGGCAGGAGACCCTCGGGCAGCATGCATCCTCTGCTTTATTTGTGCCAACGTTGCAACTGCCACGGTCCCGCTGCCGACTTTCTGGCACCACGTGAGTAATAAGAGGATTTCCAAAAGGTTTCAGACACTGTACATATATTCTATTCTACCGCAGATTACTGTTCCGTGAGTTGTGTGCGCCGCGCCCAGAAGCGTCGCCTGCCGCAGAGCTACCAGAAGGATAGCAAGATGAGTCGCACCCAAGCGGAACCGCCAGCTCGAACAGCATCAGATCTACCACAAAAACCTCAAGCCAACCACAAATCCCAATCGAAATCTCTGTCCGCCATACAAGAGCAGCTGCTGCAGCGTTCAAAGCAGAAGCCTCGAAAGCCATTCCGCTGGAGCGAGTACCTCAAGGCCAAGGGCAAGGATGTGGCGGCTCCCATCCACCTGTTCCTCAACCCGTTCCCAATCAGCCCCAACTGTTTCGAGCGCGGAATGAAGCTGGAGGCCATCGATCCGGAGAACTGTTCCCTGTTCTGTGTGTGCAGCATTGCCGAGGTGCGTGGCTATCGTCTAAAGCTTAGCTTCGATGGTTACTCCTCCATGTACGACTTCTGGGTGAATGCCGACTCGCAAGACATCTTTCCGCCTGGCTGGTGCGATGAGACGGCACGGGTGTTGCAGGCGCCCAAGGACTACAGCTCGGAGCGCTTTAGCTGGAGCCGCTATTTGGTGAAAACGGGTGGCAAGGCGGCTCCTCGATCGCTCTTTGCGCATTTGAATTTGCAGACGCAGGCGGGAATTCGCAACGGATTCGCCGTCGGCATGCATCTGGAGGCAGAAGACCTAAACGATACGGGGAAGCTCTGCGTGGCCACAGTGACGGATATTCTGGACGAGCGCATTCGGGTCCACTTCGATGGCTGGGATGATTGCTACGACCTGTGGGTACACGTCAGCTCACCGTACATCCATCCCTGCGGCTGGCACGAGGGTCGTCAGCAGTTGATCGTTCCTCCGGACTACCAGAAGTCGGAATTCAATTGGCCGGACTACATATCTAAACTTGGGGGAACGGCTGCCTCGAAAGAGCTGTTCACGCCACGCCAGCCAATGGAGTACCAAGCCCGCATGAAGCTTGAGGTGGTGGACCAGCGAAATCCCTCCCTGATTCGCCCGGCTACAGTGGTCACGCGAAAGGGTTACCGCGTTCAGCTCCACCTGGATTGCTGGCCTACGGAGTACTACTTCTGGCTAGAGGACGATAGTCCGGACCTGCATCCCATCGGCTGGTGTGAGGCCACGTCGCACGAGCTGGAAACTCCGCCTGGCTATCTGCAAACCAAGTCCATGATGCCATGCGATGTGGAGGGATGTCGGGGTTATGGTAATGCCAAGCGCTTCAACCTCAATGTACACGCTCTGCGAGATTGCTGCCCGTATGCGCCGGAGAACTGGCGCCAGTGGCGCTCCAAGACGGTTAAACCGCCCCGTGTGGCACCTGAAAAGATCAGGCGGGGATGGGCAAAGAAACCAAAGAGAGCCAGTTCGGAAGCCAAGCAAACCGTTAAAGACGAGGCTCATCCAGAGAAACCCGAAGTTAAGGTGGAAGCCAAGAGAAAGAGACCTCAGGTGAAGGTTGTGAAAGAGAAAAAGCAGGAAGCGGAGCAGATACCAGACCACCGTTCCTTAGACATAGCCAAGTCGTTTGTGAAGGACTACGGACCGCAGTTCCTGCCAAACTATCGCCTCTGGCAGCAGAACTGCACCTTCGATTTGGAGCAGGTGCGCACTAACCCGCTCCACTGGACGAACTGGGATGTGTACGAGTACATAGAGCGTGCACTGGAATCAGTAGACATTGCCAAAGCTATCTTCGAGCAGGACATCGATGGCAGGGCGCTGCTGATGCTGGGGCGCAACGAGTTGGACAAGTACCTGAAACTCAAGGTGGGCCCGGCCGTGAAGCTCTACTCGCTAATTGTCAATCTGCGCATCGCGGTCGTCTGCAAGTTTGAAACAAACACCACCGGCCTGGCGATCAACGCCGATGATGTAGCTCAGCGTCAGAAGGAGGAGGCAGTTCTTCCCGCCAATGAGCAGCAGCAACCCCAGAGCAATGGCCACAAGATGGAGCCCGATCAGGAGCTCTCTGACAGTGAGGACGAGGAGGACGTGGTGCTGGACAGCGATGACTTCCTTAGCGTCAAGCCGAGCAGCTTGGTGATTGACGAGGACGCCGATTGCGATGGCGATGGTGATGCCGATGTGGTAATGGTGCCCCTGGAAGTGCGCATGCCCATGCCCACGGCTTCCTAGGATTACAGGCAGCCCACCTCCGTTGATTGATTTGTAAGATTATGTTGTTGCACTAGCCTCGGCCCTGTCGGGTATTAATATTATTAATAGTATTTATTATATAAGCCGATCCGAATTCGATTTTGTTTGTTTTTTTCCCACTCTCCAATAAATGATCCCTATAGATATGTACTTATCTAGCTACAGACTGCTTCTTTGGTAAACCGAGGTGGCCGATCCAATTTCTCTGGTCAAGAACTCCTCCTCTTCGGGCAGAACTAACGTGCCGTCTACCTCGAAAAGGAGTTCAAAAACGACGTTCTGGAAAATTTGTGTCACTTCCACAAACAACTGGAACTTTTCCATATCGTCGTAACGCAAATCGTTCACCTCCTGGTAGTTCCTTAGCGAATCCAGCAGTTCATGATCGGAAAGAACTCCTTCTTTTTTCAAGATGATCATTAGAGCCTTGAGCTCCTTTAAATTTAACTTGAGAAATGAGTGGTCTTTGAGAACTTGGGTGGCTACGGGTAGTATTTTCTGAAAATACATAATGATTATGTATTATTCTGTTTAATTTTTCTAAAAATATTAATGGTTTAATAAACACTATCTATTAATTTTCATAATAAATTTAAAAAAAATTATGTACTAAGACTTACACATTAAAACAAGGCAATCAATAATATGAATGGTTTTAAAATATATAAAAACCCTTTGTCACAATCCCCATTTTAAGCCATCCTTACCTTCGCCACCAGATCCATTAAAGACGGATGGTTGTGTTCACTGGCCAGGTGGAAGACCTGCAACACCACCTCCATAGGCCACTCCTGGTTGGCCAGTTTCTCTATATAGCAGTCGATAAAGTCCAGCATCTTGTACCGCTGTGCGAGGAGCATTAGGTCACCACACATGTCGATGGTGACGGCATTGCAGACTTCATAGGTATAAATATAAAGGAGCAGGGCTTCGTAGGCGGTGGGCGATGCGTCCTCCACGCTGATCACGTTCTTCTTCTTCGCAAAATCAGGGTCCTTGATCAGCCGCTCGAATTCCTCGGAGGCGGAGATGAGCATTACCTGGTGGCAGCGAAAGACCCGCTGGCTGCGCGGACCCTTCACCTTATCCTCATACCACACCTGCAGCTCGCAGTCCGACTTTTGGCCATTGCGCAGGAGCTCCAGACGACGTAGTTTGCAGTTCATAGTGACTGGGGATTTTTTAGGGGGTGTGTTTCTACATAGTACAGAATTTGGAATACGAAATTGGGGTTTCCCAGGCAGAAATGTCAGACTCTTTGGAAGTGGGTACCGGCGAAAACAGCCAGCGAAGCTCCGCTAGAAAGAACACAGCGCCAAACATCTATTTGGATGCGGAAGAGGAGGAGGCAAATGATAATGTCCAGGAGGATCTTCAATTGAATTCCGAAGAGGATGCAGGAGAAAAGGGTTTCCCGGAATCGGAGGAGGCAAATGATAATGTCCAGGAGGATCTACAACTGGATTCCGAAGAGGATGCAGGCGAAAAAGGTTTCCCGGAATCGGATGAGGGCACCACACCCTCATCTTCTGAGAGACACAATCCGGTTACCCCCAGGGCCACAATGGCATCGAATGTGGACTCGATTACAGACTCAGATCTCAGGAAAGCCTTCAAACAACTAGAGCCAAAGCTGGAGGAAAGCATTCGTTCCACGAGTAAGAACCGCCGCTTGGAGTACTTTCGCAGTGGAGCCGATGCCGACTGCCAGGTGCATGTTCTGAGCACCTGCGCCGATTCCGAGGATTCGGAGGCCAATGTCTGCTACAAGAAGTTCGGCTGCCACCGGATTTTTCTGGCCACCGCCTCGGACAAACTAGAGCAGGATGTATACAAGAATAAGCAGTGGAACGGTGTGCTCCAGATCAATGGAGTTTCACCCGAGAGCGTGGAGATCTTCTTGGAGTTCATATATACCTTTGAGGTGACCTCGCCGCTGGTTAAGTTGCCCCTTGTCAACGACATCTTTATCCTGTCCTGCGCCTACAACATGCCGGAGCTCCTGATCTCATTTTCCGAGAAACTAAAGCATCAGGAATGGCCATTAGATGAGATCTTTCCTGCTTTAGACCTGGCATTTCGGCACAACATCATGGATCTGGAGCGGGTGTGCATGGATGTAGGTAATAGACCACGTAAAACACATATTTAACTAGCATTACCATACAGAAAATCATGGAGCATGCCCAAAACCTGACCCAGGAACCCAATCTGTTGAAGTTGCAGGTTTACGCCCTGAACTATGTGATCCAACATTGGATGGTGGAGGAGCTGGTGCCCATGGAGGATCTCATGAACATCGTGAAGCAGTACCAGGAGACCAACGAGATTACTTTCGCCAACACCCTAAATTTCCCGCACTTTACCAAGATCATCAAGTACTTTCCCAACGCCCTTTTGGATTCTGAAGGGAATATTAGTAGGTTTTAGAAAAAAAATGAATAGTAGGAAAAAGGTTGAAAAAAGTCGTTAATATTTATCTCATACTGTTTGAAAAATCCCAATTTAAATTATCTGTCAGCGGGAAATAATAAAGAATTGCCACTTTTCTATAACTGTCCAGATAATTTGAACATTTGCTAAATTAATATTCCAATCTCAATCTAACGATCCTTTTTTGAATAAAATAATAGCCACAAGAAAAAACATAAACATTACAATAAAGATAAAAGAATGCAGAAAAAGTGTGAAATGTTTGCTGAAAAAGTCTGAATATAATTAATTCCTTAATAATAAAAATTAATTTAATTTAATTATAGATATATTTTTCAAAATTTAGCGATCGGCGCTGCCAACTCACCTTTTTTTTCTTTGTGGTTCAATTTGGCCTGGAAATTTGCGGTATTTTGCGGTATATACTGACCTACGAGGGGAACGCGTTATCGTTATGCGAGGGCCGCATTTGGTACACTGGTGCGCCATTTTACTCGCATAAAGCCGAAAAATTACACTGTGGCCAGAAAACTAGAAAATTGCACAGTGCAAAAAAGTGTTTTTATCTTTTAACTAAAGTTTTGCGCGAACTGTGAGCCGACCGTTAATAATGTGTGCGAGCGGGCAGCGATGAAAGGCAGTTAATTGCGGCAACAGACGCGCTTTCCTTTCCACACTCGTGCATCTTTTGGGTGTCCGAAATCACCAAACATAAATACGAAAAAGAGGCGCCAACGCAGTGCATCGTGGCCTGAAAGATAATGCAAGTGCAGTAATATTAATTACCTGGTAATCGGCGCATACAGACACAGTCTCCCTCGATTTTTTCCCCCTTTTTTTCGGGAGGCGCATGTTTTGTTTTTTCGTGCACTGTACCGTGGGCCCCTGTGTTTGTGTGCGTCGGTGAGCCTGTGCGTGTGTGTGTACACATTTTAGGCGGCAATGGTGTGAGGCCCTGGCCAGCCGATAGTCCGCCCACGGCGACTGTTATCGATAGTTGGCGAAACTAACTATTTGTTGTTTATTTTCTGCAGTTCATGTCTATATAAACAAGCGCACAACACGAGCATCGGTTAACAATCAAAGAGAAATGGAGGAGATATCCAGTTTAGACTCGTTCGGCGCCGATTCCAATGCGCGACCGGAGTCGGCTACTCCCAGGCCAGAGGATCAGGAGCAGACGCCAGCGGCACCTGAAACTCTGGATACACCCGCTTCCCCGCCAGCAGAGGATGCAGTGGCCCAGGAAAGTGAACCCCCGCCAGAGGACTCGGCCAAAGAGCCGGGGGATGAGTTCGAGCAGATCTCGGAGGGTTCCTTGGAAGCCGATGACCATCAGTCGCGGGATAAGGCGGTCAGCCCGCAGGAAGATCCCGTGGAGGCAGTAGAGCCCGCCGAGGAGCCGCTGCCCTCCGAGGAGGCACTGCCCTCTGAGGAGCCTCTCGTCGCCGAGGATGAGCAGCCACAGCCAGAAGCGGTTAGCGTGGATCCGCAGGAAGATCAAGAAGAAGCAGAAGAGGAAACTGATGCCCTGCAAGCCACCGCGGAGGAGGAGGAGGCGGCCGCTGCAGATGCAGATGCAGATGCAGATGCAGTGGATGGTGGCCCCGCCTCTCCCGAAGCTATGGATGTGGACGATGGTGAAGGCGAAGCAGAGGCAGAAGGTGATCCCGAAGCTGATATTGAAGCCGATCCAGAAGGAGAAGAGGAGGGAGCACTCGAACCAGAGGCGACGGAAGATGTGGAAATGCAGTCCGTGGGCGGAGACTCGCACCTAGCTGAGGATGTGGAGCCGCCAGAAGGTCGTGACGAGGTGGACACCAGTCTAGAGGAGCAGGACACTGGGCAGGATCCAGACGAAGCGGAAAAAGAGACGCCCGGCGAAGAAGATGACAATCCGGAAGCCGATGCAGAGTCTGAGCATGTAGAAGATGCACCAGAGGAAGCTGGAGAAGCCGAACATGGCGATGGTAAGCCCCTTAAAAGACTTTCTATGCTTTAAAAATCAAATTGTGGTCTTGATTATTAAAATAATTTTTTTGGTAACCACGAAATTACAGACACTGTTGAAAATGTTCTGGAGCCTGAAGAGTCGGACGTTTGCCTCATTCCCGACGATCAAGAGACCGAGGTGACTGAAGCTGAGAAAGAACTGGCCCGCGAGAACGCCGAGAAGGCTGCCGAGGAGGAGGAGGCCGAGGAGCGGCATTCGAAGTCACCCGATAATGATGGGAAATCTCTGACAGATGCCCCCGTTGATCCAGAAGATGATAGCGCGGCTGTTGTGAGCCCCACCGACGAGTCACCGTCTACTCCAAACGGTATGTGTCCAGACTAACACCTAATATGACCCATCCCAAATCTACTCTATCCATTTTGCCTACAGATGCTCAAGCTGGAGCTAAGGCGACGGCATTAGAAATTGCCGAAGGTGAGAAGATTGGGTTTATAACTGGGCGAAAGTAACTAACAATTTGATATGTCTACTTTATGGACCTTTGTTTAAAGCTTAATTTAATAACTCCCTGTTTGTATCACAATTCTTTTTTACTGCTTTTGCATAAAATTCTGCTATTTTCTTTTGCCTCTTTATGTAACCATATTTTGTACTGTAGTGTTTTCATTTGTTTTCAGCATGTGCAATAGTTGCTTTTCTCATTTTTGGCGCAATAAATTTTGATTTAAATTCACTTTTAATTCGGGATTTATTCCGCCAAAATCTAAATTGGTCTGTTTAGTTCTTCTCACATTTCGGGTTTTTAAAAGTGTTAAAATTGTATTGATTTTGGCTAATAAATTGAGATAAAATTAGTTATAATTATGATTACATTTTGTAATAGCCACCTGTTGAAGCTAGCGCAGTTTTGTCGCATAGCTAAAAATAATACTAATGGAATTCAACTTTCCCTCTTAGACGACGGAACTGACGCAGCGGGCAACGAAGAGGAGACGGCCGGTGATGCTCCCGATGCTGACGAGCCCACGGCTGAGGAATCCTACAGTTCCGCAGCGGGAGAATTGGGGGCCACGCCAAAAACAATTATCAGTTGGGTAGTTGGTAGCGCGCAGAAGTGCAAGCAGTGCGACAACGAAAAGAATTGTGGATTCAGGTATAAGCGACTCGAAGCAGAGGCAGAAGACAAAAATAAAGACAAGGACGAAGGGGAAGACAATGCGGAGAAGGAGGCATCACAAGAGCCTGCTCCTAGCGGGTTCGAGTACATTTGCGACACCGCCTGTGTCAATGCCCTGCTAGCCGATCAACCCGGCAAGTACTTTGTGCGACGCAAGAAGTTTCTGGTAGAAGAGGTAGTCCGAGAAGAGAGTGCCGCTGAGGAAGAGGAAGGAGCTGAAGAGGATGCCACTCCCGCCAATTCGAATGAGTGTCTTCAGTGCAAAGAGGAGATGCGTTGCAAGTACTTCATCAAACAGGATCAGGACGTCTTCTACATATGCAATGACGACTGTTTCAATCTGCTCAACGCAGAGGAACCTGACAAGTTCAAGCTCAAGCGACACTCGATCCGAGTGCGCAACATTGGCGCCACAACGCTCCAGCCGCCTCAAAACTCGCCCAGCAAACGCACTGAGAGCAGCGTGGTGGCCAGGACGCAGACCGAGGCGGACACGGCGCGCTTGGACCGGATCGAGAGTTTCAGGAGGCGTTGCGCCGACTGCGAGACGGAGATTGATGCCAACGAGAAACAACTTATGTGGGAGACCATGGATTTTTGCAATGAGGTGTGCCTAGGCAGCTATCAGCGGACGATCGGCTCCAGCTGCGAGACCTGCAAGCAGGAGGTGAGCTCCACAGCCCTTGGCAAGTACTGCGTGAGATTTGGATTCGATGTGCGGCAGTTCTGCTGCGCTGGATGCCTGAACACCTTCAAGAAGGGTCTCAAGACGTGTTCCTGCTGTCAAAAGGACATTAGTGGCGGACAGGAGGGCTTCTTGGCCCCGGTGGGCGACAAGGATCAATTCAAGGACTTCTGCTCGCAGGCGTGTCTTCGTCGCTACGACAGCATGTGCAATCCGCGCCGAAAACTGCGCACCGATGTGTGCGGTGTGTGCAACAACGAGAAGCCTGTGCGGGTGGAGATGCTGCTAGAGGACAGAGAGCATTACTTCTGTTCGAATCCCTGCTTCTCGGCCTTTAAGTTTGTGAGCAATGTGAACGCCGATCCGTGTGCTATGTGCTCCAAATACTTTGAGCGGCGGAGCGCCGAGGCCTACACGATCTACAACGAACAACAATCACCCAAGGTATTTTGTTCGCGAGTCTGCATCAACGTCTACATCATTGTCAACCGGCACATCGTGTCTTGTCAATGGTGCAAAGTCAAAAAGTACAACTTTGACATGATATACCAGATGGGCGGCCAGCAGGACCATGAGACACTCACCTGCTCCATCAACTGTCTGACTATGCATGGAGTCAGCTGCAACATCTCCGCCCGGGCCGTGACCAAGTGCGACAATTGTGCCAACTTCAATACGCCGCAGTATCACTTGACCATGTCGGACGCCTCCATGCGCAACTTCTGCACCTACCAGTGCGTGATGCAGTTCCAGAATCAGTTCGCCCGCGCCCCCCTCACACTGGACAGCGACCTGCCCCCCAGCAGCAGTGGCGCCGCCAGCAGCAGCTCTAAGTCCCAGCAGGGTACCCCCACTCGGGGAAGCAAAAACACGGCACCATTTCCCACGGGTCTCCCCAAGCGCGTTAAACTGAAGCTATCCCAGCAACAGGTGAGTAATGGGGTGCTTTTGAAGTGCAACAATACTTTTCTTAAATTAGTAAGTATACTTTTAGAGTATGTCACCAGAACGCTTAGGGTCGGCATGTTTTAGTGCTGGCATGTTCTAGTGTTGATTCAGTGACTTCAGTGTACTTCTACATATATCAATTAATGCTTATTAAAAGTTAAAAAAAATTGTAGGTTTTAAATTACTTAAATTTTATACATAAAATATTTATCTGTAAATTAAAATTTATTCATTCCGTTTGCAGATTGGAAAAAATGCTGGTGCTGGAGCTAAGAAATCCGGGACGGGCACCATGTTGCCGGTTATATCCACTGTTCAATCACTCGCTAGTGGCGAAACAGAGGCCAGGATTGGCAATATGACGGTAAGACGCAAGCGCGGTCGTCCCCGGGAATCGGGAGTCTCGCCGCCGCCGCTGTCCATGCCGGTGGCTCACGCGCCAGCACCTCGAGGAAGACCCCGTAAGCATGTGGACTATACAGTACGGTCGCCGTCGCCCATCCCACCGACCAGCCTTCACTCGGGGATTGGAGGAAGACGAAATACTACGACTATGGACTTCGGACCGCCTACGGTATCGGAGACCAAGATCATCACAGTGCCACCATATCCCAAGTCTGTGCGGAACGTAAACATCAGCTGCAAGCCCATGACTGTGTCCACTGGCGAGCAGTGCACCCCGGACGTGCGCGATTGTGCCACCCAGACGGAAAAGGACTATTCTAACAAGGTGCTCATCCCTGTTCCGGTACCCATATATTTGCCGCAACCCATGTACATGTACTCGATGCCGTTCCCCGTACCCGTGCCCATTCCGCTGCCAATCCCGGTGCCCATTTTCATACCCACCACGCGAAACACCTCGCAAGGCATTCTCAAAGAGATCAAAAAGATACAGGACAAGATGCCGGAGGATCCGCTGGAAGCGGAGTTGCTTATGATGGCGGAAATGGTGGCCGAGGAGAAGCACGAGTCGGACTCGGATTCAGACAACGAGATAAAGCCGGATCCTGGTCTGGTCACGCTGCAATATCAGAACAGTCTCGAGTCCGTCGCCCAGCAGCAGCAGCAACAGCAAGTAGTGGATGTCAGTGGTGCCGGACACAATCCCTACGGCGACGACATGCTACAGATCGCCCTCAAAATGGCCACGGGTGATTACGACAATCACCACCAGACCTCCACCGTGGATCTGGAAACGTCAATGACGGCAAACACGATCAGCAGCCAATCGCCGATGGCCCACGACGGCATGGGTCAGATGGGAGTGCATCACCTGGACCAGCAGCATCACATGCTCGATGCCACGCAGCGGTGAGAAAATTAAAGTAATAACCTACGGTTGATCAATACTTATCGGTTTATATCTATTGCTTTTAGAACCCCACGCGGTCGCAAGCGGGGCGTAGGCCCCGTCATGGATTCGCCCAACCGCAATAGCCGCTCGCCGGTGAAGAGACAGCGTGGTAGCGAAATGGACCACTCCGCCCTGCAGCAGCAGTCACAGCAAGCACAGCAGCCGCAAGAAAAGCCCGACGCCCAGATGTTCCTGAAGTACACCTTCGGGGTGAACGCATGGAAGCAGTGGGTGATGACCAAGAACGCGGACATAGAGAAGAGCTCTATGCGCCGGAGGCCTTTCAAGACGGAGCTGCTCCAGATGACCGCTGACGAGCTGAACTACTCCCTTTGTCTTTTCGTCAAGGAGGTCCGCAAGCCCAACGGGACTGAATATGCGCCGGATACCATTTACTACCTTGTGTTGGGTCAGTCTTTTTTGAGGCCTACTTAATAATTGATTGACTTTATTGAAGTTCTGCTTTTGTTACTCCAGGTATCCAGCAATACCTGTATGTGAATGGACGCATAGACAATATTTTTTATGACCCATACTATGAGCGGTTTACGGAGTGCCTGGACGAAGTGGCGAGGAAGTTTTCCGTGCTTTACAACGATTCGCGTAAGTGGCTTTACAATTGTAGCATTAGTTGATGTCGGTTATTTTACTAATTTAATGACTTCGGTGTTTTCAATTACAGAATACATTGTCACTCGCGTGGAGGAGGAGCATTTGTGGGAGTGCAAACAACTGGGCGCTCATTCCCCGCATGTCCTGCTCAGCACGCTCATGTTCTTCAACACAAAACACTTTAATCTGACGGTAAGAAGCATAAAGAATATGATCAACTGGCCCTGAGTAACACCTGTTGGTTTTCAGACCGTGGAGGAGCACATGCAGTTATCCTTCTCCCACATAATGAAGCACTGGAAGCGCTCATCACAGAATTCCAAAGTTCCTGGCTCACGAAACGTGCTCTTACGATTCTATCCACCGCAGGCGGGTCTGGGTAAGTCTATACTTTGGTTTTGGAGTACTCAGAAACTTACTATAATTAAAACAGATGCCAATCCACGAAAGAAGAAGGTCTACGAGCAGCAGGAAAATGAAGAGAATCCGTTGCGTTGTCCCGTCCGCCTTTACGAATTTTATCTCTCTAAATGGTCAGTATTATATTACACGACAAAGATCAAAGTTTTCTAGTAATATTCTTTATTTCGGCAGCCCCGAGAGCGTGAAGACGCGCAATGATGTGTTTTATTTGCAGCCCGAGCGGTCCTGTGTGCCCGACTCCCCGGTTTGGTATTCGACGCAGGCTCTGGGGCAGGATGCACTGCAGAGGATGCTACACCGCGTCAAGATGGTCAAGGAAATTAACATTGCGCTTTTGACGACTTAATGTTTAATTAGGCAGTTATATCATTGTGTACGTGCAAGGCTTGTCCTGCAATGACACCCGGAGGACGATTCTTCGGCTTGGTGCTTAGCACGAGTTTGTTTGCGGGCAAAACCAAATAGGGCTAACCTAGGAGCGAAAGTTGTGCTATATTATAAATTGTTTTAAACTTACTTTTACACATATTTTGATTTTCTATAATTGCGATATAGCGCTGAGAGAGGAGACCTTGTATAAATTGTGAACGATAACCAAGCCCATCTCACTTTCGATTGAATTATAATAAACTAGAAAACTACAATCAATCCACACACGAAACACTCACACAATCACACACGCACATGTAGACACCCTGAAACATCTTCATTAGTTTTACGATCGTAAACCAGACCCCCACGCATCTTTAGTCATTACTTAGATTGTTTAGGCGATAGGGCAAAAAAGATGAGCCCGACCGGATAAGTGCATGTATGTATGTACATAGATCTACAATAGATGACCACACAGTGAGTGTACAATGAGAGTTGTACATAGGATGCGACCCTTAACAATTAGCCGCGCTGTTCTTGTAAGTGTTGAAATGTAAAATGCTGTACTCCTTAACTGCAAGATCGAAGTGAGCATGTAGCGTAATAGCGTGTACATGTCTATAAATAAATACATACATACTTTCAATGATCCGTAATCGTTTTTTTTCCAAAAAAGATAATTTTATTATTTGTTCAGATTGCAAAAAGCGAACCTGGACGTAGATTATTTGGCAGCCTAAATAATGTGATTAGTATGATTAGCATGAAAGAGCATGTTTAACTACTGATTAGCATTATTTAAATATTTCATAAAAATATTTTTAGTTGATGTCTTGATTACCATGAACCCAAGACTTTCTTATATTTCGGAAAATTGTTTTTGTAATGGACATTTTTCTCATCACTTGCAAATTTCTTTCATTTGAAGGGTTGGCTTATAAAAATTAAAAATCAGTTGCTGCCGTGATACTCCACCGATTTAACACGCTGATAGCTTTCACAAGTGTTTCAGTTTATTGACACAAAAGTTATGCGGCACTTTAATACATTTAATTGAGATGGTTAATTGCAACACAACTCGCTTTTTAGCTAGCGTATACAAAACAGATGGAACTAAAATAAGATACAGTGTCGGCTCGAGTACTTTGCCTTCTGTACAGGCTGTCGCTTGGTCATGTTTTCCTGTCTGGTAAGCTTACGTCCAGGGCTAAAGACGCATTCGATGAGGCTCATTGTTTGATGTCTTTTGTTTTTATATTCACACTGTCGCCGCGCTTTTTTAGCTGACATTACCACTCGGCGTCTCCATTCGATTTTTGGAACACGTAGTCCTTGCCACGCATGTTCATTATGCCATCTTTGAGATAGAATTTCCATTTGTTGCGTGACCTGGTAATCTGTGGGCAAGGTTTAATACAATCCCGAACCAAGAATTGGGTTTCTTAAGACTTACCTTGTCATACTGACAAACGATCACGTTGTCTGTATCGAACATTTCGGCGGAATCTTCGTCGGTGACATCGTCTTCACTGTTGAGCGGCTCCTCTTCGGCAGCATCTTCGTGTTCCACATCCTCATCATCGTCTTTGTCCAGATCATCGTCATCGTCATTGTCGATGTTGTCGTCGCTCTCCTCGGATTCATCTTCATCAGAGGAGTCCAGGGCTCCGTCCAATTGCTTGGCAGCGGCTAGATTTTCTAATAATTACAAAAGAATTATTATAGATTCCGTAAGGATATAACTCTACTTACTCTGGTGATTGGCGCTGCTCAGGGCCGCATTTACGTGCTGCTGCAGCACTGACGAGGCCAATGTGGTGGGCAAGGACATGATGGACGAAATCAGGTGGGCCGTCAGTATTTGGGTCAGCTGATTCTCCTGCAGCGCCGACGCAGGCACTTGAATGGTAAGCACTCGAGATTCCGAACTGGCAGAGCCGGCTGGCGATGGCAGCGTGATCTATAAAATTAAATTGTCCAATCAACTTTTGTTAAAATCTTATATTCCTGATATAAACTCACGTTAACAGGCATAATGCGGTTGGGTTCCAGTGTAGCCACAATTGGAATGGGAGCCTGTCCACCGCTCGCCGCCTGCTGTTGTCTCTGCAGCACCGCTGCCCCCGACGTAGGGTGCAGTGGCGGTGGATTCTGTGAGTTAACTTCCTGCTTAATGGGCACCAGTCCGTTCTTGATCCCGCTGCCAGTGGCCATCACAGCGGGCGACTTTAACGCCGCAAGCGAGGAGCTGCTACCGATCTGTGGCTGTGATGTGGCCGCAGAGGCGGCGGCGGCCTTCTTGGCCTTGGCATTTGCTGCCTGCAAAAGAATTGGCGATTAATGGATCTAACTCGGATCTAACTTCAGCGGACATATGGCTTTACCTTGGTGCTCTGCAGTCGATGTATGCGTTTGGATGTGTTGGCGGATGGAAATGAGTGGATTTGTAAATGAATTTGTGTAAAGCAGCGCATAAGTCGATGTTGTTGGTGAGGCGCAGTAGCATTGTTGTAGTTCAAGTTGTTGAACATAGGGAAGATAAATCAGGAGATCTTAGTCGAAATATCTCTGAGTAAAAATGTTACATACAACTTAATAACAAATGGGGACATTTAAAATTAAATTTAACATTACTATTTAGTTTAAATATGTTAATAATTTTGATCAAAAAGTTTTCTATAACAAGATACATGTCCTTAATATTAACTGGTAATCGGTATAAGTTAAATTGGTTAAAATGAGTGCTTAAAAGTGCATTTTTCAGATAATTAGTCAATTTTCGAGATAATTAGTGAAACAACAAAAAGCTTAGCTTAATCCGAATAAACAATGATCCCAATCACATACATATGGCATACGGATTCGGGATGAACATATCAACGAAGAGGTTTATAGGCTCTTACCTTTGGATTATTGGCCACGATGGGCGGTGGGTGGGATCCATCGCTGGGATCCGGGCTTAGTTCGACGGCCTTACTGGCCAGCAGCTTGTTGCGCCAGATCTGCTTCATCTCCTGCAACACCTGCTCGTCGACGCCCTCGTCTAGGAAAGCATCCCGCACATTTGTGATGACGTCCTCGATTACGGCATGGTACACCTTTAGCTGCGGGGGGAAAAGGGACGTGCTGGTTAATGGTTAATGTATATAATTAAACTCAAAATGCACGAACAATTAGGGAAAATATCTGTGTTTGTGTCAGCCTAAACACTCATTATATTATCACTGCTCCCTGCAATTAATGAATATATATGTAGTTCTGCTCACAAACAATAGAATGTCACGTATTTTCTCAAAAAAACGGAAACTTTTAAAACATCACAATTTTATTGTATCGTTAGTAGTAATCAGCGATGTCACTAAAGAAAATCATAAAATTATTAGGTTATAGGTCACAAAACAAACCAACATATATGTAGTTATATTCTACCCTAACGAAGTTAAAAATGTGGAGCTGGGTGAATGTGTTTTTTGAACCCCTATAAATACATTAACCACAGCTGTAATATATGGAAAACGCAAACAAGGTATGTACATACATATGTAAATTATTTGTTTTCAAAGAATGTTGGAGTATAAGTACATACCGACATATACATATATATATAAGGTACATATATGCGGGTATGAATATAAGATGATGTACCGGTATGGTGGAATGCGACGCTGTGGTTACTACAGGAATAATACGTAGTTTTGCTTTATCAGCGTGTGATAAGGAGCTCCTACATGCTGATAATGGCACACGTTAGGCAGAAACTCAATACCGCTAATAATAACCCCCCAAGGGAGTTTGCACTACTTCTTTATATCCCCAAAAAAAACAACAAAAAATGCAAGGCAATGAACGCACCAATACACTTACAACGAGACAGACAGACACAAGTACGCACTGGCGCACACAGGCAAATAGACGAGGTTGCAGTTTCGGTATCTCTTATTTCTGTTAAATTAGCTGTATAGTATATCTGCCATGACCACGGAGAAAACTTTCACTTTCCCGCGTGGGCGGTGGGCGCAAGGAGAAAGAGGAGAAGGCACTTTTGCTCCTGTCAGCTAGTCTTCCATATGTCGGATGCATTTCATCCTCCTACGATGGCACAGATCCGGAATCTTAACAGATCCAGGAGTAACACTCACCACCGATGTCTGGCATAGCGCCATCTGAACCTTTTTCTCCGCCAGCTTGAGGCTTTTCTGATTGCTGGCTCGGTAATTGACGTCTTTTCTGAATTAAAAATGGGACAACGAATTAGCGATAGTGATGCGTTCGTGACGATGTAAAATGGGCTAGTGTGACCAGCTAATGACGACATAAAATTATCAAATTAAGAACAGAGCTGCCAGAGCTTCGGTTTAATATATGTTCTAGGTTTTTTTGTTAAACGAACTGATTTTATTTAACAGAAAACACATATTAAACAATTGTTATTTGTAAAACTATACCCCTATTTCAGCATCGTATGCGCAGTCAGATTGTTGCCATTCTTACATTTTATACCACAAATTTTATTTAATTATTTTATTTCAATCTTTTCACGATTTTCTAATATATTGAGATGAAATAGGTACCAAGAATTTACAGAATAACTTCAAAGAACTAAAAAAGTCAAAAATTATTGAGCGCTGGCAGACTTTTTTTCATCAAAGAGTTAATTTAATTTAAATCGTATTTTCCTAATTTTTTAATAAATTGAGATAATCTACTGTCTATCGAATATGATAGTATCGATGCCAATTCCTTAAGGTTTCTATCGGCGTTGCCAGATGATCTTATTAAACTAAGCCACTGCTAACCAACTATTACTCCGCTGTTCACCCCACTGTTAACCAGTTCGCCTGTTTTGATGTGTTGGGATTTTACCCAATCAGATTTTTGTTTTACTGCTTTTACCGCTTTCCCCCGGGTTCGCCAGCATCCGGAGACGGTGAACCAGACCGCATGAATCAGTCACGACCAGTTGGATCGCAAACTAAAAAAATATGAGTGGCGCCGAGACAACAGAAGCCGAAGCACAGGCCCAAAATCAGGCGAATGGAAACAGGACCAGGTCGCGATCCCACTTGGATAACACAATTGCCATCCGATTGATGCCGCTGCCAGTGCGCAACCAAGTATGTGCCCACCTGGACGCCCTGGATGTGTGGAAACAGTTGGCAACAGCTGCAAATCTTTATCCGGACCAAGTGGAGCAGATCAACACCCAGAGGCAGCGAGGTCGCTCCGCCTCCAATGAATTCCTCAACATTTGGGGCGGTCAGTACAATCACACGGTTCAAACATTGTTTGCTTTGTTTAAAAAGTGAGTCAGTTAATGATAAGAAACGCAGTGACCCCAAGAATGACACTACCTCCGGTTTTAGATTGAAACTCCACAATGCCATGCGGATAATTAAAGACTATGTGAGCGAGGATCTGCACAGGTATATTCCCAGGAGCGTGCCCACTATCAGCGATCTGCGAGCACCGGTCGATCCCAGTGCCAGGGTGGACAATGGCCCACCATTTCCCTCCTCCTCGGGCGTCAGCAACTCGAACAACAATCGCACTAGCAGCAAGGCAGAGGAAATCCCCAGCCTGGAGTCCCTCGGCAACATCCACATCAGCACGGTTGAACGGGCCGCCGAGTCCCTGCTAAAGATCGATTATTCGGAGTTGGAGATGGCCACGGATAGATGGTGTCCAGAAAATCGTCTGGGGCAGGGCGGTTTCGGCGACGTGTACCGTGGAGAGTGGAAACAGCTGGATGTGGCCATCAAGGTGATGAACTACAGCAATCCCAACATGGACCAGAAACAGGTGGAGCTGCAGCAGAGCTACAACGAGCTCAAGTATCTGAACAGTATCCGGCACGACAATATTTTGGCCCTATACGGCTATAGCATCAATGGGGAGAAGCCCTGCCTCGTTTACCAGCTTATGAAGGGTGGCTCCCTGGAGAGCCGCCTGAGGGCGCACAAATCGCAGCCTCCTCTTCCAGCTCTTACCTGGCATCAGCGGTTTAGCATCAGCGTTGGCACAGCCAGGTGAGATTCCTTGTTTCTATTAAGATTAAACAAATTTCCATTTTAAATTTCAATATTTATTTCCCATAGGGGCATTTACTTTCTGCACACGGCACGGAACATTCCTCTCATCCATGGCGACATAAAGCCGGCTAACATCCTGCTGGATCAGTGCCTGCAGCCCAAGATTGGCGATTTTGGGCTGGTCCGCGAGGGTCCCAAGTCCATTAACGCTGTCATGCAAGTAAAGAAGAAGTTCGGGACCAGGGTCTATCTGCCGCCAGAGTTCCGTAACTCAAACCAGCTCAGCACCGGCGTGGACGTCTATAGCTATGGCATTGTGCTGTTGGAAGTGTTTACCGGACGCCAGGTGACGGACCGCCTGCCCAAGAACGATCTGAAGCAGGACCTACTGGTGTACGTCAAGCAGCATTCGAAGCATAACCGGGTGGAGCTGCTGGACAAGCACGTTGCCACACCGATGGGCGAGGAACTGGACATGTGCATGTGCGCCATCGATGTTGGAGTGAACTGCACTGCCCAGGATCCGCAGGATCGACTATCAATGGAAGATGTCCTCGACCGTTTTAGGCCATTCCGCAATTATTATTAAATAGTTTTCGTTTTTTTTAATTTTTTCTTTTTTAATGACGAACTTTTAAAGCTTGATTTTAGCCATCAATCGCAATGGTTATGCATTCCGTATTTGAAAAAAAACATTGAAGACTTATTGTTATACAAATAATCTAAATGCTTAAGTGATATTTTATTGAAACTTTGTATACTTAGTTGTTATTGTCATATTTTATTAACATCGAAAAAATCAGTTTTGTATTTTTAAGTGCTTATATTTGGGGGATTCAAAATTTGACTTTCGGTGACTTCATACTCAATCCTGCGACGTGCTCAGTAGAGTTACGTATAGATTTTTGCGTCATTTCGGTTATAACTATTTCAATTTTCGCTACACAAACGCAGCAAAATAATACCGTTTTTATTCGAGAAGATTTCCGGCTTCCCTTGAAAACCATCTTTATAATTGTAGTTTTTAGCACGTGGTAAATTTCCCATTTGAAGTCGAGAACGACAAGCAACCAATGCGATACGAGCAATGAACTTGAACAATTTCAAGTTTTACAAAAGGATCTAGGAACTGCGTAATTTCTCTATAAGGAGAATATGCGGAACAGCCGTAGTCCCGGGCCGTCGGGGGCGAAGCTCCAGGGCTTCATCCAGCTGAACAACACGACCTATCGGGTGGAATGACCGACTCGGGTGCTTAATCCGCCCAGGTGATCTCATTACACAACACATACCTATCGAAACCAACAGCACCATCTGCGTGTCCAACCCCCGGTACGCCATGATCGGCAAGATCTCCAAGACCCTGAGTTACAAGTTGGTCAAGAAGGCCAAGCTGTGGAACATCCTCTGGTCGGATTTATTTCCCGGCGTGGAGCTGTTCAAGAACATGAACCACTTTCCGGGCATGATCGAGATTTGTCGCAAGGATCTAATCTCGCGGAATCTTAATAAAATGCAAAACGCTATTCCCGCAGGACTACAAGATTTTTCCAAGACCTGGATGCTGCCGGCGGAGTGAGTGCTGGCTTTTATAAAAAACTCATAGTATTTAACCGATCTATTTCCAGATATGGGGATGATATGAACTACGCTCTTAACCACAAACGCACCTTTATCCTGAAACCAGATTCTGGAGCACAGGGGCGTGGCATCTGGCTGACCAACGATTTGAAGACAAACGGTCCACATGAGCGTCTCATCTGACAAACCTACATACACAGGGTAACAAGGAGTACTCCTTAAAACTAATCCTTTTGCTAATTTATCACCTTTTTAAGCCCCTCCTCATCGATGGCTAGGGTTTACACGGTGATCACCTCTGTCGATCCCCTGCGAATATTTGTGTACAACAAGAAAGGAAAGCTAACTTCGGGCGGAGCCGAAGTTGATATACCCTTGCAGAATACTCTGTAAATTATATTCTCCAAAATTATTCATATGATGCATTCTTAATACTCATAAAAAATCCCAACTTCCTAACTTTAAAAACACCAAAGTTATGGCATTTCCAATCGTTCAGTTATATGGCAGCTATAAGATATAGTCGGCCGATCCTTATGAAATTTAGTATGTCGGATTGATTGGCCAAAAATAAAACCCATAGAAAATCCCAACTTCTTATCTTTAAAAACACCAAAGTTATGGCTTTTCCGATCGTTCAGTTATATGGCAGCTATATGATCTAGTCGCCCGATCCGGCTCGTTCCGACTTATATACTACCTGCAATAGAAAGGCAACTTTTGGAAAAGTTTCGAGCAGATAGCTTTAAAACTGAAGGACTAGTTTGCGTAGAAACGGACGGACAGACGGACGGACAGACGGGCGGACAGACGGACGGACAGACGGACATGGCTAGATCGACTCGCCTGGTGATGCTGATCAAGAATATATATACTTTATAGGGTCGGAAATGTCTCCTTCACTGCGTTGCAAACTTTTGACTGAAATTATAATACCCTCTGCAAGGGTATAACGAGGGATTAGCCCGATTTGCCACGAACAAGTACGTGGAACCCACTCCCGGGAACTCCAATGACCAACTATTCCGTGAACAAACGCAACTCGGATAAGGCGCCACAACTAAGATGTGGAGGAGTTCTGGAGCAACGCGGACAATGTGATCATCAAATTCTCAAGGAAGATCGCAAGGGGGTCAAGGGATTACTTAAGATCAGCTTGGGGCTATTCTGATTGCGGGCTGAATTAACAAGAAAGGAAAGCTAACTTTGGGCGGAGCCGAAGTTGAAATACCCTTGCAGAATATACTGTAAATTATATTCTTCAAAATTATTCATATGATGCATTCTTAATACTCATAAAAAATCCCAACTTCCTAACATTAAAAACACCAAAGTAATGGCATTTCCAATCGCTCAGTTATATGGCAGCTATAGGATATAGTCGGCCGATCCTTATGAAACTTCTAAGGTCGGATTGATTGGCCAAAAATAAAACCCATAGAAAATCCCAACTTCCTAACTTTACAAACACCAAAGTTATGGCATTTCTGATCAATCAGTTATAAGGCAGCTATAGGATATAGTCGACCGATCCTTATGAAATTTGGTACAACGGATTGATTGCCCAAATATAAAACCCATAAGAAATCCTAACTTCCTAACTTTAAAAATACCAAAGTTTTGGCCTTTCCGATCGTTCAGTTATATGGCAGCTATAGGATATAGTCGGCCGATCCGGCTCGTTCCGACTTATTTACTACCTGCAATAGAAAGACAACTTTTGGGAAAGTTTCAAGCAGATATCTTTAAAACTGAGGGACTAGTTTGCGTAGAAACGGACGGACGGACGGACAGACGGACGGACAGACGGACATGGCTAGATCGACTCTCCTGGTGATGCTGATCAAGAATATATATACTTTATAGGGTCGGAAATGTCTCCTTCACTGCGTTGCAAACTTTTGACTGAAATTATAATACCCTCTGCAAGGGTATAAAAATGGGCAACGAATTAGAGATAGTAATGTAAAATGGGCTAGTGCGAGCAGCTAGAGACCACCTGAAATTATCAAATGAAGAACAGAGCTGCCAGAGCTTCGGTTTAATATATGTTCTGGGTTATCTGTTAATCGAAATGATTTTACTCAACAGAAAACACGTATTAAAGCATTTTAGTTTATAAAACTGTTTTTTGATTATTATACTCCTGTTTCAGCATCGTTTGCGCAGTCAAAGTGCTGCCATTCTTTTGTTTTAAAGACTAATTTTATTTATTTATTTAAACTAAATCGTCTCTTTCCGATTTTCTAATATATTTAATGAAATAATGTGAAGAATTTACTGCATATATTCTAAGAACTGAAAAAGACAAAAACTATAGACCGACTAAAGACAGACTGTCGCGGTTGATTTTTTATATTAAATTTATTTATTTTATTAAAATCGAATTTTCCTGATTTTTTAATAAATTGAGATAGTCTACTGTCTACGAATGCCAATTTCTTAAGGTGTTCTATCGGCGTTGCCAGTTGACATGTATTAAACTAAGCCACTGCTAACCAACTGTTACTCGGCTGTTAACCTTACTGTTAACCAGACTTTCGCCTGTTTTGATGTGTTGGGATTTACCCAATCAGATTTTCGTTTTACTGTAACAGGTTCCCACCCCGCTTTCCACGGGTTCGCCTGCATCCGGGGACGGAGACCCAGACCGCATGATTCAGTCACGACCAGTTGGATCGCAAACTAGAAAAATATGAGTGGCGCCGACACCACAGTAGCCGAGGAACTGGCCCAAAATCAGGCGAATGGAAACAGGACCAGGTCGCGATCCCATTTGGATAACACAATTGCCATCCGATTGATGCCGCTGCCAGTGCGCCACCAAGTATGTGCCCACCTGGACGCCCTGGATGTGTGGAAACAGTTGGCAACAGCTGCAAATTTTTATCCGGACCAAGTGGAGCAGATCAGCACCCAGAGGCAGCGAGGTCGCTCAGCCTCCAATGAATTCCTCAACATTTGGGGCGGCCAGTACAATCACACGGTTCAAACTTTGTTTGCTTTGTTTAAAAAGTGAGTCAGAATAAGATAAGAAACGCAGTGACCCCAAGAATGACACTACATCCGGTTTTAGATTGAAGCTCCACTGCCATGCGGATAATTAAAGACTATGTGAGCGAGGGTCTGCACAGGTATATTCCTAGGAGCGTGCCCACCATCAGCGATATGCGAGCACCGGTCGATCCTAGTGCCAGGGTGGACAATGGCCCACCATTTCCCTCCTCCTCGGGCGTCAGCAACTCGAACAACAATCGTACTAGCACCAAGGCAGAGGAAATCCCCAGCCTAGAGTCCCTCGGCAACATCCACATCAGCACGGTTGTGCGGGCAGCCGAGTCCCTGCTAAAGATCGATTATTCGGAGTTGGAGATGGCCACGGATAGCTGGCGTCCAGAAAATCGTTTGGGGGGGATTCGGCGTCGTGTACCGTGGAGAGTGGAAACAGCTGGACGTGGCCATCAAGGTGATGAACTCCAGTAATCCCAACATGGACCAGAAACAGGTGGAGCTGCAGCAGAGCTACACCGAGCTCAAGGCTCTGAACATTTTCCGGCACGAGAACATTGTGGCCCTATACGGTTATAGCATCAATGGGGAGAAGCCCTGCCTCGTTTACCAGCTGATGAGGGGTGGCTCCCTGGAGAACCGCCTGAGGGCGCACAAATCTCAGCGTCCCCTTCCAGCTCTTACCTGGCATCAGCGGTTCAGCATCAGCGTTGGCATAGCCAGGTGAGATTCCATGTTTCTATTTCCATTTTAAATTTCAACATTTATTTCCCATAGGGGCATTTGCTTTCTGCACACGGCACGGAACCCTCCGCTCATCCATGGCGACATAAAGCCGGCGAACATCCTGCTGGATCAGTGGCTGCAGCCCAAGATCGGTGATTTTGGGCTGGTCCGCGAGGGTCCCAAGTCCATTAACGCTGTTATGCAAGTAAAGGAAAAGTTCGGGACCCGGGCCTATCTGCCGCCAGAGTTCTGTAACTCAAACCAGCTCAGCACCGGCGTGGACGTCTATAGCTATGGCATTGTGCTGTTGGAAGTGTTTACCGGACGCCAGGTGACGGAGCGCCTGCCCAAGAATGATCTGCAGCAGGACCTACTGGTCTACGTCAAGCAGCATTCGAAGCATAACCGGGTGGAGCTGCTGGACAAGCACGTTGCCACACCGATGGGCGAGGAACTGGACATGTGCATGTGCGCCATCGATGTGGGAGTGAACTGCACTGCCCAGGATCGGAAGGATCGATTATCAATGAAAGATGTCCTCGTCCGTTTTGAGCCGTTCAGCAAATATTATTAATTGGTTTTCGTTTTTTTATTTTTTACTTATTAATGGCAAACTTTTAATGCTCGATTTTAGCAATCAATCCCAATGGTAAGGCATTCCGAATTTAAAAAAACACTTAAAGACTTATTGTTATACAAATAATGTAAATGCTTAAAAATATTTGATTAAAACTTTGTCCACTTAGTTGACAAAATCAGTTTTGTATTTTCGGGGGATTCAAAATTGGACTTTCGGTGACTTCATACTCAATCCTGCGACGTGCTCAGTAGAGTTACGTATTGATTTTTGCGTCATTTCGGTTATAACTATTTCAATTTTCGCAACACAAACGCAGCAAAATAATACCGTTTTTATTCGAGAAGATTTCCGGATTCCCTTGAAAACCATTTTTATAATTGTAGTTTTTAGCACGTGGTAAATTTCCCATTTGAAGTCGAGAACGACAAGCAACCAATGCGATACGAGCAATGAATTTGAAAAATTCGAAGTTTTACAAAAGGATCCAGGAACTGCGTCACTTCTCCAAGGAGAAGATTCGGAACAGCCGTGAGCAGCGGACGCGCGTCTCCCGCGCCTTGGACATGGCGCTCAGTGAGCAGCCGTGCTCGGACAGGGAGTGGTTCAGTTCGGAGCAATCGCCGAGGGCACTGCCTGCATCGCCCCGTCGTCGGGTAAAGAAGTTCCGGTGTCCGAAGAAGAAGGCTTCCGCCGGCAAGCAGATGGATGATCCATACTACCACCTCACTGGAGGACAGAGTTCGGGGGACCATAGTCCCGGGCCGGCGGAGGCCAAGCTCCAGGGCTTCATCCAGCTGAACAACACGACCTATCGGGTGGAGTGTCCGACTCGGGTGCTTAATCCGCCCAAGGTCAACGACGACGAACGATGTGCCAGGTGATCTCATTACACAACAGTTTTTAACAACATCTCCCAACTTAAAGTCATATATAATCCCAGCGAAACCAAGAGCACCATCTGCGTGTCCAACTCCCGGTACGCCATGATCGGCAAGATCTCAAAGACCCTGGGTTACAAGTTGGTCAAGGAATCCAAACTGTGGAACATCCTATGGTCGGATTCGTTTCCCGGCGTGGAGCTGTTCAAGAACATGAAGCGCTTCCAACAGATCAACCACTTTCCGGGCATGATCGAGATCTGTCGAAAGGATCTACTCTCGCGGAATCTTAATAGGATGCAGAAGCTTTTCCCGCAGGACTACAAGATCTTCCCCAAGACATGGATGCTGCCGGCGGAGTAAGTGCTGGCTATTATAAAAAACTCATAGTATTTAACTGATCTATTTCCAGCTACGGGGATGCTATGAACTACGCTCTTAACCACAAACGCACCTTTATCCTGAAACCAGATTCTGGAGCACAGGGACGTGGCATTTGGCTGACCAACGATTTAAAGACAATTGGTCCACATGAGCGCCTCATCTGCCAAACGTACATACACAGGGTAGCAAGGAGTACTTCTTGAAACTTATCTTTTGCTAATTTATCACCTTTTTAAGCCCCTCCTCATCGATGGCTACAAGTTCGACCTGCGGGTTTACACGCTGATCACGTCCGTGGATCCCCTGCGAATATTTGTGTACAACGAGGGATTAGCCCGATTTGCCACGAACAAGTACGTGGAGCCCACTCCCGGGAACTCCAATGATTTGTATATGCACCTGACCAACTATTCCGTGAACAAACGCAACTCGCACTACGAACTGTGCGATAACGACGACTGTGGGAGCAAAAGGAAACTCAGCGCTATTAACAACTGGATGAGGCGCCACAACTATGATGTGGAGGAATTCTGGAGCAACGTGGACGATGTGATCATCAAGACGGTGCTGAGTGCCTGGCCAGTGCTGAAGCACAACTACCATGCCTGCTTTCCGGGACACGACAAGATCCAGGCCTGCTTCGAGATACTCGGCTTTGACATCCTGGTGGACTGGAAACTGAAACCCTACATCCTGGAGGTGAACCACTCGCCCAGCTTTCATACCAACGAGCAGGTGGACCGGGAGGTGAAGCGGCCCCTCATCCGGGACACTTTAAACCTGGTCAGCACTGTGCTGGCGGACAAGAGGCAGATCCTCAAGGAAGATCGCAAGAGGGTCAAGCAGCGATTACTTAAGATCAGGGGGGAGCCGTAAGTCCTAGTTATATGGAGTTTAAGTGCTATTGCCAAAACCAGAGGATCGTTAACCCACATTTACAAAAATGATTCAAGGCATTTTCTTCAGATTCTTATTAACAAGTCTTTTTATAGTTTTATCATTTTGATTTCTCTTTTCCAGACCAGTTCAACGTCCTCGTCTTGGTGGCGGCCTATCCAAAGCCAAACTAGACATCAAAACGGGCAATCCAGAAGCCAACGGTAATGCCAATCCCGTCCAGATTGAGGTAGAGCCTGACGTTCTAGGACCACTAGCCCAACAGATCGCCTGGGAGGAGAGTCACTTGGGCAACTTCAGAAAGATTATGCCACCACCGGACTTAGAAAAGTTGGACTACTATTCACGATTCTATGCTCAGTCCAATCAGGTGTCCATATTCGCCGAGACGGCAGCCAGTAAAAAACGGGAGGATCTTGCCCGAAAAATGCGAATCCAGATCGAGGAGAAGAAGGCCAAGCAGCAACAGATGCTGAATGGAAAGTTCAAGCGGGAAGCCCGTAAGCGGCATACTGTGATGCTTCCGAGGGCGGTGCGCGAAAGGAACCGGATGAACCTCTTCCGGCTGCGGGAGAACTGGTCTCCGGGATTCATCTCGGATGCAGAGGAGCGGCTGCGCCACACTTGGTTACATATGCGCTCCGAGGCCATAAGAACAATGAAGATCACCGAGAATGTAAGCATAGTCATCACACTGCATCATATGATATCATATCATACCTTCATATGATATTTTCACAGATCTATAGCACTCTCTACGAAACCGGTCACTTAACAAACACGGATATGGTGGTCTATCCACATCTCTACCACAATCTGCAGCATGGTTTTGACATCAGGCAAAATCCCTGAGTGGATGCAGTTTTCCCCCAAAGTCCCACCAATCTTCACTCATCTTTTTCGAACTGCACAGTCTATACACAATCATAATGTGTTCTTAAATTTGTTATTCTTTAAATTTAAATTGCTGTCTGTCACAAAAAATATATCACTTTGGAACTTATAAAACAAAGAATTGCGTTTGAATTTCAAATTGGCGAGTCGTTGATTTATTTGCTTGCTGACCTAATTTCTGACTTTATTGGAGTGATTCTGATTCCCTTATGACTTTGTTCTGGTGTTTCTGGAATGTTTATTTTGGCGCTCATTTATAATTCATTCTAAGCTAAGAGGTTTCTAGCATTTTTTATTATTCTACACTTCCATTAACAAATCTTTACATTTAAAACCAAATATTTGAATATCCAGTATAGTTAGTTGAGGTAATCTACAATATTATCTCCATTAAACATTATCAACTACGTTTTTCTTATAAGCCTTAACCGAAAATAAAAACAATTCATATTTTCGTCAGCGCCTAGAATTTGATTTTAAATGTTTTCAATACCATCAATGAATGGTGTTAGTTTCGTAAATCAAATTAAAATGTCTTCGGATTAAAACAAAGTGTATTTCGAATACAGAGCAGTATTTATTCGTGTTTAGATTGGAATCGCGTCTGGCTGGTTGGACAGTTGCTTTTCATATTGATCCCCACCAAAGCATACGTATTGCATGTATATTTGGCAGCCTGCCCGGCAAACAAATATCATAAACATTTGCCCCATTGCGAGGCGAGAGTACCGAGATCGAGAATCCGGCATTTTGAGAGAATTCCGCTGCGATTGAGATTTTTGAATGGCGATGCTGAGCACTGAGTTCAGTCGGTCCAAGGAGCACGCCCCGGGCAGTCGCTCATTAAATTTGGAATAAATATTTAGAAATCCGTTATTATAATCCCTTTACAATTTTCCCCAAATATTTGCGGCATGTTTAAAGTGTCGCAGGAGATGCGTTTAAATACGCAGACCGCCTCCTCCACCTCCACCTCCAATCCAAATGGGAGTGGCCTGGAGGGCAATAGTCCGGAGGAAGGCGGTATTTTTGGACGCTACCAGCGCACGCCCGATGCGGGTGAGTACCGCCGATGAGGAAGTGAACATCGATCCAGCTATTTATACACTTTTCCCCCACTCTCCAGACGCCTATCCCGCGGAACCGCCACGGGTCTATGTGGCTCCCGAGTTGACCGATGCCGGCAAGGTGCAGCTGCTCCATTTTCCCAGCGGAGCACTGAGGGTCAACAGCTCGGTGGGATTCATCATCAAGCGGAACGGGGTCAAGGGAAATTTTGAGGTGCGCGTCGAGGGTCCCAGTGGACAACCCATCCAACCTGTCCAGCAGCAGCAGTTGGATCCGGAGCGGTTCCAGATCGATTGCCAATTGGTTGCAGGAGCGGGCCTCTACAAAGTCCACATCAAGTGCAATTCCGTGACTTTGCCCCGCTCCCCATTCATCATTGTGGCCATTGCTGGGACTCCAGAATCCATTGAAGGGAAACCACCGAATACATCAGGTATGCTTTTGTTTGTATAGATCTATTTATATTACTATATTATTTATGTAATTACATTATTTGGTCAATATTTTGCCTGGACATATGTATAACCAAATTTTTGAAAATCTTTTGAATTTAAATTTCTGAAATAACAAGAATTTACGGTTTTTTTTTATTTATTATTATTTAAAACAGTAAGCTATGTTTTTTGTTGTTATAAGTTAGGCAAGAATACTGCCTTATTTAATTAAAAAACGTATTCATAGATACAAACTGCATGAGTTTTAAACTTTAAATTTAATGAGTAAATTTCCCTTCTGGGATTGAAACATATGTTTTAATGATGCATGATTTCGGTATTAAGCTCTCATTTATTTGGAACCCAAACCTATATACCACATTTAAAATGATTGACTCTTCATATATTTTGTTTTTCCCCTTTTCCTGTTAGTGCCCATCTTGGATTCCGATGCCAGCAAAGTGCAGAGTCGTGGCCTGGGCCTCACCCATGTCAGTCTTGTCGAGCGCAACGAATTCACAGTGGACTGCAGCCAGGCGGGGAGCAACATGCTCCTTGTGGGCGTCCTGGGACAACGAGGTCCTTCTGAGGAGGTGGTGGTCAAGCACCTGGGTCGAAGTATCCACCGGATAACCTACCGGGTGTGCGATCCCGGCGATTATATCCTTGTAGTCAAGTGGGGTGAGCAACATATTCCGGGTTCCCCGTTTAGTCTAAGCGCCGAATAGGGTAAGATGTAAATGTGTCTGTAGAAAGCTGACCTTGATTTAAAGCTACCACCGTCCTACGCATAATCCTAAGTCCCACCTTTGGGCGATGTGCACTTTAATGATGATTACCTAAACATTGTGGATAGTATGAGCAGGTTCTTTGTTGTTCTGCCCGTCGCTAATGACGTTCGCATTTGAAAACTGAATCTGTCTTCGCCTCCCAACCTAATGATGATGACCGGCAAATATAGGTAAACTGTATGTAGGAACAAATAGCCATATCAACAGCTGCCGTAGATTTAAAGAAAGTAGAGCTTATCAAAAATGTACACGAAAACAAATAAGTTCATGTAAGAGATTTATATTATAAGAAATTATAGTTTGTAATAAAATCCAACGAAATGCAAGCTAAAATTGTTTTTTTAATATTTTGATCGCATTTTATTAAATAATAAATAAATTAATATATATATTTTTTTTTAAAATGTTACTTTAATTTTCGAAAATGAAATTGGATATTTTTAGATGTTTATAGCTGTATAACTGTTTACATAAATAAGAGGAGTCGCGGGGTTAATGCTGAGTTTTCTTGATGATGATGATGACAAATTCATTTTCTATTCTTAAACGACATGTGCTGAGTAATGTTAAAGCTAAAAGTATGAAAAACTATTTAAGGTTTTATACAATTTACAACACCCTTTAAGGACTAACAGTAAAAAATATACAAGAAATTTGTATTAATTATTATTATTACTTAAGTAATAACTTGTAGCTTTGAAGCTAAAACTATTTTATGTGTTTAATGCATATAAACTTTAAATTACTTCAAACCAGGAAAACATTATTGATTTTGATTATCCACAAACCAAACTAAATTAAATAAGGACTTATAGTAGCTATTCCTTTAAAATCAAACCTAAATTCTTATTAAACTATCATAAGCTACATATGTACATATGTACATACATACATATGTACAAATACATATTTTTAGACAGGTCCCCAAATAAACGTGCAAATATCTAGTGACCTTGTTTTTGGGTTCCCGCCTTCTCCTAACTTTTTCTTCTTCCGCCTTGCCCCGCCCCCACCTTCGCGCCTTTGCAACAAGGCGATGTGCAATTTAATGATGATTACCTTACCCCAAAGCCAAAATGACGACTGTGTGGCAGCCACATTATCATTTTTTGTTATTTAGCCCGCTAATGACGTTCGCATTTGGGAGCTGCTGTCGTTGTTGTTGCCCGCACAACCTAATGATGATGATGATGACCGGCAAATACGTGTTGGTGCGACTGTGTGTGTGTAAGTTTGTGTGTGCATTATGCTCCAACCAAATCGTTTGTTGGAAAGGGAAGGTTATATGGTAAGAAAGGAGGGGGCTGATAATAATGATGATGAGCGATGAAATGCGTTTGCATTGTGGCGCCCTAACGAGCCGAGATTGGAGCATAAGAAAAGCGCCAGATGACTGTGCTGTGGCAAAGGAATATTTTCCCTATTCTATTAAAAAAAAATAACATTTTCAATTTCCCACCTTTGGCGCATTTAAAGCCCCAACGTATTTCTTTCGCCAGTCTGGCAACGCCGCAGTACCAGTCACACTCTAGCTGCACCGCTCACACCTTGTTGCTCTTGGAAGTGTTGCTATCTCGTTCCAGAACATCATTATAGAGTATAGAGTCGATGGCGAGAGCTGCGCAGCGTTGGAGCTACACAACAACTACGTTTTTCGTGTGTGTTTCCCTCTTAAAGATAATTAAAATTTAATTATTTGACTTATTATTAAGTTTTGTGCCCCCGCTATTGGCGTTGCTGTTGTTGTTGGTGGTGCATAGAGAGGAAGAGCGTAACAATAGAACGCAATCAACGCAAGAAAATCGGGTGTGTGATTGTGAGTGTGTGTATCTAAAGCGAAGGGAAAAGTGTGCGTGTGTATTCGAGAAAAGTAACATCTTCCCCCGCAAATTACATAGGCTCCCCTTTCCTCCAAGATCCGAGGCGTCGCAGTCGGCGTCGGCAGAGCATCTCATCCGCATCTTCACTTGTATACTTGAATTACCGCTTCACTTCGATTCCAACCTTCGCCGCATCCACTTCGCAGTCTATCTTTTTCTGCTGATTGCAATTTACAACTCGTTTTGCTCCCACTATTAATATTTGTTTACCGTTTACCGTTCTGTGTGCATTACGTATGTATGCGGGAGAAGCTGAGCTGTGTCATTGAGTGTGTGTGTGCCGGCTTAATGATAACTGAAAGATAGAAAAAAGATAAAGTCAAGTGTACCGACTATGAGATACCCGCTACGGAGTACAGATATTAAAAAATGTGTTGCCTACCTAAATGGATTTTTTATGGGTATTATTAAAAACACTCATATATGGTAACTATCTATAAACTGAAGCAATTTTAGTCAAGAATTACCTCTTTCAAAAACAATATACATATATATATGTATGTATATACACATTTATGTTACCTGTCATGAAATTTTTAGATTTAAACAAAAATTTCGTATTCAACACAAGATAAAAAAATCTTTCTTTAGCATTAACATAATGAGTGCTAATCGACTTTCCTGTTAATGCTAATCAAGATATATACTCGTTATGGTGTTTTATTTGCTACTTACTTTTGTCCGACCTAGAATACCCTGAATAAATCAAATACCCGGTAAAATCAGCAATTATAATGCCATCATTATAAAAGGGGCAGGCACGTCTTATTGCTTGTTTGGGGCGGATTAGGTGGCGTATTATATGACAGGAACCTCTCACAGCTTAACAAGTTAATTACAATTTTATTGCATAAATCATCATATAAACCATATGTTTAATTATATATTATAACTTTGTGGGGCAAATTCCCAAATATAAAAACATTAATACATATGTTTATTTAATATTTTTTGGTAGTAAGCAATGAAAGTATCATATTTGACTAATCTTTGGCATATTGGTCAACAATAAATTTAAACAGCCACGAAACTTATTCCAGAAAACATTTCACTGTTCTTCAGACTTAATCATCCTCACTAATATTGTTTATTTATTTTGTATAAACTAAACTAAATCTTAGCAAGTCAAGTAAGAGCAAAGTATTTAGCTATAATAATTATTCTTAGTTTAGGGTAATAAGTATTGTTAATATAAACTTCGCATTTCAATAATATAACAATGCCTGTAGAAATTAATTGATTATTTGTTATATCTGTTTTCTTTAAATTTTTCAGGAGTGGATCCGTGTTCACTATGACAGTCTAATAGATAAACCGCTTCATGTCCTGCTTCAGCTGGCAAACGAAGTTTGTCGGGCAAACCTAGTTGTCGGCAGTAAGACCCATGTGAAATGCCTGTGAGTGTTCTTCGACTCAACCGTTTTTCCTAAGATAATAACCCATATTTCCCGCTCCGACAGTATGAAAAATTCAACAAAAAGCGCCGACAATGGGAGGATAGTGGTGTGCTAGAGCTTATCAAACTATGGAAAGTCTGCGCCTATGAGCTGCGCACCATCAAACGCAATGGCCATCTCTATGTGGCAATGGCCAAGCAGCTAACCTCGCTGGGCGTCCCTGTAACAGCACTAGAGGTTCACTTCAAAGTCAACAATCTCACGCAGCGCTACCGACAGGAGCAGAAGACCTTCGAGACCACGGGCATAATCAGCACCTGGAAGTTCTATAGTCAAGTGGATGATGTATTCAAGAGTCTGGCCGCGCACACCGGTTACAAGTGGGTCAAGAATATGTGAAAAGCTAATATAAATTATCAACAAATTCATTATTTTATTTAAACAAAACTCACTTCTATCTCTATTCTTCCGCAGAGACAAACGCATGACGAGTGCATCCAATACTAGCAGTTTACCATCTACATCCGAGTCTCCAGTGTGGAAAAATCCAATGTCTCAGCAAGAGTTTAATAGCAACAATACGGAGGGGTTCTATAAGTAAGCTCATAAAAGATCCCACCTTCTCGTCAGTTTCAGAAACTAATGATTGTTTTTTACAGGACCGAGTACGGAATGCACCGGCACTTTATGGACCACTCCCAACCGCCGCCCAATGCAGGCAGCGTGGACAACTTTATGGCCTCCTCGGCGGCCGTGGCTGCGGTGGCTGCCGCTGCCTCGGCCCGCCTGGCAGATAACAACATGGATCAGCAAATGAACGCGGCTGCTGGAGGAAGCGGAGCTAGCGGCGGCGGCGGGGGCAACACCAACGGAGGCGTGGCCAACTACCAGAAGATCAAGAAGTCGCACGAGGACTATGATAAGTTCGTGGACATTGTGAAGAACATCGTGGACACCCATAAGAGCACTCCCGATAAAGTGGACACGTTCGGCGACTTCATCAAGTCGTACATGAAGCGCTGGCCGGAACGGCTGCAGGACGAGGCCATCAACCACATCACCAACTATGTGATCGTCAAGAACATGGAGCACAGCATGGTCAGCAGCCACAACCCCGAGGGTGTCAACAACCGACAATAACAATACAAGCAGGAGCCCAACAACTGAACGAGTTGTTGGACGAGGCAGCTCCAGGAACCAGGCACTGAAGGCGAAGTTAGTGAGATGGCAGGCGAGGATTACTTAAGGTGGCACGCAGTTACTTAACCGCATCTGAGTTGCAGCCAAGTTCATTGGACCCACACGGCATACAGTATTTTTTGTATAGTTAAAATATACATTGGAGTTTTAGTTCTCGGCGATCGCTTCCTCAGTACAGAGTTGACTTCAGTATTGGGGGAGCAAGATCAATCGTACATAGAGATCCTAGCGAGTACATTACATTTAGACACCATTTCCTACTGTTAGCTGTAAACTATTATACATAAATTAATAAATGCTTTAACGATTATTTATGAACGGTAGAGAGGATACATTTTCTTTAGGGAGCCAAATATTTACCAAGAACAACTCGGCGTCTGGAGTAAATATACATAAATAAAATAGTACTTATTTTATAATTTTAATACAATATTTCTTATTATCATTACACATTCATATCAGGTCAGATTCGTTGGACTTGACACGCCACACTGTTGAACATGTTGGCCGCCTTTCCCGGAGCAGAGGGCGCAACCAGGAACCGTGCGAAAGTGCCGCCCTTCTTGTCCGACAGACGTCCTGGATTGATCACCAGACAATCGCTAACCAGGCGGATGAAGTGCCGCTGGTCGCCGGGCAGGATGAGTACATTTGGCAGCTGCTTAATCTGGGCGTACTTGAGCGCCAGCTGGGAATCGTAGGCCATGTCCTCGTCCGCGGGCGGATACAATGGATAGAAAGAGCCCTGGTGGAACAAGTGGTTTATGGCCCGGTGCATCCGCTCGCCGGCATTGGCTGCGAACTCGTAGCTCAGCAGATGATCCACCACATCGGTAGACGTAACGCCCAGTGTGATTCCATCCAGATCTACCAGCGATGGATCGGGTAGCATGTGCAGATTGGGATAGGTCTTGCGGAGAGTGGGCGGCGGGGTTGGATAGACAGAATGCACCATGGCGTCCTTCTGACTGCTGACCACCAGCACTGTGGTGTGGATCCCAACCGCCTCCATTATTCCACCGATCATCTTTTCGAAGAACGAGTCGAAGGTCTCAGCTAGCTCGCCGACGATCTTGTGATCCGCATCGAGAAAGGGACCTGTGAGCACCAGTACATCGGGTCTGTGCTCCTTGATGTACTTCAGCAGGTCGTGCAGCGGTTCGTAAAACAGATCCGTGCTGTCTGTGAAGGGTCCAGCGGCTACCACGAACTGAAGCTCTCTGTCCACTTTAAGAGGAGTGGGTGGCGTCAGTTTTCGTTCTGTGTAAATCTCCTCTACGACAAAGGACTTGCCCTTGGGTATGAATCCCTTGGCGAGCACCACCTGGCCGGGAAAGATGCTGGCTGACCTTATCCTGGAGAAGTTTAGTGAGAGAAAGTTGTCCTCAACCTCATCTGTAGAATCATCTATAACAGCCAAAAAGGCGGAATGAGCATCTAGCGGGCCATCATCTTCTGAATGGACCATCCCCACCGCATGGAGGCCACCTGCTGCTTGCAGAGCCTGCTTGTCGTGCGGATACCAACTGCACTCGGCCGCTGCTGCTGCTCCGAGTTTCTTATCCACCAGCGCCCGTCCGGTGTCCTCGACGCGGTCGTGCAGGTCATCACACCGCTCGGCCAGCAGGTCGTTCATGTAGCCGAGATTGGCGAGGGTTAGCGGGGCGTCTTTGTGGAGCAGTTTTTGGGTTACAGGCAACTGGTGCTCCATTTGCGACTGCCAGCTGGAGCCAGCCAGGAGTTTGGGGTGTCCGAAAGAGTCCACAATGTCACCTGGTTTACCTGCCACCAAGGAGCTTGGCGTTCCAACCGCTGTATTCCTCTTGGCGGATTGAGGTGTGTAGCTGGCGGGGCTAAAGAGCACTCCGCCTTTAAGGTTGGAAGTTCGACCCGAATTCTTTTTTGCCTTGGGCGTGTGCATTGCAGAGGAGTCTGCAACTGACTCGCTGACATAGTCGTCGATCATGGGATCGTCTTCCATCACTCCATAGGTGGCCAGCGAGCTTGCCTCCAGGACAGAGGATGCAGCATAGGACGTGGCCTTTTGCGCGGATGCCTTGGAGCCCATTTTGTCCTTCCGCAGCTGCAGCACCTTGCGCTCGAAGTCACCCAGGTTATCCAGCGCAGGATCTTCGCCATGGAGGTGCGACAAACTGAACGCCATCCACTGCTCCACGAACTCGGTGGCGTCGTGGACGTTGTACGATATGGCCAGCTCCATGCACCTGTCGAGCACCGCCTCCGCGGGCTCCACGCCCATCTCGTCGAACTGCTGCTTTAATTCCACGTCCATTCGATTAGCTTTATTCGGTTTCGCGTGCTGGTTTCGTAAATAAACACCAGCAAATTATTTTTGGCGGCAAAAAATATGCTGAGCGTTGCCAGACCTTATGTAAATTGTTTAAAATGGAACTAACGTGTTTTTAATAATAAGTTTAAATTACGAATTAAATAAATTATTTAAGTTAATTTCACTTATTTCATTTAAAAATAAAATGAATAACCCAATTTTGCCAAAAATGGGCATAAAATAATAAAGATTAGTTTTTAAATGACCGAATGCGTCCGAAAGCACTGTACTTCGATAACTTCTACTCGTTGTTTCGGTGAGCCATCGAGTTTCGATAACAAATATCGCCCTTCCCCAATCGCGATGCAACAGCTGTTTTAATTTTGTATTGACAAACTTTTTTGTTTACTCCGTGCGCAATTAAAAAAACCGAAATCGATCGTGTCAAGTAAATTCATGTGATCTTGTGAAGTGTCCCTGAAAGTGTCGCGGAGTGAGTGATTCGCCATGAGCACGGACGATCTGCTGGTGCGTCGCGAAAGGAGCGAAGACTCCCAATCTCTTTCGCACTCCCCAAGTGCCTCCATTTCGGTTCCGCCCCCCACGGGATCTGGTGCGCCTGCGCCCAATGCCTCCACATCCTCGCTGGACCGCATTCGCAACACCTTTCGGCGAACGGAGACCCTATCCTCGCAGATCTTTAGCCACATCTCCACGCAATTCTCGAACGCAGCCGCTGCAGCCGCCTCTTCTGAGGTAATTGACGGAACCACCACCTACCCATATCCCGAGGAACCCACGCCACCTGTTGTGCCACCTACTCCGGATGTGAATGCGGGTGCTCCTACTCCGTCGCCCTCGAAAATCAAAGCAAAAAGAATGAAACGCGGTGAGTTATAACTATTATTCATAAAAATGATAGGACAGCTTTGTTTTATATTTTGTGATATCTGTGTATGTATCATGTGATTTGAGAAATACATTAATATAAATGGGCAGTGATAAAATATACCCATAATTATATATTGGCCACGTTATCTTAAAAGAGTTTAATTCGAATTCCTCTTGAATTTATGTTTAAAAACGTTATATTATTTAGGAGAAATATATTTTTTACCAAATTTGGTAGAGATTCATACAGGAATTTATTAACTACAAAATGTAAAACTAATTAACATACTCAACTCCAAGCAGATAGGTAATTCAAAAATAAGAATTACTTACACACATTTTTTATTCGTAGTTATTAATAATTATTGTATTAGGCGCAGGTGATAGTGAATTAGGTTTAGCACAAGTGTATTGATGATTATTTGACACATGTTAAATAAAAAACAACAGCTTCAAAAGAATATTGTACTATAATTTACTATTCATTTACATAAATGAATGTGTTTTTTAAAAATTTTACTATAAATGTTTCAAAGAAACTCTTTCTTCATGAAAAATTCATAACATTGCTTTTAGGAATACGGAGTGTGTTTGACTTTTCTCTACAAATTTAACAATATTTATAATTAAACAACTGTAATTAAAAAAAAAACGAGTATTTAAGAATCCTGCATCGAAAAAGTGTCAACGGTAATATGAACACCCCCAATAAAAGCTCCCGTAAAGCTTGTGAGCTTGGCATACTTGACAAATCAATAGGATAAAAAACTTTATGCCAGTCTTACTCAACGCGTATACAACAGCAGGATAACGGTGCAAAATTATAGCGGCGATTACTAACAGTTATTTGGTTGATTTCAAAAGGAAAACCCTCTTAAAAAGAGGTTTCCGAAAGAAAATAACACTTAAAGGTAATAAAAGAGCAGTGGAGAAAAAGACCTGCAGTAAAGGAAACATTTAACTTATTGAGCATCTAATATCGATATATGTATATATCTGTATTTTTATGGACGCCCACGTACACACACAGCAGTTTTGAAGCCTCAGCAAAATGCGTGGACTCGTCGAGGATACGAAAAAGACCAAGTTGTCGTCCGCCAACAACAACAACGTCAGCAGCAGCAGTAGTGCCAGCAATCGCATAAAATCAGCGAATACAGTGGCAGGATCCAGTGCCAGCAGCACGAGTTCGAAGCCATTAAGGAGTGCGGTGAAAACGCCAACAATGAGCAGCACGACGTCATTGGGAGCAGGTGCAGCTGTGGCCAAGAAGGCGCCTCAAACGGGGCAACAACAAGTTGGCAAGTCTGCAAAGTCCTCGGCGTCAGCAGCAACAACAACTGGAACAACAGCAACAACAAGGGCAGCAGCGGCGGCGGCCAAAACTCAAAAGGGTCACAATCCACCCCCACCACAAGTGCAACCGAAGCAGCAGCAGCAACAGCAACAACAACAGACACAGCAGCAACCCTTAGTGTTGCAGCAACAACAGCAACACCAGGCGAACAACAGCAGCAACACGATTGCCCTGCCAAAAGCCTCACATGCCAACACCAGCGAGGAGTTGGCCGGCGGTGTCCAGGACACCATTTACCTGTGCAACTTTCGGGTGTCCGTCGATGGCGAATGGCTGTGCCTCAAGGAGCTGCAGGACATTGATGTTGCCGGCGGAACAGGCAACCAGGCAGCACAATCCAGTGAAAAACAGGGAGGCACCTCGAACACAGGTTTTGGATCGAACTTTAGCACAGGATCCAACTCCAGCAAGCGCAACAGCAAGCGCTTCTCCGGATTGTCCGCAGGAAGTGGTGGTGGAGGAAACGGCGGCGGCGGAGGAGGCGGCGTTCTGGACATCACGGACAATGGTATTATGGCAATTGAAAACCTTATCGGACGCCGGCTGTGCGACATGGTCCACAGTGGCTCCTCGGCACTCGGCCAGTCCCAGTCGCACTCCCAGTCGCAGCACCAGAGTGTCGGCCTCTTCGCCGAGTGGTCGCATCTCTGTAGGTCGCTTCTTGATGCCTCTGTTGCCCAGCACGCTCCTACTTTGTAGTATCTCTTCATTTCTCGTTATCTGATTATCCGATTTGAACATGCAGGCCAACAAAATTGGGAGGATAACCAGAGCCAAGTCATACTTTTTAAATGTTTTGCTAGTGAGCATAGGTCATAGGTTTTTGTATTGTAAATTCCAAAGTATCTAAAACTTTTACAAAGACTAATTTCTGACCATTTACCTTTAAATACACTAGCCAATTTTTTTTCTTAACCTTTTGCTTTTAGACTATTGTGCGAGATACTATTATTATCGTCTGTAAACATTGCACAAAGATGCAAAAGTAGTAGCATTAAAAATGCCACTCAAGATTCTTATCGAGCACGAAAAACCTTTGAAAAATATGGTTTAGATCTTGGTTCTAGATTTTGTTGGCCTTTGTTATCTTCAATTAATTTGCATGCCTCTTTGCATTGTTGCACATTTGGTTGCCAGCTCTCTCGATTCGGTGTATTAAACTCAAAGGGTTTTTTTTATCTTAAAAACATAATTGCCACTTAAACAAATTGCTCGACCGCTTAGCTATTACCATACAACGTTTCACCACTGGGAGTGACCCCAATTGTTTACAAATAATTTAATTAGACAGATTAATCCTACGTCTCCAAATCCGATTCCACGTTTCTTTCTAAGAACGCAGTTTCTGGTATTGGTATTGAACTAAAATTAGTTTGAGTCAGATTGCAATATTCAAAAATAGTTTAAATTAGTAATTTTAGATTCTTTAATTTCTTTGACTTTACCAATCGTCTCATGGCAAAGGGTTAAAGGCTTAAACTAAAAGGGTTTATTACCTTATCACAAAATATACATTTAACAAAACTGCGACGCAAAAAAAAACAAAGTTAGTTATCCTCAAATGTCGTTTCCCAGCTGGGGGAATCCTTTACCGACTGGGGAGATCTTACCGATAACAAACTTCTGTCATATAATGAATTGAATTGACGCACCTCACTGCCGCCCTTATGTCGACTCGCACTGGGTTCCGGTTTTTCCTCGGACGTCTTTCTCGTCAGGCGAGGATCGTCGGTAGACTCGTTGTCCGTCACTGGTATTCAGATAAAGGGTGAACGTGTTATCAGTTTATATTGAGGAGTGACGAAATTTTTTTTAGGGGTCGATTTTTAAAGATTTTTTTTTTTAAATTTGTTTTTTCCTTATTTAGTTCAGCTTACCGATCCTCACTCGATTGGTCGTTCGCCTTTCCGGCGATGACTGCTTTCTCTCTTCTGAGGATTTAGTCTGCTGATGATTCTGGGTTCAGGATGAAAGCTGAATAATTTTTGATAACTTACCTCCTTTCTCTGGCTAGCCTCCGTGTCCTTATGCTTTTTCCGCTTGGCCTCTTTGCTGAAGTGCCTCTGCCGCTTCTTCTCCTTGTCCAAGGCGATACGATCGCTTTCCGAGGTGGGATTTGGGGACTCGTTTGTGTTTAGAGGCGGTTTAATGGCAGATCGCAGAGCACGGCGAGAGGACGAATCCTCGGAGAGTAGTCTTAGGGCGGGGAGTTTCTTCACCACCTCGTCCCGACCCTTTTCGGGTACGTAGTACTCCTCTCCTTTCGAGCGGGAGAATTTAAGGGGCACGCACTTTCTGTTGAACTGGCAGCCCAACGACGAGGTTGAGGTGTAGGAATCAAGCTCAGGATTCTCCGGATAGCCTGTAATGTGAGAGGGGAGTATCAGCGGTTGTATAGACACCAATTTGGACTTACGATCATCCTGAACTGATCTTTGTGAGGTGCTGTAGCGACCAGATCCCGAGTAGTAGTATCGGTGACCGCCTTCGTGGTCCTTGTCCCTGTCCTCTTTTTTCTGTTCGCTGGCTATGAGCGGCTCATTAGTTTTTATCCGTTTCTCCTTGGGCAAAGGTGCCTCTGCATCCAGCGGCACTACCTTCTTCTTTCTGCCTCTTCTCATGCAGCAGCAGATAATGAGCAGAATGAGGAGCAGGAGCAGGGCCAGAAAGGCGGCGATGCACCAAATCAGGGAGTCATCGTTGTCGCATTCCCGGCACTCATCCAGCTCATCCTGGCGGGTGTGGACCTTCTCCAATCCCGAGAGCCACTCATCCTGATGCGCCTGCTCCTGTTCCGAGTCTGGCGCCTCCTGCCAGTGGATGGCGGAGCGGCTCAGCTTGCGGGAGTCCTCTCCGGAGGATGAGGAGGGATTTTCAGTCTCCTCATTTTGTTCGGGTGGAGCCGGCTCTTCCTCAGGATCATTTTTCTGAATCAGTAGCCTCTCTTGCACCTGAAGAATCCCTCCCAAGCCCGGGTAGAAAACATCATCCTGGTAGTGCATCTGCACGTTTTCCCGTATCCAGGAGAGCAACTGGCGATTATAGTTGACCTGGCTGACGTCTAGAAAACGATGGCAGCTGGTCAGGGCTTGAAAGAATCTCACCAAGACAAAGGCAGATCTGGGAGAGCGGAGATTGTAGATCCGTCGCTTTCGGAAGGGCAGATAGATGTTGCTCAGAAAGCCATATTCATCCACCGCCTCGAGGCGCGGCAATGGCACAATCATCCCGTCCTGGTCCGGCTTCTGGGAGAGACAGCTTTGGTCCAGCAGGGCACAGCTGGAGGCATCCTCCTTGGATTGACAGCTCTTGGGCAGCTTGACAGGCTCGATCCTGGCCCCTTTTATCTTAGATAATATGTTTTTATCCGGTGTTCGCCATCCGTTTCCATTCGTATTGAGCGCCGTTCGGCATTGGCGATAGATGTTCACCAATCGCTCCACGGTATTCAGCTTGAGGCGACCGGCGTAGAAGGAAACCTGGGCCATGGGCAGCAGGTAGTAGCGAAGGTAACCACCCAAAGCGTCGTAGAAAGCCCGCTGAAGGATTAGTCTAGTGTCCTCGTCCGACATCCTCTTCACGATCTGGTTAACAGTGTTAAAGTACTTGATTAGCATGTGGACAACGCAGTCGCTGAGCAGGCATTGCGGGAAGGACTTGGGTACCAGCAACTCAAAATCCTTGCGGGCGGACATCAGGGCAATGTCCTCGGTGGAGAAGCAGTTCTTGCGGCAGATGCCGAACAGGTTGGTGCCCAGAAAAGGGGCCGTCTCTGCGGTACTCCGCGCAACCTTGGACAGATCCTTGAGCCAATCGGGCTGTTGGAACTTCCTTGGCGGGGAATGCGGCGGATCTTCTCTCTGGCCACCGATCCGCTCGTTTAGGCCATTGCGGTATTCCCGCAGCTCCGAGCTGAGCATCGATTGGAGTGTCAGCTCGTTCTGGAAATCGTTGGTGGGCACCTCCAAAGTGGCCAGGTCTATGCTGTAGATGGGACAACCCCCGGGCGCCAGGAAAAACAGCAGCCAGGAGAGCACATAAAAGTTCATTACTCAGTTAATCAGTTGTCAGTTGTTTTGAAGCAAAAATCTGCGCCGGCCGAGTCTCTAATTTTGGACCCGTGGTTTCTCCATTTGCAGCCCGGGATACGGCGGAGATCGAACGCAGCAACCTGGTGAACATCTGCAAGCTGGTGGTCAAGGAGCTGTTGGAGCAGTCGCTGCGCTACGGCCGCATGCTGGACTCCGATCACCTGCCGCTGCAGCACTTCTTCATCGTCATCGAGCACGTCCTGGGACATGGTCTGCGGCCCAAGAAGGGTCTCCTCGGGCCGCGCAAGGAGCTGTGGGACCTGCTGCAGAGCGTCGAGCACTACTGCCCGGAGGCGCAGGATATAACGGCGAGTGTGAGGGACCTGCCCACAGTTCGGACCCACATCGGCAGGGCGCGGGCCTGGCTGAGGATCGCTTTGATGCAGAAGAAGCTGTCGGACTACCTGCAGGCCCTCATTGAGCACAGGGACGATTCGCTGTACGACTACTACGAGCCGCATGCTCTGATGATGAGCGACGAGGTCTGGATGTACTTGTTCCTCCGAAGAATCGCTTTTAACCCATCTTTTCCTGCTCCAGATCGTTGTGATAATGGGCATTCTAGTGGGCTTGAACGTGATCGATTGCAATCTGTGCGTCAAGGAGGAGGATCTGGACTCCCAGCAAGGCGTCATCGATTTCTCGCTGTACCTGCGTTCTAGTTCAAGAAATGCTGATGCCGCTCCAGAGGACAGTGCTCCGCCTGCTCTGCTGGATGGCACTGGTCAGGGCAACATGATTGCGGTGCTGGACCAGAAGAACTACATTGAGGAGCTAAACAGGCACCTAAAGTGGGTTATGGCCCTAAAAACGTAGAGCGCCTCAGCTAAGTTATTCCCCATCTTTCAGCGCCACTGTGGGCAATCTGCAGGCCAAGGTGGAGTCGCTAACGACCACGAATGCCTTGATGAAGGAGGATTTGGCCATTGCTAGAAATAGTTTGTTGGCCCTCCAGGCCGAAAACCAGGCCATGCGGCAATCCACTCCGGCAGCGGACAACAACTCCACTGGTTCTGGGGGCTCCTCCGATAAGGACAAGGAGAAGGCATCCGAGGAGCTGGTTGAAGAGCGCCGCAAGACCAGCGAACTGGAGAAGGAGCTCAAACTGCAGGTGTCCCTCAAGGCCGAATCCGACATGGCCATGAAGCTGCTGGAGAAGGATATCCACGAAAAGCAGGATACGATTATCTCGCTGCGTCGCCAACTGGACGATATCAAGCAGATCAACCTGGAAATGTATCGCAAGCTGCAGGTGAGTAGTCCACTCAGCAACATTAGGATGGGTTTAATTGGATAAAAAGCAGTTAAATCTCTTGGGCAGATAGTATTCATAGATTACTTTCTGTGCAACCACGATTCCCTGTAAAAAACCAATTGACCCAACCAAATCATTAACACCACTCACAACCCATCTGCCCACATTCATTCGCTCATCTGGTCCGTAGCCTTGGTTTCTTTCCCTTTTGTTTTAAGCTTTCGTTTATGATTTAATCATTAGCTCCAATTAAATCGGTTTAAGCCTAAAAGTCAAAACGTAATCCCGTCTAAAATTCAACCAGGAATGTGAAGATGAACTCACACAGAAGGGCGAGATGGTCTCGCGCCTGCAAACGAAAGCCTCACAAATTGGTAACATTTTACAATCGCTAGAAAAGAAATACGAATCGAAGCTCGTCGACCAGCATCACCATGGACCGGGACCGGGACTTGGAGGTGGGGTCGGAGCCATTGGCGGAGACCGCTCCCCCAACACACGGCGACAGCAGAATCTGGAGAAATTCGAGGCGCTCACCAAGAAGCACAAGCAGGACGCTGGTCCGCCCATGAAGAGGATGCACCTCAAGATGGACGCCTTTCCGCCCTTCGATCCCAGCAAGTACCGCAAGTCGCCGCGTCAGCCAGATGCCCCGGATCCGCAGGAACAGCAGGAGAACAAGGTTGCCAAAACGCCCACGTCCGCCAAGTCCCTGAACGATGAATTGGCCGAGGCGGCGGCCGAGGTCAGCCAGCACTTTGGCGTGGATGCGTCCCAAAGCGATTACGTCCTGTGCCGGGAGCAGACGGCCGAAGGAGATACTTAAACAACAGCTAAATGTAGAATATATGTTTATATGGCCAGTTTCGGTTTTCACATTCACGGAATTAGTAGGTTATAAATTGATAAACCTATCCATTTTTCACAAATCTATACAGTCCATAGGTTTGATTTCAGATCTCTAAAATTAAGTTTATATTATTTCTGAATGTACTTAGTGACTGACCGCATTTATACTTAGTTAACTTTATTTTATAACCCATATTTAAACGTCTGGACACTGAATGTAAAACAATATTATTGCGAGTTCAATTTAAAAGTTATTAAATGAATTAGTGCCTACATTTGGAAAATCTGTACTTATAAATTCTTTACCCAATATAGACCTAATATCAATATACTTTGTTTTAATTAAAAACAAAATGCATATGTGAAAACTTGAACAGGCCTTTATTGCTCCCACATCCTTCAGACCTGGGTCACCACTCAAAGTCCGCGTCCAGGTCCAGAACGGAACTAAAAGTGCAACTGCTTAACAAGACTCCCAAAGGTGGAGTCCACAACTAATAAATTAAAGAAACCTATAGCTCTATAGCCCGTGTGTGTACCATATAGGATGCCTTTATTCCGTAGACCAGATCCCCTAAAGGACAAGAATACCAGTATACAAATTGTTAAAGGTTTTGAATTACTAATGTATGCAACCTGTTAGCTAAATTATCTTCCTAGACCCCTTTAAAAACAAAGATTAAATACGATTATAATATAACAACGTATGTATGTATATATGTATTGTGCGATTAAGAGGCTTCAGATGTTTATTATACATATGTATGTACATATGGATCCCCACGCAACAGCTTATATTGTAATTATACACTCAGCCTAGTCAAATAAAAGTATTGTAATTATATGAACACATATAGAGACTATATGAATCTACAAATCCATGCAATGTACTATACGCGTTGGAGCATCAGCCTATATTCTAATACTCGTACTCCCCTAAATCGATCCCAGAGAAATAAAATTTATCCGAACCCCAAGTGTTTCATTTTTCACCCTACTAACACCGAGATTTAAAACAATGACGGAACATTGCGACGCTGGTACATCCGCTTATTTTCTTCGTTGGCAGGACTGCAAGGCCTCTTTAACGCACAAGACGGAGCTGATGTCCAAGCTGGAGGTCCAGAAGGAGGACATGGCCAGCACCATCGAGCAGCTAGAGAAGAAGTAAGATCGCTGACGGACTGATAAGGATAGTAATAAGGGGGAGGGGATAGTCAGAATAAGTTTTAGGAAATCGAGTTAACTGATTTAACAAAAAAATGGTTCCTACTTTTTGCGTTTCAAGCCAAGACACATTAAATTAAAAACTCGCATCTGGCTTTGTACAATAATCTTATAATTATTTATTTTGCTATATTTCATATTTTTTGCTTCTTATATCAATACTATTTTCTTTCAACTTTTGAATCTTTGCTTTGCAGAAAAACCATCGAATTTAAATTTGGAAAGTGTTTACTTCTAATAGTTCCCGAATCAATTTTGAATTAATTTACATTATTATTTTTGTTTTAAAATTTGTGGTCGATATTTAGAATTTAAAATGAATAGTTTTAGCTGCCGAAAGTACCTAATTTGTAGTGTATTTTTGAAAATTAAAATAAATAGGTGTAGCTGCTGAAAGTGCCTAGCCGTAATTAAAAGCATTATAAATTCGTACTTCTCCCTCCATAGGTGGACCCATGACAAGAGCAACCTGGGAGAGATTTTAAAGACCACGTCGCAAACTTTGACGACCCAGGTGACCGCCAGCGAAGAGCGAGCTGCTCGGGCGGAGGCCGAGTCCAGGATTGAACGCGAGTGGCGCATCTCCCTGCAGGAGAAGGAGCTGAAGCTGAAGGAGAAGATATCCACCCTGCAGGGCTGTCTCAAGGATCTGGCTGAGGAGAAGGAGAGGAATGGCAAGCTCAAGGCGGATCTGGACAAGGTGCGAACCCAGTGGTCGGAGGCTCAGACTACGCTGGAGGAGCTCGGCATCCAGCTGAGCGTGAGCAAACTGAAGGTGTCGGAGATGCAGGATCAGGAGCGTCGCCAGAGGCAACTGCTCTCCGGATCCGCCCAATCCCTGCAGGCCATGCCGGAGGCGGTCGGGAGTCCCGGGATCTGGGCACCCGACTCCATCGCCAGCCACTGCACCGCCTGCGAGCGGGAGTTCAATCTCACGCGGCGGAAGCACCACTGCCGCAGCTGCGGGGAGATCTTCTGCAAGGCCTGTTCGGAGCACACTCTTCCCCTCATCAATGCCCAGGGTCAGCCGGGAAAACCAGTACGAGTGTGCGACAACTGCTATGCAGCTAAATGATAAAGAAATATAGAATATATTTGTATGTTCGAGACGCATATATGCTTGACTAGGGATCCCAGGGGCAGTGGCAAATTTTTACATTTTTAATAAATGGTTAGAACCATCTTCCTATCTAATCCGAAAAAAATATGATAAATTAGATACAAACTTTTTTAGAACGTCTCAATGTTATTGGTATCACTGCCCTATGGAAACTCGTGCCCAAGGTTGTGTGACTAATATTTGTAGCTAACCACTTTGACCTAACGAGACACTTCCAGTCGATCCCTCTGACGATATTTAATGAATATACTGAGTTTTGTAATCAAATTATAATAAAACTTGTGTTGAAAACGTGTACGTCTATTGATGCAATTATTTCCTTAAACTATGGGTAAACAAATAAAATTATTAAGTTTTGTGAAAACTTTTAAAGCAAATGTCTTGATAAATACTTAGACTTAGATGAAAACAAAAAATAAAATCTATATTTAAACACAAGCATGGAATTTTTTTTATTTTTGATTATTTTCTTTGTCGAGCGTTGTTAAAAAGTTATTAAATGCTTTAACAGACTGCTGTATAAAATGTTAAGAACCTTATTAAATAATGAAATAAATTAATGTTCATGTTTTCTTCGAAAAACTTAAATGCTATTGGCTTAAAACAGATTTCGAAATATAACGGATTGTAAAATGTAATTTTTCATACAGAATACCGCTAATGTACAAATATATTTTAGCGATAGTATCGATTGAAACCAAAGCACGTATCAATGGTTTGATTATCGATAAATTATCTGCTCTAAAAATGCGGATCTCGCGGAAATAATTTTAGAAATTCTTATTAGTAATTTGCAATATATGATTTGTAAAATATAATTAATGCACAGGCAGGAACAGAGATGATTAGTGAGTGAAGCGGGGCAGTAGTTTGAGCCAACCTTGGTTAGTTAGCTCCACTTCCTCCGCTGGCAGCGGCGCACAGCAATCGATTTTTATTCGAGACGAATGTTGTGGAATTTCGCTGCCAGTTCCTCCCACACTTTAAACTCGGCGGCATTTAGCGCGGCGCAATGAAGGACGGCGGTCACATAACGCTCACACTATCGTCGGGATCAGCATCGGCGTCGGTGGACGAGCGGGGCAGGAAGAGTCTGCGGCGGGTGTGTACATGTGAAGCGGGGGACCTCTTTCCCCAAAGCATCAAATAAGACCCATCCTAATATCTATTTATATTTTATTCAGGCTTGGAATCAGCTGCCTCGTTGTCAGCGTAATCTCATTATTCTGGGAATAACCGCGTTCTGTGTCACAGTCTTGCTCTGCCTGAGCGGCGATCAGCTTCTGGCCGCCAGCCTGAAGGATGTGGACGAGAAGTCGATAGTGGCCCCTTATCAATTGCCCATGCCAAATCCGCACCATCACCCCGGAGTCGATAAGGACCTGCCAGAAGTCACAGCAGCGGAAGATAAGGGTCCACCCCGGGCAGAGGCTCTAAAAGATAAGGTGAATAGGCCCCCCCACATTATTGATAAGTACTCATGGACTAACGTTATTTGCCCATTAAGATAGTCCGGCGTATCAATTGAATTGCCTGCTGGCGTTTTGATTTATTGCCGACGCACTTCCAATGAAACTTTATAATGATATTTCAATATCAATCAATTTCAGTTGAATGAATTAATTGCCTACGGGGATGCGAACTCTGCTGAGAACGTGGTCCGTCTGCCTGAAACAGTGGTTGCCCAAGGACCACTGCAGGCCGTGGCACAACCTCCGCCGGAAGATAACAAAGATCAGGACATGGGAGGCATCGACATCCTAAATAATGTGGAGGAACCCATCATACAGGAGCCTAGAAAGCCGCTCGGCGAGCGCGAACAACTGGACGAGGCCATCAAGAGTCCACTGAATATGGGCGGTGTTAGCTTTAAGGAGCATCTGAAGAAGATTCAGCCCATCCTGGCCAAGGGGCAGCACTTCCATGGCGCCACCAACGAACGGCAGTCAGCTGTGGTGGCAGCCTTTAAGCACTCCTGGGCGGGCTACAAAAAGTACGCCTGGGGACACGACAACCTTAAGCCAATCTCGCAGTACTCCCACGAGTGGTTCGGTCTGGGTCTGACCATTGTGGATTCATTGGACACCATGTACATAATGGGACTGGATGATGGTGAGTTGGCAAAAAATCAAACTTTCACTTCTTTATAATATATGGATTTCATTGACTCGAAGTGTCATACAAACATATTTTAAATAACACTGGTCTTAAGCTAAACAAATATATGTAATTATATTTGCAAAAGTACTTTCTAATTGTTCTAATAATTGAAGCAGGTCTAAAATATAGATTTGGTTTACTTTTAAGAATACATGTTGATCTTTTGTGGCCGTTGTTCGCGTCTTTATGGTGAGCCAAGAGTATGTTTTAAGCAACAAATTTCTATACGATTTCTTCGTTCGAAACCTACTACTAGGTCGAGAAAACAGACAAAAATCTTGAAAAATTACAATCAGCTTCAAGTTGGGTTTAATTACGGGAAAATAGTGGTAATACTTTTTAGATGGGAAATATTTATTTAACCATTCAGTACAACTTTATATAATTATTTCTGTCTTACCCACAGAATTTAAAGAGGCACGCGACTGGGTGGAGAACTCACTGCGCTTCGATACTAAGCGGGATGTGAATCTCTTCGAGGTGACCATACGAGTCCTGGGCGGATTGCTGTCTGCATATCACCTGAGCGGTGACACAATGTTTCTGGCCAAAGCAGCGGAATTGGGCAACCGGTTATTGCCCGCCTTCCTATCGCCATCGAATATTCCATATTCGGATGTGAATCTCGGGGATCTGTCAGCACATTCGCCCAAGTGGTCACCAGATAGTTCCACTAGTGAGGTTACCACCATTCAGCTAGAGTTTCGTGATTTGAGTCGGTCCACAAACGTTTCCGTTTATGAACAGGTAAATAAATCGGATAAGAGACAAATAACGATTATAAAATAATTGACGTTTATCAGGTTGCTCACAAAGTAAACGAAAAGGTGCATGATCTGGATAAAAACCATGGGTTGGTGCCCATATTTATCAACGCCAACACTGGAACCTTCCGCAACTACGCCACCATTTCCCTTGGTGCGCGGGGGGATTCTTACTATGAGTACTTGCTCAAGCAGTGGATTCAGACTGGCCGTAAAGATAACGATAAGTAAGTATTTCAATTGTTATTAATAATAAAAGGGTTTGTAATGGGATAGCAAATTTTTAGGCCATAACTTATGAGAAAGATAAATGTTTAAACTAGCATTCGGCATCTTTTATTGCAAAGCAAGTTCTTGTCGATGTACCAACACAATTAATCAAGTCAGTTGTTTTGAACAACTGTGCAATCATTCGGTTATTTGATCACATAGGAAATTTTGTTAATTATTTATTTTACCCAACCTCTTTTTATTTCAGCCTTATTTTAGATTATATGCAAGCTATAGATGGAGTACTAACACAGTTGATGCGGCGCACTCCACGTGAGCACTGGGTATACATTGGCGAGCTGATCAATGGCAAAGACTTTAAACCGAAAATGGACCATCTTACGTGTTATTTGCCGGGCACTTTGATTCTGGGTCACCAGAACGGAATGCCAGACTCTCATCTAATACTCGCTAGGGATTTAATGGATACATGCTATCAGACCTACATGATGAATCCCACACACTTGGCGGCCGAGATTTCGTATTTTGCACTCACAGAAAAGGACGATCAGGACATTTATGTTAAGCCAAACGACGCGCATAACCTACTGCGCCCGGAATTTGTAGAGAGTCTTTATTACTTTTACTCTTTGACTGGCAATCGCACATACCAGGACATGGGGTGGACCATCTTCCAGGCGTTTGAGACTCACGCCAAAGTAAATGCGGGCTACACATCGATGGGAAATGTTAAGAACACACAGAACACGCGTCTGCGTGATCTAATGGAAAGCTTTTGGATGAGCGAGACCCTGAAGTACTTCTACCTGTTGTTTAGCGACGACCGCAAGGAAATCGATCTGGACCAATGGGTCTTTAATTCGGAGGGACATCCACTGCCGGTCTATCCGCTCAAGACTTAACTAGCGCCTAAGCGAAGCAACTAATAGGCAGCGCAACTCAGTTGCGCCAGCGAAACTAACTGGAAACCGAATAGTTTCGGCGCATTTAGGCTGCAACAATCGTTTAACTCGTATCCGTACTTTAGCGCAAATGCCAAATACTATGCTAAGCTCAGGATTAGGCCGAGCAAAGTTGGCCAATCGAATAAAGCAATGCCCATTGGGATGGATCGGTTTGTTTTGTGAGAACAAATTTAAAATGGTAGGGGCAAAAAGTTAATGTGTAATCAATTTTGAAAAATTTAGACCTCTTTTTAGAATCCTGGAAAATCTACCAACAAAAATGATTTAAATTGTTATGGCCAGAAATCTTAATTACCAACTAGCTTTAGACATTGTTAAATTCAATATTATAGCAACTGCATAATTTTTTGCCCCAGCGATTTGGAACTACAAAATCATCGACCCGTCCCATCTTACTATTCAAAATGTCATTTCAAAATCAGTAGTGGTCGTTTGTATCATATTCTATTTACTGATAACTGTTATTTTGTAATAATTTATTTCCTACTATAAGCACCTACTGTAACTTGATATTGGGCCATTGCTAACCCATCTCATTAGCCAATAGTAACAATCGAATCAGCCAGCGGGTTTTAACCTTGTAATCTCTTTTGTAGTTAAATATGTATGTTTATGTTAGCAAGATATTAGAAACTCAGTTGCACTCAGCACAAAGTCGATTTGTGCGTAATCTTAAAAGTACGGAATAAACGAATCTCACATGAAAATGTGCTAAGAGCATTTCTGATCCCATAAGCGTATTGAAAACAGAGCCGATAATAAAATGCAATAGTTTTTAAAATTGTATGGAATTTTCTTTATTTTCCTAAGAACATTTCACCCAGTACAAACGCAAATGCATGAACTTTGATTGCATTTCCTTTTATTTAGTTTCCGTTTTCAGTTGGGTTTTCGGTTTGTTGCGTTTCAGTGAGATTTATATTGAATCTTTTGTTTGTTTTGTTTTATGTACTTAATGTTTATGACGACTATGAATGGATGGGCTTAATAAACTATCAAATATTAAAGTTGTTTCCTTTGCTTTGCTGTCTCTCTCTCCCTATGCTGATGATGTTTAATTAAAACTCACATTGTTTGTTTAAAAATCTTTAGTTTTCTCTTTATGTTAAATTACATTTAGACACATTTAGCTGAACAATTCAAGTGACGACACTGCGCTTTGTTGTTGTGGAAAGGTGGTTGCGGGGGGGGCGACCGATTTGAGTTCTGAGTTTGATTTTGTTCTAAATACAACATAAAACAATTCTTATTAATAATCTATCAATAGATTTAAATTTATTCAGTTTTGGGTTGCCAACTTAAATTATGCTATTACATATACATTTTTACACGAAAGTTATTTGTCTTTGAATAATAACTAGAAAGTTTCAAAATAGAAATACAAGATCATGCAACTCAGACGGGACGCTGGACAGGTGGGAGTTTTGTTTTGAGGGGATGATGATGGGTTCAGGTTCAGGGGTCATGGATGGGTGGCCTGAATAAACGAAGCACATCTTAAAATATGGTACCTCTTGAAGTTTCCTTACAGACTACACGTAATACAAGCATTCCGTCCATGGTAGTACGTATCGTAGTAGGTGTGTTAGTGGTGGTATTAAAGTAGTAGTTAGTATTGTAATTGGTATGTAATTGATGCGTGGCGCCCGCCCTTCCCACGCCAAACATTTACAATTGGTTTCGCGACTGGCGATTCGTTTTGGATAAACTTCGTAGTAGCTTACTGAGTGTGGGTTTTTGTATAGACTTTAATCGTATTTATTATGTATGTTTACAAGCTAATCAGACATCTATATTTAAAACGTGGCACAAATCACAAGTCAGATTTGTCGCAAGATCAAGATACAATTGATACGATTCGTTAATTTGTTGTTTTTTTGTTTTCCTGTGGTTCCCATCTGCTTCTCGTTTCAATCGATCGGTTTAAGTGTATAAGATATTACATTAGATTCAATAATTTATAAATGTTTAAACTAAATTGGCTAAAATTGTGATTTTTGAACTGCTTTTGGTTTGCTTCGTAGTTTGCCATAGTTGGTACTCGTTAATCCCTAAGATCTTTGCATTTGCTTTCCAATGACACCCGTAGCTATGCCGAAATATTTTTACTCTCGAATTGAGCACGTCAATAGGTTGTTTTGTTTGTCTGTAATATCAGAAGCAGTCGTACGTAAAGCGCTTTAAATTATATCTCTTCTTTAAAAATGCTTAGCTATATATTATAATCTTGTTAGACAGTTCCTGGGCGCGAATGAAACTGCAGCATGCTCTAACTATTTACAAACTCTTTCGCAACGTAATGCGTAAATAAAAATATTGTATCTGGGGTTCTAAAAATTGATTGGATGCGGATAAATTGCTCTGTCTGATATTCCAACGACAACAAAATTGGCAACGTGGTTTTAATTGTTTCTCAGAATTGCTTCATGTAACTTAATTATGAATTATACAACCAATTCGTTTTGTTTCCTTATTTTTTGCGCGTGTTTCTCTTATCATTCTCTTGATTTTCTTACGTACTTTTCTTGGTTTCATTTGAATAAATTGTCTAGGGGCTTTCTCTTAGTTATTGTAGCTATATAATTATTAGATTAAGTTCCATTTAGTGTACCTCTGTGAGAAGCATTTGATGCTATTCGTCGTTTAGTTTTCAATTCACCACGTCAATTGCTTTCTTGGCTTTATTGGGGCTTTGTCTTATTATTGATGCCTTTAGTTTTATCCATCTCTCTTTCCCTTTCCCTTGTATTATGTAATTAGTAATCTGAGGGTTTTTCAAATATTGTACAAAACATTGGACTAAACAATACAAACAATAAGTAAAAACAATTTATACTAAGGTCTCAACTTAGGTCTAATAAAAGGTTGTACTCGGGGTAAAAACAATAACCAAGGACAACTAAGACGGGTATCTATACAATCAGGAAGTCATTATTATCAAACGTTTTTCACAAGGTGGTGGCATTAAACTCTAGTATCAGACTGTTTGAGGCATTTTCCGCTGCGGATGTCGCTGGGGCTCCAAGTCAGGAGGTCATAATCGACTTGACTGGATCGTCCAAGCCGCCTGCCACGCAGGCAAAGTCGTTCAGCTGTCCTAAATGTTGCGCCTGGGTCTGCGCCATGTTCTGGTGATGATGGTGCTGCAGGTGTGGCTGTTGCTGATGACTCTGCATCATTTGATGCTGTTGGTGGTGGTGCTCCAGCAGGATATTGCTGCTATTGTCCGCCACTCCACTAACAGCGGATCCTCCGCCACTTATCAGACAGTCGTTCATCTCTTCACCCAACTGGCGTCGTCTCTGAATGACCTGCTCCTGCTGGCAGCTGGGCAAATTTCCGCCCGCCTGCCGCTGATCGTCTAGCATGCTGTCCCCGAGGATCGAGCCCAGGGAGAACTGCAGCGAGTCGCCGCTATTCTGCAGGTTCAGGATACTATCGATGGCGCTGGCCACATGTCGACTGATGTCATCATCGTACTCGCCGCCGGCCACCACTGGTGCTCCGCCCATGTGGCTAACATGCATCTGTTGCTGGTGTTGTATCTGCTGCTGCAGACTATGCTGAAAGTGTTGCTGTTGCTGCTGCTGCTGGTCCATTATATTGGAATAGGCAAAGTTGTGTTGCTGCTGTGCCTGCTGTTGTTGCTGCTGCTCCATCAGCATTTGGGGGAATCCTGAGGGCAGCATATCCGGATCTAAGAGACCATGCTGAGGCACCTGGGCATGCTGTTGCTGCTGCGACGACATGGGCGATGAGGAGGATGATGAGGAAGCCGTGCATAGCCGTTTACTGCTGTTGTCATCTTCCATATCGCTGCCAGAACCCATCAGTTGGCTATCCCAACTCCGTTTCCGCGACTCTCCTCCGTTCACCAGATCGCCATTGCTGGTTCCGCTGGAAAGGAAGTCGCTGTAGTGCGCCTCCATGCTCTGCATCCAGCGAGGATTGTTGTTGCAGTTCAGTTCAATGTGATGCTGCTGCTGTGATGTTTGCTGCGGACCCGCATATTGCTGCTGCTGTTGCGGTGCCTGTTGTTGTGGTGCCTGGTGCATAAATGTGGCATCTGGCACCCACATGTTCATTTTACTCTTGTGGTTGGCTACCGGCGATTTCGAATCGCCAAAAATCTCGTCCAGGTTGGACTCAATGTCGTGGGCATCGCTGCTGCTTTTCACGTCTAGGTGAACGGGTGACTCCCCGAACATGGCCTCCAGTCGTGTCTCCACGGACTTTTGCACATCCGAGACGCTACTGAAGAACTCACTAATGGCAGGATGCTCGTTTTGCTGTTCCGCATCTAGGACCACCGGCTGTTCGCGTTGGCCGCTGCATGAGGACACAGTCTTGACGGGATTAGAACCAGTATGGTTTTCGCTGACGCAGCTGCTGTTGCTGCTGCTGGTTGTGCTCTGGTTGCTCTTGTCAATGCATCCGTTGGGGAACAGGTCCGCTATGTGATTGCTATTGGTCATCATGTTGTTTGAGTTGGAGTTGTCCAGGAAGTGGGACTGCTGTTGCGAGGACTGGCGATTGATAGATAGATGCTGCGGGTTGCCGTTAAGCTGTGGTTGCGGCTGCTGCATAGGATCATTATTCATGAGATTAAGCTCCTTTTGCAGGCAATACCACCCATCATCCTGATCAACAGGATCCACTCCGTTGCCTTTGATATGTTGCTGCTGCTGTTGTTGATCCATCAAATTTCTATCTTGGTAGCAACTCTCGACGCTTTTAGCCAACGCCGCTTTGTGCTCCACCTTCTTCATGATGAAGCTGGTGGTAAGCTCAGACTCGATATCGAAATTGTCGTAGTCCTTTTTGATATATTTCGAGGACTCTTTGTCCTGGCCCTCGCTTTTAACAGATCCATTTACTGAAGGTTCACACACTTCGTTGTTTTCCTCTTGCTTTACTGCAGATTGTTGCTGGGGCTGTGTCTTACTGAACGCTTTGTTCACATCAGCGCTTTTTTTCAGTAAATCAAACGTGTCCACCACGTCCGCTGATTGACCTGACTTGTCAACAGGTTCCTGTTTAATCTCCTCCTTCACTTTGGTCTCTGGCTGATGATCGCTTTCCAGTGTTGGTTTCTCGCAATTGTGCTCCTCCTTCAGCTGCTGTTCCAACTCCTTTTCAGCGGTGCGAATGTCGTTAATTTCACCTTTGAGGTCGTCGATCATCAGCTGTTGCATTTGAAGTAACTCTGAGGTGCGATGTGGGAGCTGAAAAAGATAACGAAAAAGTTAATATCGATTAAAGTTGTTTGCAAAACTATTACTTACCGTTGACTCCTGCATCAGTATTTCCTGGAACTTGCCATTCAACTGACGGAACTTGTCCTGGAAACCCAAAGCGGTGGATTCAAACTCCTCATCTTCATCAGAGGGCAAGTCCACATCGTTTTCGTGCATGCAATGGTACCTACAAAAGTAATATATTTTAGCAAGGTATTCACTTGATCTATATACCGCTCAATTTCTTACCTGATTAGCCTTTTAACCGCCTCATCCTTGGTGCGGAAGGGCTTTACGTAGTCTGGCTTCAGACAGCTTTCCTGGTCGACCTCGAGTTGGCGGACGAATCTGCGAAAATATTTGAGTTAATAACAAGTTCGATATTGCATTGCTATATCTGCAATCCAGTTGGCCGCTTTTCTTGAAATCGGCATTGTTCAACCAACTACTCACAAGGAGAGGCGTGCAATTTTCGGTTTCTGCGTTGGCATTTCATCCATTTTGTTCGGCAAATAAAGGGGCAGGCTGGGAATGGTCGGTAGTGTTGGCACTAGGGTTCCAATCGGTCCTGGCACCACTCCAACTCCTACTCCCATTGCAGAAGGTACTGGTGGCAGTATTGGTGTCGGTTGCTGCTGTAATTGCTGGTGCGGTTGCTGCTGTTGTGGCTGCAAGGGTGGCATCGGCAACATGTTGTTCACTTGCATCACAGAGTTGCTAGTAAGAGTGTTACTACTCATGCTGGTGTTGATCAGATTTGTGGAGCTGGCGAAGATCAGTGGTGGTGGTCCGCTTTTGTTAAGCAATGGCTGCTGCTGCTGTTGTGGTTGTTGGTGTTGCTGCTGTTGTTGCTGCTGGACAATTGGCAGCATATTTACTTTTTGTGGTAACATATTGATGCTTCCATTGGTTGGCTGTTGTTGCAATTGTTGTGGGTTTTGCTGCAGCTGTTGATTGTTTGCTTTGTTCCTGTTAGCCGGCTCTTTGGGTTTTATTAGAAGCTGCGTTTGCTGTTGTTCCTGTTGTGGTTTTGCTTGCGCCTGTTTTAGTTTGTTGCCTGCTTGCTGCTGCTGCTGTTGTTGGTGTTGCATGGGATATATGTGTATTCTCTGTGTTATATTCTGCTGGGCGTTAGGCGCCGCCGCCACTACAGTTGTTGCTCCTGATGCTGAGGTTGAAGAGTGATTGTTGGGCTGCACCACATTAGCGGGTACGATTGTCTTCAGTGGCTCAGGGGCCGTCGCCTGCAACTGTTGTTGTTGGTGCTGCACTGGCTGAGCCATTAGGCTAAAGCCTCCATTACCATTTGCCGTGGGCAACATACCCTCTGGAGTGGGAACCTCCTTGCCAGAGGCTAGAATACGGTGCTGCTCTGCAAAGAGCCGCTGCAGTGCCAGATTTATCTCCACATCGGTCATCGGTTTGTTGTAGGCGGCAATTGTCGCCGGATCAATTTCCGGGGAGACTGGCAGGAAGGCTGTCTTGTTCTGCAACTTGATTGTGAGGAACTGGATCTGCATTTGCACCTGCTTGAAGACCTGTTGCATCTGGGGCGTTAGTTGGATGGTCTGCACCCGCGACACAGTGTTCGGTTGCGGTTGCTGTGGTTTGGGAGCCTGCAACTGTTGTTGCTGCTGTGGCTGCAACTGCTGCTGTTGCTGCACTTGTTGGGGTGGCAGCTGCTGCATTTGGATTTGACTGACCCCAGGAGTAACAGATGGCGATGGCATTGGCGCAGGAGTAGCCACTGTGGTGGCCGTTAAACTAAAGCTCGTCCTTTGTTGCTGCTGTTGTTGCAATATCGCTGCCGTGCCCGTCGGTTGTTGCTGTTGCATGGGGACAGTTACACCCACCAATTTGGTGCCACTGGTCGTCTGGAAGGGCTGGATGCTGGCGCTCATTGTTGTCGTGGTGGTTGTTGTGCAACTAGAGCTGCCCACTACAATCATCTGCTTGCCACTGGCCACATTCGGTTGCACAATCTGCACCGGGTTATTGTTGGGCTTCTGCGAGAGGGGATCCAACTTTGGCATCGGCTTAACCACGCCTGCGTTCTTGAGATTGGCCAACTCTGAGGCATTGGTTGGCGTCGCCTTCGGTTTCCTCACCGGCTTCTTCTTGACCACCGCCCCTCCACCGGCTCCACTGGTGGCTGCCTTAGCCGGCTCCAGTTTCGCTTTGCTTTGATCTATTATCGGCGCCACATTGGCCACCTGCTTGGTCACCGTCGTGGTTGAGGAGGTGGTGCTAGTGGTGGTGGTCAATGTGCTACTGGCCGTTGTGGTAATGGCCAATCCATTGGTGACGGGCTGGATGGGATGCACGATCTGCTGCTGCGGTGGCTGAGGTCGCAGTGGCATAGAAAGTGTCATAGAAGACGAGGCCGGCGGATGCGGTTGCTGTTGTTGCTGTGCGGGCAGTGGATTCACATCGTTAAAATGGAGTTGTCCCAACTGCAGGCATTGGGCCAGTTGCTGGGCATTGATTCCAGCCGGAGCAATGAGCAATCGCTCCGTGGGTCCAATCGAAGCCGCCGTTTGACCTGCGCTCATGGCCGTGATCTGATTGGTCACACTGTTAAGACAGAACAACTGCTGCGTGCTGGGATCGATCGGCGGCAGGGCAATGTACCGCTGCTGTCCATTGTTGGCCAGTTGTGGAGCTGGCGCCGGAGATGGAATCGGAACGGAGATAGTTGCAGGTTGAGTGGGCAGGGTCACGGGCACAGTGACGGGTTGCATTTGGGGCTGCAATTGCGCAGGGATCATTGGCTGCTGCTGGATGAGAACCTGTGAGTTGAGTGGCAGCTGCGGAAACGATAGCACTTCGTTAGGTTTGGCGGGTATTGTGGCCGGTGGCTTCATCGTCGACATGGTCGTTGTAGTGCTGGTCATTACCCAGCATACTGCTGGCGGGATGTGCTCCCTGGCCCGATAATTTCCTATTGTTGGTCACTGCAATGGGAGAAGAATACATTTTTTTTAGTATTTCATCAAAACCTACAGTCAGTTATTCAAAGAAGTTATGTCTACTTACTTTTAACTTCTATTTTGGGAGCTGTTGAAACCTTGGCTAGCGACTGTTGCTGCTGCAGGATTGGCTGAGGTGGAGCCAGTGGCTGGGGGATTTGGATAACCTGTTGTTGCGGCTGCAGCATTGGCGTTGGGCTTGGCTTATTGGGATCCACTCGCGTCGGCTCATTGATGATGGTCACATTGGGCAGGGCACCTTTGAGCAGAGCCTGCAGAATGAGCTGCGACTGATGATCCTGGGGATTATTGGGATCATGCCGCAGGATCAACCGCTCGCATTGCTCCGACACGGTGAGCGTGAGACTCCCAGTGAGCTGAGGCACCAGGGCCGCAGCCGAGGCAGGAGATCCCACTGAAACCGATACATTGGCAGGCATTCCAGTTAACTGAGGTGGCAGAATCGTAGCTCCTCCGGCGGTTAAAGCAGGCGTCGGCGTTGACACCGATGGTTGGGATGCACTAGCTGTAGGCGGCGGAGGAGTGGCTTGTGGTATGGCCACCAGTTGCATCTGGCGTCCATCACTAGACAGCTTAAACCCAGTGGATTCCGTGCTGATCGTAGGCGCCACCGATGGCACCGTTGGCTGAAAGACCAACTGGGTTGATTGGCCAGCAGGTGCATGACTTCCAGCTCCCGGCGTTCCACCCATCACTGTAGCTCCCGGCGGCAGGATCGGCATAATCTGGATCTTGTTCTCCACCGCACTGCTTACTGGCATGGTGGACTGGTGATGATTATGCACCTGTGAGATCTGAATGTTGCCAATCTGACTTGGCACTGCCGTCGAAGTGCCGTGCGTCAGCATCAGCGTGGGATTGCTACTGGTCGACACTGGCGAGGGAGTGGTCAGCGTGATGGTGTTCACAGTGGTGGGCTGGCTGCTGTTTAGGATGGTACTAGTGCTGCTGCTGATGGTGGTGGTAGTGCCGCTGCTTGAGGAGATCAAGGTGCTGCCGCTGCTAGTTACTACTTCCGGTTTCTTGGCATTCCTCCGCACCGCCGGCTTCCTTCTAGGTCTTACTGCCGCCGTGGTGGACACCGGGTTGGAGTTGACTGGCGGAGTCGATGTGACAATGGGTGCCGGCGTTACCTGCGGCTGCAGCGTCATGCTGGGTAGACTGATGTTTATGGTGGGAGTGGCAGTAGTGGTCGCCTTAGCCGCCGCTGCAGCGGCTGCCGCCTGTTGCGCCAGATGTTGCTGGGCTTGCTTCTGAATTTCCTCTGCCGTGGGCAACCGAGGAGTGGATAGACCAAATGGCGGCACTGCTGCCTCCGCACTAGGATCGATCTTGATGAGGATATTTGGTATTTCGGTGGCTGATTCGTTTCCCGCCGCCTGGGACGCCGTGGAAGGCTGTAGTTGTTGGGACTGCGGAGCGGGAATGGTCAGGGTGAAGGGCAGACCATCGCTGCCGTTTTGGTTCGGTATGGAGATCATGATGTCACCGCTGCTGCTGCCCGTCGTCCCGGCTCCGCTAGCAGTCGCTTGAGCTGCCTGTGCTGGCTCTGATTCTGATGCTAATCCAGAATCCAGGCCCATTCCATAGTCCTCGTCGTCGTCATCGTCGCCGGTAATTCCGCAAAACTTCATCACATCGCCGAGATCCAGCTTGCCATTGCTACTCCGCTGGATGGTGGTTGGCGGTGGCGATGGCGTCTTGACGCGCAGAGTCTGTGGTGGCGTAGGCGTGGCAGCTATGGCTACTTTCTGGGGAGTTGGCGGCCTAACCTCAATGGGCACAACCGTCGGAGCGGCTGCAGGTGGAGTGGGAACTGGTGCCGGCGGCTGCTTCTTCTTGCGGGGTCGCGGCTTCTTCTTGGTTTCAGTGACAGTGGTCGCCTGGACAGATTGCTGGGCTTGCTGAACCTGGGATTGCGTTTGCTGCAGTTGATGCTGCAACTGCTGGATCTGGGCCTGTTGCTGTTGCAACTGTAGGATCTCCAGGCTAGACTGTTGCTGATGATTCATTCCTATAAAAAAAAAATTATTTCATTAGAAGAAAAGACAAATATAAATAAGCTGTATCCTTGTTAAAAATGACTATAAAAGTTTTCTTTGATTTTGAAATAATTCTAAATATTTATGGTTTTTCAAGAAAAGGCTATGCCAAATAGTACAAAAATGTTCAGAACAAAATGTTTTAACACCAAACAATAAAATATTAATAATAAATAATACATATTTTGTAAATAGAACTCACCAATCATATGCTGCGTTTGCTGTTGTCTTTCTTGTTGCTGCATCAAGGGCACCGGCGTGGGCTGACGTAATGGCTCCGGGGTGACTGACGAGGATTGCGTGAAGAGCTCCGTCGTGCTGGAAGCTCCTCCGCTATTTGTTCCTGGAGCCTGTGGGGTCTGAAAGGCGTTGGCTATCTGCTGGATGTGCGCCCCATTGAGCTGATTCAGATTGATGGTGGCTCCACCCAAACTCTGCTGCAGATGAGCTGGCAGTTGGGAAATGGCGGTAAGGCCATTGGGCATTTGGATTTGGGCCGCCGCCAGTTGAAGATTCTGCAGTTGTGCAGCCACACTCTGGCCGAGAAGCTGCGTGTTTAACGTGGCCGTCGTGGCAAACGGCTGAGATCGTGGCGCCTGCGCCTGTGCCTGTGCCTGAGCCTGGGCTAGTGCCGCATGGAGGCCTGTGAGCTGCGTGCCAGACTTGATGGCGCTCTGGAACTGACCCGCCGCCGTCTGATGGATTAGGTTCGCCTGCGAGGACACAATGAAGGTGGGCGCGGCAGCCAGCTGCATGGTCGCTCCATTGGTGCCCACTATCCGCAGCAGTTGTTGCTGCGCCGGCTGCGTCTGTAGTTGTGGCTGTCCCCGGGCATTCTGCTGGATGACCAGTGAGGGTGCGGTCGTCAGCTGGGGCGTGGGCGGACGCAGGATCAGCTGCACGCCCTGCGGATTCTGCTGCACCAGCACGGGCATTTGGTTGAGGAGCAATTGCTGCGGCTGATTGGTGGTGGCAGGTAGCAGGATCTGCTGCTGTTGTTGCTGGGTGGGATTGTTGGACTGGCCTGCTTGCTGTGGCGACTGTGAGATCTGTGCTCCTCCGGCCGTTGAACCCTTCTTCTGCTGCTGCATCTCCTGCTGCGGCTTGGGCAGGATTTGTTGCGGTGCCTTGCCGGTCTTGCCGGTGGGGATACCCGTGACAGCCGCATTGCTGACGAACCGATGCTGCTGCTGCTGCTGGAGAGGCTGTGCCTGCTGTTGATGCTGCTGTTGTTGCTGCTGTTGCTGCGGAGTGGTCGCTATAAGCTGGCCTTGCGGTCCCTGGATGAACTGGAAGACCTGCTGTGCCTGCTGCTGTTGCTGCGGCTGCTGCGAGATGGTGAACTGCTGCGGCAGCATCTGCATTTGTTGTGGCTGCGGAGTTGGAGGCTTAATCGCAGCCGCTGCAATGGCGCCGCTGGGACTCGGGATGGGACTGTCCGCTATCAGGGGACTGCTGCTCTGGTAGTGCTGGAACTGCTGTTGCTGCTGCCCCTTCTGGCCCTTCGTCGTACCTTTGGCGCTGCTGCCGACCACACTGCCGGCCGTGGCGAACGAGGTGGGCGTGCTGATGACAGTGGCATTGAACTGTCCATAGCCTCCGCCGCCGGCTGCCACCGCAGTCGCACTGCTGATCGAGGTGGGTGCAACGGCGCTGCTAAAGATCTGGTGACCCAGCTGTTGCTGCTGTTGTTGCTGCTGCTGCTGGGCGGCCCGCTTTGTGCCCTTCTGTAATGCAAAATCACATTTTATATTAATAATGATTTAAGTGTTAAATGCATAACTCCAGATCTTAGCTAGAAAAAGGTTATCTTAACACATGCCAATTCTTACCTTATTGAGCTGGATATTGTTCGACCCCACCAGAGTGGCATTCAGCTCATTCCCAATGGCATTGCTGTGCAGGGCGACTCCCACTCCGGAACTGCTCCCAGCTCCTACTCCGGCACTTAAGCCGACTCCAGTTCCTCCGGCGGCGGTGGCTATGAGGCCACCACTGGTCACGCCGATGACCGTCGTGGCAGCGGCCGGCGATTGTGAGGGGCTCGGCTGAAAGACGACGGTTCCAGCGTTGGGACTGCCATTGGTGAACTGGTGGATGGACTGTCTCCTGCCAGGCGTCGCCGCCTTGCGCTCCTACAAGTAAAAAGGTATATTAAGTAAAGGCATTCTAAAAAGGAAAGGTTATTTACGCTATTTTTTTAATATACATATGTATGTTTGTGCTTATCTAAGTATATCGGTTGTAATAATATAATTTTAAAGTTATCTTTAATATTTTTCATAATATCGTAAAGAACCAATTGTTATATATAAATTTGTTTACCCCATAATGAAATTAATAATAAGTTAACTTAATTTATACAATTCATAATCTACTACAAAGGTATTAGATTTCCCAATCGATTTAGGGATTCGTTCGTTAATTTTCGAACGTTTACTTTTTGGTTTTTTGTGCTGCATTTTTTCTCCGATTCTCGTCGAGATCAACTTACGTGTTCCTGGGGATTGCTGTTGGCGTTTACTTGACTTCCACCGGCTACGAGCACCACATCCTGTGGGAACGGCGAGAGCGATGGCGATGGTTGCAGACGAGGGCTAGCTGAGATCGATGGCGATGGACTGGGCGTCAGAAACGGACCCGGAGGAGACAATATTCCTGGAAGCGAAACAAAGCGAAAACGCAAGGGCGAAATTAATATTTGCTTACAAAATCGGGCACAAAGTTGACCCAAATATATATATATATATATAGTCTGAGTGTTTGAGTGTATATATGTAGTCATATCTGGAGCTGCAATCGTTTTTTGGTACGTGACCAAAGTGGCAACTGTCCTCGGGTTCTCCAAGTATCTCACACAGATAGCACTACCAGCAGCGCATCGCATCTCCCATAATTGTCCGCCATTTCACAAAGTTGTTTACTCTGCCCCTTGGCCCTACTTTTTGTTCCCCTTTGTGCATACAAAAGCGAGGCAACTTAGCACATTTTCAAACACCAGCTGAGAGCCCCCACTTACACAGCGACACACGAGCCCCGAACACAGATACAATTTGGTTTTGGGCCAGAACCAGTTTCATTTCGAGAGTTCTTTGCACTTCTTCATCTCGAGTATCTGTTTCTCTCACACTCTTCTTTTGTTCAAATTTTGGCCTTTCTGAGGGGCCCAATACTACTGCTCCGCTTTCAGCTCTCAAAATATTGGCCAAAGGCATGGGCAATCTGGAAAGGCATTTAATTCAATTGGGAGCTCGCTTTCAGCAGCTCCCGAAGCGTCGATGGGAAAGTGTGGAGCGAGCCAGCTTAGATGAACGTAATCCACCGGATATGTTCATTTTATGCCTTTGCGGATCCATTTAAATTTATTAAATTATGCCTTTTGTCCAGTGCATTACAATATGGTTCAATAATTCGCTACTTTGACCAAGTAAATTGTATTAAACCCTTCTCGAAGCTTCGTTCGGAGCTTCCCAGGAATAATTTGCATATATTGCTGCAGATGGAAAACGATAAGTGGGGGGAGGGAAAAGCAGGGCAGAAAGGATGTGGGGGCAGGCAGCAGATGCAAGTGAAGAGCTCAAGAAATGAGGAGTAAAAGGGAATATAATACTCAAACGTTAACAACCCGCCTCCAAGTTGCGTTCGTTAATACCCTTATGTAACAGTTGAGGAAGCTTTAGCGGAGAGCACGAATCGAGTTCGAAAATCGAGTAATAAATATTTAAATGAAAAAGAATATTTAACATTCAGTTTAAATTTAAGTTTTAAAGCCACACAAATATTCTTTTATATTGACCAACCTTTTTATAACTTTCTAAAATACATTTCAACCAAATTTTATTAGCAAAGTTAGAACTCGTTTTTAGTGGCGTCTGCTAATGAAACTTAGGCCTCTTTTATATTAAAAACATGAAAAAATTTATTAATTAGGTGTGATAAAAAAAAAAAATAAATAACTAAATAACCATAGCATGATTAATTTGATAGATCCTCCAAAAGAGTATAGACAGACAGGATAGGGATAAACGAACATAAGCATGCATCAAAAACGACATCGTAGTCTCGTTGTCGGCAACTGAATGGATTGGAGGTGGAAAGGAAGGTGCCTTCGCAGGCAGAGTTGCAGTGTTTCGAAGTTGGCTGCCGACACAGCATCATTATCGACAGCAAAACTAAATGCGAAAGAATTTAACAAGCGCCCCTTGCATCTGCCTACACGACGGCCCTTCCTTTTGAATGCCCCCCGCTGGCAGCAGTCGTTGCCATTCAATCCTCATCATCACAAGATGGCCAAGAAGAATGGGGAGAGATTGTGTTGGCCGTGATATATTCCTGGCAACGAGTAATGCGAGTCTGCTGCCTTTTGTGTGTGTTTGTTTGCAGCCACCAAAGGATTGGAAATGGGGATGGGGCATGAGTGGATATGGCTCACAAAACCAAATCAAAAGCAACAGCGCCAGCACCTCGTGTGCACTCCACTTCACATCTGAATGTCGCAATCGCGGATAATCCCCTGTTCAGCTTGACTTGCCTTTGACGCTTTTGTCCCAGCATTTTCATTTCAATTATGTAATTAGGTAAGCGAATATATAAACTTAGTACAACCTTAATTACTTCACAAATAGTAACTTCTGTTGAACAACAACAGACAAAACGCTAAGTGAATAGAGCATTAATTTATTTGGAAAAATCGATTTACTTTAACAGTTGGATTGGATTGACTCGCATTTTAGGCAAAATAAAGAGATCTGATACATCTAAAGACTGAATTTAATGTATAACCCATTACATCGTCAATTAGTATGAAGGATACCAAAATATTTAATTAAATTAGAACACTGGATAGACCTCAATTAAAATATAATTATTTTATTTACAACATCAGCGGCTTTATAATTACGGGGGCTTCCTGCTAAAAGTATCCGTTGATGGCAGGCGACGGTATCTTTGACACGAAAACTCCCTTTTCTGCAGTCTTTAATTAAACAGTTAGCGGGCGGAGGAAGCGAGACAGTAGAGCCTTGGTAATTTCGCACAAAGGCAGACCACAAACGAAACTAACAGGCAGATGGGTGGCAAAAGTGGGTGGCGGGCACAGAAAAAATTGAAAGAGAAACTAAAGGATAAATTGACAACCAGACACAGATACACACCAACACCACACATAGATACGCCAAACTTTTTGCCAGGCGAACCACAGATGAGCGCACTTTTGGCTGCCGCCGCCTGACATGGCGAAAATGGTCGGTATGGATGCATGGATGGATGCTGGATAGATAGATAGATGGAAGCTATGGAAGCTGGGCGGATAAATAAGGGGGCGGGGGAGGACCCCCGACTGCCTGACGGCCATTTACTTGAGTGTCTGGGCGCAAAACAGAGGCAGAAATGGTAACAGCAATATCAACGGTCTGAGGACGCCTTTGAAGGGAAACTACACTAGGCGAATTATTGGACTATAGCAAGTCAAATTATTTTCCAATAAGATTTTGAGTTTTTTAAATATATTTTTATTCTGGAAATAATAACTTTCTTAGGATTCTTTTCAATATTCTTTCAATAGACAAGTTTTTATAATTTACACAATATTTTATTTGAAAATTGCTTTGAGAAACTAGTAAGCCATTAGATGAATATTAAAAACTAGAGTTTAATCTTTTCACTGACCTATTTTAAAAATATTTGCAAATAACGTGTTACCATATCATAAGGATATTATTTTACCTGAAATTTGAATCAAGACAATAATAATATTGCTGGTCAAAGACGGAAATTATTCTTAGCATTTTGTTGTATTTTATCACGTTCGAAATGTTTGTTTCGGTGCACCTAGATTCTGAGCCAAAGCCGCGTTATACTTTGCATTTCGTGCCGCAGCAGAGCCAAACGGCTGTTGGTCGCGACTCGTCGCGAGATGAATCCTATTTACAAGGCACAATTCTGACTGAGTGCACACACACTCAGAGTTCTATATAAGGTGGGGTGACGTGGGGAGGGTTCAGGCCAGGAGGCAGCTTGTCAAAGTCAGTAAAATTTTAGTTGCTTTGAACGACAGACGTAACTGCAGCACAAGTACAAGAAAAACGAAGTGGGGGAAGGCTGCTGGGGAAAAAAATGTGAACTGAAAAGGTAGTGGCAAAGCGTTTTTGCTGTTTTCCTCTGTGCAAGTGTAGTGGCATGACCCCAGCTTTTCTCTTCGTTGAAGGAAATTATTTTGTAGTACGCCTTGAAGGTATAATGGGTTGTTCAGCTGTCTTTGCAACCAGCAAAGGGAAAGATCTAATTGATTAAAATTTGTACAATAAAAAGCTCAACCATTACAGTGAATACAAAATGTTGGATTTGATTCACCATATTATGGCATTTATCAGACAAACAATTTATACTTAAAAAGTCTATTCTAACAACCGCGAACTGTGACAAATAAATCACAAAAGACACGCTAAAAACTTATGGATGACTGCTGAAAACAGGTCATTTATTATCATAATTATATTTCTGTTTTCTGTCTGATAATATTTTAAAGTATAAATAATTTTATTTTAAACCAAAATCAATATATTCCAGCATCATAAAATACCTAATTGATTAGCGAGTATTTGGCACACACATTCTGCTTCAACAAAGCATAAATCACATTTGAAACAAGAAATTTCAAATGAAAATGAGTAGCATCGACAAACTTTTGGCAAATCATGCGTTAATGGGATTTATCCACATTATAACCAAGCAGAGTCACCAGACCCGAGCACTCAGCTTCCAGTCCTTTCTCAGGCATCATACAATTTTTTTCGCTCCAGTAAATTTCATTTTACCGAGCTTCTGGAAAAAAAGTATATTTATATGCTAGAGCTCAGACTGTGCGACTATGAGTCTGGGATGGGACTCCCACCGACTCCTCGCATCGTAGGACGTTCTGGAGGGACCTCCCCTGTTTGGGAGGCAGACTTATGCTTTCGCATATTTTATGTGGCGGTAAGTGTGTGCTTGTGTCTGTATCTCAGTCTTTGTTGTTTCATTTATTCGGTTGACTGGCATGACCTCAGTATGGCGACTCCTTTCTACCTTGTGTCCACCCCATTTCCCCTCCCCCTTTTAACAACAACAATTGCTAAGTAGGAGCTGCTGCAAGCGGCGCCGCCATCGTCGTTTTTGAAATTTTCATCCTGTGACTCTTTAGCAATTGTTGGTCTTCTTATTTTACCCTTTTATAGGACATTATGCTCTAAGTCAAAAGTTTGCACACAGCGGGGTACTCCTTATAATCGAATTGAAATTGTGCATTCTTGAATAGCCTCGTGAAGATTAAGAATAAAATTATTGTAGGGCTAAAAAAGGGACTCATTGTTTGAGGCCCAACTATAAAAATGTTGAGCAGAGCCCGATCAAAATATCAAAATTTCACGATTCAAATAACTTTTACTATTTTCCCAATTGTTTGGATATCGCGTAAAATCTTTTTCAACAAATTCAAACATAATTACTTTTCTTAAATACCCATATTTAAAGGATACCCACTTTTCATACAGTTATTCCCTTGCTTTGTATTTTTCTTTCATTTGAGCTATACAAGAGTATTCGACCTATCGGTTTTGAATTCTATTGTTTCTGTATTGTTGTTGCTGATTCTGCTTGTGGATGGCTGATTTCGCTTCTAC